GCAACGAAACGTAACGAAAGATCATACGGGAGGGAGGAGAGTGCGAGAGGTGGGTACGGCGAGCACTTTAAATCTCGGGACTTTCCCAGCATCCTTGAAAAGGACCTGAAATCTCGACAAAGATCCTTTAAAGTCCTTTAAAGATTGAAGGGATCGTAAAAGGCACCGAGTTTCACGTATTCTCAAAGAGCTCGGTGGGATCAGCTGATACCTGTCGACTAGGACGAAAGTATTTTTCGGGGGAATTTACGGGGGAAAAAAAAATAAAAGTTTTCAAAAAATACATTGAAAATAAGTCAACGGACAAAGCAAGCATTAGACGGAAGCAAAGAGAACAAAACTGATCAAAATCAATCTTAACCTCGAAATTAGCATACTTCGAATGTGTACAATTGTACATATATATTTCATATAAGCGAAAAGTCTCGAAGCAATTGAAATATCGTGGTAAATTTGTCGTTTACAAGTTGCCGGTAGTAGCGCACCCTTCAGCAAGCATTTCCATGCTAATCTCGTCCCTCTAGAGTCTAATTTTCTCTTAGTGGTTCGCCCGAGTCTCGTGCGTCACGAGACAGACTATGAATTTCGTCCTTTTATTTTCCTAGCATGCCAAATCTCTCTCTCTCTCTCTCTCTCTCTCTCTCTCTCTCTCTCTCTCTCTCTCTTCCACTCTCTATACGTCTCCCTATAGTACGTCTCCGCGTGTCTGCTCCCACTCTCCCTCTCTCTCTGACCCATTCCTTGCCCAATCCGCAAGCCCATGGACCACATCGATACAGTCATTTTCATCCTTTTCCTTTCCTTCACTTTTATTTTCTATATCCCGCGAAGCGCCCCGACGTAAACGAAAACGCAGACGGCAGCGCGTCCAGGATCGCATTCGGCATCGAGCAGCAAACCCGAAGTGGCCGACGCAGTCGCATCGCGACTTGGCACGTTCTGGTATAAATACATATGAGAACTGGGTCGCTGCCCTGCCGTCATACAAGAACCCGTAGACAGTCCGCGACTTCCCGTCGACGGAATAAATTTTATCGTTAAACGATTCGTGGGATTCCCTGGCGACGCGGAAGCGAACTAAAACGTCACAAGGTAGAGAATTCGGCCAAGGAAAGAAGACGCACCCGAGGAGTCGACTGATAAAAAATATACAAATTTATTCAAATTTGCCATTCGTCCAAAAACTTATCTCACCTCAGGGTACCGAGTAACACGTGTTAATTTTTGATTTCATTCGCAACTACAGCAGCAGCAGCAGAACAAGGCGCGAAGGGAGTCAGCGGTCGCGCGAGGGACAATAAGAGTCTCTTCTGTGAAGAGACGAATGGAAAATTCGAGAACGAGAAGAGGAATGAATATACGTAAAAGACGGGAGAACGGATAATAAAAAAAGGGATAAGAGATTCGGTGAGAAGGTGCGTGCGAACGTTCAATCGCGGTTAAGCAGGCGAAATTTTCGGTGCTGTCTGCCATATGACAATAACATCTGCGGCCCATGCTTAGGCTACGACTACCATGGCGAACGGCATAGCTGTGGTCGTTATGCTGTAGTACGAGGAGGACTATGGTTCGTGCCATCTTGCAGGCCTTCGACCTAACGAAATCCATCGACCTTACCAAAAACGGAATGGACCGTGTGTTCTCAAAAACTGTGAAAACTTACGAGGAGAGACCGTTGAGCCTGCGCGCATGCGCACTCGCTCGCTTGCGTCAATCGAGATTATGTCTTGGTCGTTTGAAAACACGTGCGATTTGTTGGACGACACGGGACGACTGAATACGTCGGTCTTGTCGATCGTCGATAGCGAAACGTCTGGGACCTTTATTTACAAGACTTGACTTTTCATCGGGATTTGAGAACCGTCGAAGACACTCCCGACAGATGTGAAGACGAGACGACCACACTAAATGACGCGCATGCAATCGTTGCGAATGCGATAAAGGTGGAAATCTCAGGTAAAATTGTACCTTCTGGAGAATACGTGTCTTTCTTGTTGTCTGTCTGACCACGTGCGAAACAGACGCGAATTTAGACGGTTTAGCAATGTTTTGTTTCTTTGTCATGCAATGAACAATTGGTACGTGGTTCTGAATAATTAGGGATTGTTGGGATATATTACTCTTACTGGTGGGATGACATTTGCTGACCACTTGCGGAACTCAGGTTTGTGAGATAATAAAGGTTTCGGGCACGTTGTAAATTTTTTTTCAGGATCAATATACCCGTTTGATTTATGAACACCACGGGCTAGTATTCGTCATTCGGTTCTACGTAGAATTGACAGGCAGACATTTGATTTGTTGATAATGAATATTCATACTGAAGGATGCAATCAATGACTGCTTTACTGCGTGGTGGGTACTTCATATTCTCAGAACTGTTTTGCTGCCATTGTATCGACGCACCGTATGCGCCGGGAACATGTGGATTCGACGGAAGGGAAGAAGAACGCTTCCCTTTCTACGACGGGAATAAGCAAAATTTACTTTACCGACGGTTGGTATCGGCCCAAGGGAGCGCACAAAGGATAAAATAGGAAAATGTACAATCGAAGGCACGAAGGTGCCGAATGAGGCGTAAAATGCCAAGCAAACAAAAAATACCAGCCGGGATAAGGGCTGTTTCGTATTTCAACCAGAATAAACATTGCCCGTGCACGGTAATCAAATCTCGGTCGCTGAATCATTGCGAAGTAGCACTCGAACATAACCTCTTCAAACACAACACTGAGAATAGTCAAAGAACATAAAAATGAAACGTCATTGACTCAATGATACAAAAATATCATCGAGACCCGAGGAAATATTAAAAAGTCCTGCTAAATGATCTAAGAAACAGCACTATCAGATAAAAATCTCTATAGATAACTGTATCATGAAGAAAAATAAGAAAATTTCTCGTACATACCAAAATTTCTTCCCCCCCCCCTCAAACACCAAAAAAAAACCTAAACATCTGGTAACGAACCTCAAGACAAAGAAAAGTGTCCAGGTAAAGACTGAAGAAACCCAAGAAAAAAACTTCCCGACCGAGCAAGTAAGAAGTGAGCCTAACCTCAAAGTCTCAACGTAACTCGAAAAACACAGTAAAACTATGAAAATCTTACATCGAATCCCAGGAAACGACAGCTAAGAGATAACTTGAAAATGTCAAAATCCCAATCGCATCCCCTTGAAAGGACCCTAAAATCATTACCAGCTGAAAAGGTGAACTTGACACATGTCAACCTGTCCATGAAAATCCTGAAGAGCAAGTGACGAGGTGCAGCACCATAAGAAAAGTGAGAATACAAAAGCCCCTGAAAAGGGATGCCAAGTGAGAGAGAAGGCTCAAAAGCCGGCATGGCTAAACTTCAATGTAGGCAGGGAAAAAAGTCATGCAATAAAAAAAAAACAATAAGACAACAGTAATAAAAAGGACTAGCAATCGTAACTCACCGCTGTGACCGGTGTTGCTCGAGGACTGGCCCATCGTCAAAGCGCCCCTTCAAGATATCCGCGTTGGCTGCCAATTCTCAAAGAGGGTAAACACGCGGTTTCTCACGTGAAAAAACGGGGGCATGGGTGCGCGAAAAACACGGGCATTTTTACGGAATATCTTGCATCTCGTACCACAGTGCTGCGCGAACGCGACGGCATTGGCACCCTACTCCCACTCCAGGATCAGAATGTCCCCCCAATCCCCACCAGTACCGCACACGCGGCGGAACACACACAACTGACGTCCACGCGTACACACACCACGCCACAGCTGCCGCTGCGGCCACGGAAGAGTCGTGAGAGGTGATTGGCCCGCCAGACAGTGACGCGCATGCGCCGACCGCCATTATTCGAACGGTCTTTAAATACTGCGTTGTGATAGGAATAAACGACATTCAATCGTGGAAACACGAGGCGAACGCGTCTGACGCTAATGGATTTTCTAAGTTTTCCAGAGGCCTTTTCCACTGACAAGACTAAAAGGAATGCTGTTACAATGCCTTTCTGTCAGGACGTTTTAAAAGTGTCAAAGGGGAACATTTGATCTTCTAATATTACGCACCTGTATTATGCGACTCAATATACACAAGTCACGTACTTCGCGACTAACCTGGACACGGATATTAAATCATTCGTGAAATAGTTTGATATAAGGTAGAAACGTTTCGATTGTATAAACCGACAAGTGCGCAAAAAAGTAATCCTCAGATATAATGGTTTTTTACATTTGAAAAGTAAAACAGACCAATGAGGTAATCGAGTAATTCTACGCACCCTGATATTGCGTGCTCCGAGCAGTTTGTGGTAATGAAACAGGTTGCATCACGAGGCAGGATCACGCGATACAGCTATACAATATCCTGCAAAGTTAACCTAGATACAGAAAACTAGGTAGATGTGAATTCACTGAATTTATTAAACAAAGTAACAACGTTTACTCACCTTATTGAAAGGATCAAAGGAAGTTTATCAATATTCGCCAAAGCCACAAGCACAGGTAGGCGTCAACACTGAAAATTGTTTATGTGAATATAAAAACAAAATCCTTACAATTACTACTCTTTGACAAGTCTTTCGAACGCTGATTCTCCAGGCAAGACGCAGAGTGGAAACACTGTGACAGTTTGATGATCACAGACTCAATGACACTCGTGGGGTGAGAGGAGTGTATCCCGAATCACTAAATTCTGATATAATCAGCAGGATGATTTGGTTTATCGATCCGAAATACCTGAAGGACACAGCAAGGATCAATGCCATGATAATTCTTAGATCCAAGGGTAGCAGGGAGGATTTATCGGCGCCGCACGGCATCTCCTTGGTAACGTAAAGTCACAACAGACCGTTCGAAGCTTCGCTGTGCCGTTAAGTTCAGTATTAACGTCGACAGCCGACCGCTTCGTCGGCCGAGGAACGTCGTTCGTCATTCCGTCTCGGATATTACACAAGATTTTATAGCCTCTACATAATTGACCGGATATATCGAGGACACTTCCGTCGGGACGCGTGACCCAGAATTAAGAAATTCTGAGGCCTAGGAAGTCGTCTGTCATGAGATACAGTACTGTCACGGTGACAGTAGCGTCCTGCCAAAAAGTGGAAAGCTGACGAAAAAGAATAATCGAACAAATAACGAATAATCAGGTACTACCTGACAATCATATCCCGCTAAGAGCATCAACGTGAACATGAGGCTGTTAACGATTGGCTTCTTCGTCGTTCTTCATTTTAATATTCAGACAGGTAACTCGTAACCTCTCGTAGACAAAAATTGAGTTTTCAATAAATTAATAGCTCCTTTTGTTTCTTCTTTTTCGAAAAATAGGACAGGCTATAGACTGTTTCAAATGCGTCTCCGAGGGCGGTAACAATAAAGCCTGCGACGATCCTTTTCACAATAATGGAAGTCTTGGATTTTTGGAATCTCCTTGTCAGGGCGGACGGAAGGGACGAGACGGACCGTTTCCCGCCACTGCTTGTATTAAACTCGCTGGAGTTTTTGGTATTGGAAACTAGCCTTTAGGCTGCAGATTGTTGGCTGTGCTTCAGTTGTGTCTTGATTGATTTGCATTGCGTGCCTTTGTCTTTCGTGCGATTCGCGTGGACGAAAATTTTTGCTGAAAAAAACAAATTTATGACAAAACCATTTTGAGCGAACTACCAGCAATCGAGTATAACAATTAATTGAAAGTGACACTCGCTATCTTATCGATATTTTCCTTTTTAATCTTTTAACGTCAAACAAGGCATACATTGAATGTCGTGAACCACACAAAAAAAGAGGGAAATTATAATTTAAACATTCTTTTTACATTGCTTGCAATAATTGCACAGCTGAAACTGGCAGCACCCTCACGATAAGAGCATGTGCACTCGACAGTGGAACTTTGACAACCGATTCTGAAATAATCAGAATGTCTCATTGCGGTGGATTTTACTACAACGACAAGTAAGAACAAATTCCATATCGCAGTTATACAGTAGTAAAATCAGAAAATGGCAATAAAATCAGAATGATTAAATTTCATTAAACATATAAACAAATAATCAATTACATTCAATTTCGTTATTAGATACGTTCGCGGATGCGTCCAATCCTGTAGCGACGCCGACGCCTGCAACGCGTCCCGACGCCATTCCATATCCTTTTTACTGGCAGCAACAATTCTGGCAGTTCATCTACAAGGAGCTCGAAGATTTTCTTGAGAAAGTTCATAAGGGATTGATATAAGTTTTTCTTTTTCTTATCTAAAATCGCCATGTAGTTAATCCAATGATGACACAACGATTGTACATAAATACCATACTGCCTTGCTAAACGAATTTACAATTAGACGCTATTTTAATCTTAATGGCAGATTTTAAAATTTGGATAAAGTGCAATATACAATGTAAGAAGGGCCTCGATTTTAACGGCAAACCTGACAATCTCCATTCTCAACCAATTGAAAAAAAAATTAACACTAACCAAACGAGATCTATGATTTTTAGTGATTTTTCTCGTATCTCTGAAGCTGCGACTGCTGTCAGAGTTCATGATTATTTCTGTAATCTTAATTTCATAATGGTGTTCCAACCAACGATTTTACAAAGATCGGTTATATGCTTAAATATAGTTGAATGCGCAATCCTCTTTCACATACGAAACACTGTGCTAATGGGTAAACACAAACATGTCAACACGCAAACGCGTTACATTAAGGTTCACTTAAAATACTCTACATAGTTTCATATTTCATACGATAGTACTGTATTATTCTAGTATACAGTATTTTATATATATAACCGTGAATATCGCTTTGCAGACGCATTCAGTTTAAATTAATCAAATGGTTTGATTACAGTGTATTTTAATAAGACTATCGATAAAGTTTTTAGCGTTACGCAAATCAGGTATATACTTAAGTACTGATAGCAAAGCTATGGTATTTCGAATATATGTATTATTTATGTTTTCAATTAACGATTGATTTTTATTTTTATATAAAATGAACTTTGCATTTGTATTACCAACGTTAATATACGAATTAATTTATATCAGTTCATACGTGTTCGAAACACCAACTGACCTTCGTGATTTTGACAAAAAGACGAATTGGCAGCTCCTATGTGTAATTCAATTTAATAATGCCGATAGTCGTCTATTCACGCGACAATCACAGGGTTGGCAACGTTTGCGTGTCGCGGGGGCAAAATTAAAAAAGCCTATAAAGAAATCGAAATTTGCCAGTAAGTGTCCGTCGGCCGTTTGGATTTGTGGGGTAAACGGATTTTGAGAAAAAAAAGATCGTACAAGTGAGCTAATGGGAAATCTACATATTGACCAAGAACAGACAGTCGATTTTGACGAGTCGTTCGACGCTATGAAAATTATACGACAAATTTTGGATTCCCTGTCACTGAACTGCGACGACACTTCGAATTCCTATTCTGCATTGATAATAGCAGTCTTGTGGATAGCCGTTCTTAAAATCTATAGCAACTGGTTCCTCCAGGTAATTTTTGACTTCAAACAATTTTTTTCAAAAATTATATCGGCAAGTTCACATCCAAAAATCTCTTATAAATGTCTAACAATAAAGTCCGTTGTGAACTTAAAATTTTCAAAAGTTCCAAAAAAATAATGTATACCTACAGTCGGTAAAGAAACCTGTGTACAATACGCAAATTCCAAACGAAAACTACGATGTAACTTTTACTTACAATTGTAACTACACTTATCAAATATCTTAATTCCACGTTCTCACTAAAAAAAATAAATACTTAACCTTCGCTATCCGTAAGGCCAATGCTGAAGGAATAAAAAAAATTTCCACAAATTATCAATCAATAGTCATCGAACGATATCGGAGCGGAGAGTTCAGAGAACCTGTTTCCACTATTGCGTATCGTAAAAAGCTGACCTTTCAAATCCATTCGCCGCACTGGACGACTATCGTTATTAACATTATGCACAGCGTATAAATTATCCGCAGTTCAATTTCTTAATATTATTCTCTTGCTCATTAGGGTGCGTATTATCTTCGTGACGTGTCTGTAGAAGTCATACAGATAATACTTAACGCCGTGGAAGGAACTATTAAAGTTGTCACTGGAATATCATTCATGAGCTTTGAGTACCTTGCATCAATTTCTATTGTCATCCTTCTGTGGGTCGGAGCCACGAAAATGGTGATCAACATTGCCAAAAAGGTCTGTAAAAAAATTTATTCGTCCCCCGTCCCGACCCCCCCGCTAACGTCACGTCATTTACCACAATTTACAGAGGCCACGAAACGTGCGAATTTCCAAAAAGTATAGACACTCTCGCATAACTCTATCATGATAATGAATTGTAATTCTACCAAACAAGTTAAACCTCACGTTATACTGGAAGATCAAAAGTATTGGTCATACGGTGTCCGTGCCGTTACCCTACATATATTATTTATAACTAACGTGACTTAATTTTACGTATCAGTCGCTGTCCATTGAAAAATATATAAAAGTCATTGTATCGTTAATTAATTCTCTTGCTCTCGGGTGATCATATTTATATACAACGTTTATTATTTTATAACAATGTGTAAAGCGGTATATCAAATACAATTACACGTTTAATTTACACCGTGTTATGTACATACGTTTATATATATATCTATCCATATATAAAAATATTCATTACGCATCAAATTGAATCCGTTAGTAATCCAAGTAATGATTTAATTGTCTAATCAATTCCGAATGAGAATAAATCTCGGCAGCCTCAACCAAAGAGTCATTTTTTTGTGTGAATTCTCCGAGCATATTTTTAAACTTAAATAAACGGAATACGTAGGACGAAGAATTTCCGCTACCAAATGTATTAATCATTTGCGTGTCCGATATGATACATTAAACAATAATAGAATATCTTGCAGAAACGTTATCCTAGCTCTCTTGATAATATAATATATAAATAATTAATCTTATGCATGACACTGTACGAGAAAGAGCGCGTTAAGAAATAAATAATTCGTTATAGTTAAAAAAAAAAGATTTGGGAATTACTTCCTGTAAAATAATAATAACATAATACTTTTCGACAACGTACCATATGTGTGTCTCCATTATTCAAATTTCAAGTCTATTCGATTCCTTTTGCGTTCAAAGGAGTTCTCGTTTGCTTCAGTCGTTTACCACTGTGATAGCCAGCTTGTGTTCGGGCCACGAGAAAGTTTTTGGCAGTGGGATCTAGAAAGGAATAACTCTGTTATCAGACTAAGATGTCCGAGAGACTTTTCCAGTTTGAAAATTGATATAACGAACGTCATGTCAAGATTCGGAAAAAGAAGAGGAGGGGTTCTTGACTTACCTGACCAGGGTTACTGAGAATCTGAAACTCCTGAGCCATCTTGTCCGCGAGATCCTCGGGCAAAAGAACTTGTAACCAAGGTCCTTGCACCGCGTAAGGCTTCTCTTTTGTAACCAAGGTACCAGTAACAGATGGTGCGACTATCGTAACCGCAGTATGTGAAAGGATGGATTTGAAAGTAAAATGTCGACCGTGCATTACTCGTCCCCTGAGAGAAGAGATGAATAAAGATATGCTCGTATTAAATTACATTATCATGTTTCAAGAGAGTAAGGTATAAGGCCAGTACAATTTCAGATGATGAAATAAATATTTACTCAGAGCGTCAACTTACTTTATTGCCAGTGGTAAAAGGCTTCCAGCCTCGAGATTAAAGGTCAAGTGAAGACCAGGAAGAACCCTTACGTGATTTTCATCCCCGAAATTCGAGTCCTGCTCGCACGGAGACAATCTTTCCGTTTTTATGAAAGGTTTCACGTCGTTTTCCTCGTCGTCCGACTCTTCTCTCTTCTCTCTGTACTTTTCAGTACTTTTCTCACCAGATATCTGCACCCACCTGTATAGTTAAGAGAGAGATCGAGAGATATATACTTGTAAGAGAGTGTTATTGATTTATATGTGTTTTGTTAATGATTAAATTATTCATATTAAGTTTTAACTAACCAACACTTGGCCGATACACCACTCAGATTCGATCCTTCCCTTTCGATACCACTTTGAATTTTTTCAGCTACCGAAGGATCTTCTTCCATTACAGAATGAATCCTTCTGGTGTCTGTAACTAACCAAGATCCACATGCCCTACTTCCTTTTAAAAGATTCACAACTCCCAAACCATTCCAATGTTGAGCTGCCTGCAGCTCTTCCGAAGTGACACCAATGATCTGTACAAAGGACACCTGCGATAAAGCAGTAAGAATCATTGTACATTTTATGAACTTAATTATGTTATTTCACAAGACTTTGTAATTCTGCTTTACATACCTCTCCATGGGGAGTGGAAACAGGACTAGGAAGTTGAGGATCCCGTCCCATTATCATCTGAGTAATACGACCATTGCCATTGTCCAATGGAGCATGCCAGGATACGTGATCCCCTGGCAGTAACATATTACCAGAATTGAACACGTACTTAGCCAATTGTTGCATCACATTAGCAGGCCATGTAGGTGGTGTTGTCTCTCCAGGTTCACGAGCCAGTCGAAATGTCAATTCAAACCCAAATCCACTGGGACGACCTGGACCAGTCTTAGGATGCAATCTCCCATCTCCATGAAGATCCGACAGACCTAAGCTGTTACAGTAACAGTAAAACTTAAAGATACCTGAAAATAACTTTCTTCGATGCAATAACTTACATCACTACACAACAGGTACTCCGAGGAGATCAATATTCTCTACCATTGTAAGTCAATGGCAGAATATAGAAATCCACGAAAAGTCTAAGAAAGAGCATCTGGTAAAATATATGTATATGGGATGGAAGGAGATATTTCGTGAATGAAGAAATTTATATTTAGAGTCAGACAGAGCAAAGAAGGGAACTTCCCGCAGTTCTATTTCCGTTCCAAATCCTCACCCCGTGCTTTAAACAGCTTTATCCCCTTGCATACAGTGACTCTACTATATATAGAATGCACTATTACAACAGCTGCCTTGGATATCCAAGATATAGGGTGTCCCAAAAAAAATTAACTAGCTCTTGCAACTCGTTCAGTTGCACAGATTTTAACGACTTCTGAATGAACAATAACTTCTGTTTTTCGTTACGAAAAGTATATACAAGCTTAATATGCACCAATATTACTAGTATGCTTCCACGTTAGATACTAACATACATAGGTGTATTCGTTAGTAAACAAATCCTTATGGATGTTTATGAGTGTTATATGAGCCCTTTATATACACCGTATACTGTATAGTCAATATGTAATACATATAACATGCGTACACGTGCGCAGTGAAACTTTCACGCACGTGGTAACACACTTTGAAACGTGGTGACGCTGATAAATGCCTGACTTCCCGTTTTTTTTCCCCTTGTTTTTTTTCATTCGTTACCGCCCTACAGGGTTCTTCCCTTTTACCCGGAAAAAAAAGAAAGAAAAAAGAAGATGGGAAGCATGACATCCATGTCTTTCAGAATGAATCCTTACTGGTGTGGAACCTTTGAAAAAATGTCACACAAAGCAGAGACGATTTGAATGACTTTCAATGTACTTATTGGCTACGAGGAAAAATTATGATTTTAAGGATTACCTTACGTAATGCCAATGTGGTGGTACACCAAGCTCTGGTGAACCTGGATTCTCGTACATACTTATGTAGTCCAAGGGATCGGGTCCTCCCAGCCTATATAAAAAGATAAATAATAGTTTTTTATTTAAAGAACTTTGCAATGTTCGATGAAAGAAATGTACTCTTAATTTCAATCATGAATATGCAAAAGTAGGTTTGTGATAAAAATGTTAATGACATGTTATGTTTGTAAATTATAGATTTTCATAATTTTCAAATGTGTGCTGAGTTATTCAGATTTATAATAACTATTGAACTAAGAGATATTACAAGGTAATTGATTGCATATTCCAAAATATAAAAATTAATATGTATATGCTAATTATAAATAACTTCTTATGAGTAATATAATGAGAATTACAAAAGACAGATAATTTTTTGCAATTAATTTCATTTAAGCATTACTAAAAAACTTATCAGTGAGTATAAACAATTCGTCATAACTAATTAAACAATCAATTTAAAATAGCTATATCACATAATTAACTATTGTATTTTCAATCAATATTTTAATTTTAATAAGCCATTGTTTTAGATCACTCTAAAATTAGGAAAACAACAAAGAATAAAAGGTCCAAATTAAACTAACTTAATAATCAAACCCAACAGATGATCCATGCAATAAAGCATGGGAATAAATATAGCTGTGTATAAGTATAGATGCGTCCAGCATAGAGAATTCCTAAAGAAAAACAGCAAACAACATGCAACTTTTCTTTCTCTGTCAGAACAAAACAAGAAATTCCAAACACATCCTAAAAAGTCATATTAACCACAAACCTCACGCTAGTGTCTAAACCTATCCCCTGAGTTATCTAAATCCCAGAAAAAGATCCGAAGAAATATTTTTTGGTAACAAAAAACGTACCAGTATTTAACTATGGCCGTGACCGTCAATGGATTTCCTTGATCGGGATAAATTTCCTTGCACAATGCGTGCAAGGCGTCCAATCCCAAAGCTCTAGAAGAAGGTCCATAATTCGGTTGTCCCGGTGGGAATCTTCTGGCGAATTCCTCGCGCTCCCGCATGTTTCCAAACATAAACGCAAGGAGACTTGCACGCAAGAGCACTGCACAGAACGAAGAATTCCAGACTATTAACCACTGTACTTTCTACAGGGTATATGTAATACTTCTACTGTTCTCTTATATACAACGTGGAATGTTCGACTGCCTGTAGAAGACTGACTACAGTGGCCTACGCTGACTATAATTGTATCACATATATAGAATGTCCTAGTTCCCCCACCATGTATCCTTAACAAGTAATATGCGTATCCAATTGGTCGAGAATATTAATACTTGTGGCTGATTGGATGAAAATAAAAATGGATTCTGCGTTGCTCCAAAAGTTTGCACTGCTCCGAAATGAGTAGGAGTAGTCGCTCTGAGTATTTAGTAGACTAATGTTGTTTATCTGGAAATGGTTTTTTAATACATAATCATGTTTACAATGTAACATGTTAAGATGTGTCAAACATTTATATTTAGTATTTATCTCTGTCTTCTTTGGAGCTTTGGAACATGTCTTGTACTCACCGCAGCTAACAAGAGTGAGGAAGCTCACCAAGGTTACAGACCACTTGGTCCTTTGGTTATGTGTAAATTTTTGTTAGTGTCAACACAGGTTCCTTTTTTACTGACAGAAGTCAATCATTGTATTGGTTCTTTTGGCATTTCTTACTTATTTATCCAATTATTGTTTCATCAGGCCTAAAGAGTTTCTAGAGTGCGAGGATCCTGTTGACCATAAAGGGAATAAGACAGCGAGAGAAGAAATGGGACATGGCTGTGTCAAGGTGACTATAGCATTTTAAATAATTTATGTGAATTTCGTTGTCATGAAACATTGTATATTCTGTTTCAGTTTGGAGGCTCACGATATGAAGATGTAGAGAGGACTAAGGTTTCCTGTACTGTTCTTCAGGATATAGAATGTTTTGGATCTAGATCATTCTTTCGAGAAGGTGTTCCTTGTATAAAATACAGTGGTCATTACTTTGCTACTACTTTACTTTATAGTATACTCCTAGGCTTCCTTGGAATGGACAGGTTTTGTCTTGGGCAGACTGGAACTGCTGTTGGGAAACTGTTGACTTTGGGGGGTATCGGTGTATGGTGGATTGTTGATGTGATATTACTTGTAACAAATTCACTGCAACCTGAGGATGGGAGTAATTGGAATCCTTATGTCTAATGCTAAACTATTATTACAAGTATACTAAAAGTCTTGACAGCATTTATCAGTGATATTACATATGTATCAATTAAGCTTGATAAGGATACAATAAAACAACGAAACTCTTGACACAAAATATTATAACATATAATGTTCCACAGTTATACAATTCACGTAATTGATTTAACTTTTCTTATGGATTACTTAAACTACAAGTCATAATCTTCCAGTTGGTAGAGTTCACTCAATAATCTGTAAATGTAGGAGGGAGCATTTCCGCCACTAGAAGAAAAAATACATCTTCTATGAAAATATCCGTGGTCGAAAAAAGTTGATTGCTAAATATATGTATGTAAATTTCTTACGTATTTGATATGAACAGAGTAACCAGTTCTGGTGGTACGTAATCAAAAACAGGGTTATAGGCTTGGATTTTTTCCATTAATGGAGCGTTTGCTCCATCAATAACACCGTGCATAGGTGCAACATGCCTATTAAATGCATCCTGTTCGTATGAACGAAGATATAAAGGCGACAGCTTGTATAATGGTAACAGAACCATTACTGGAACAGAATAATGTTTTGCAGCCTGAGCTACAGTATGCGATCCTGTTATAGCTCTTAAACCACCATTGGCCATTACCGTATGAGTTCCAATGATGACTTTGTTGACTCGAGACATCATTGCAAATATTGCTACATCAGAAATTAATGTCGTTTTAATTTTAGCCTTTGCTAAATTTACCGCCATTTCGTGCCCCTACAATAGTGAACAGCAGAGTTTAGATTAAAAATTGCATAAAATATGAACTAAACTCATAAAAAATTGGCAATACACACATTAAGAAATGGAGCACCTTCAGCAATTATCACTTCAAATTCTCTGGTTGCTGCAGCTTTCTTAAAGAACTCTTCGACAAGTCTTGATCTACCCAGTGTCATTATTATTTCATTCGAATGAATGTGCTCTGAAGCCTGCTGCGTTATGTTCTCTGAACTAAATAAAATGTGCGAGAACGTAATTAAATATTTATTAAACATGATATTATATAATTCGTATTCCACAGATTTACCAGGTTTCTAGCTCTGCTTCAAATTCATTAATGTGTTCAATAAGTGAAGACTTGAGAGATGGCACTGAGACATTAAAGTCAATTTCCTGATCACCTTCAGAAGTAAGGATTTTATGTAAAGACTCCTGACCATCAGCCTCTTCCGTTTTATTTTTCAGTTCCGATCTATATTCTTCCCTAATTATTTTCAATATTCTGCGTACCATATTGCCAATGGATGCCTCCAATGGAATCGCTGCAATGAGGTACTTTCCATTGAGTGTAATCAGATCCATCAATTTTCTAGAAACAAATAACACGAAAATAGTACCCTGTAAAGTCTCAATATAAAAAAATATATAAATACTCACTTTGCTGTATTCCATTCCGAATTTGTAATAATTTCTTTGAGAACAGAGACAGTAGCAACGACTATATCGTACGTTCCTTTAATTTCTCTACAATATAATATGATAATGTTCCAATTATGATTTCTCAACAATTGAATTTCAAAAACTTACCCAAAATTAATATCCTTAATTAACTTGAGAACGTTCTCATGTACATTTTCACTTTTTGTCACAATCATTTTTACCACATAACCTATTGACTTCACGCAATATGAAAACGAAATTTTTACAAAGAAAATACGATTATTCTTTTTTAGCAATTTCACAGTTTTAAAATAAATAGATTACAATAATCTAGCTACAAACGAATGTATGAGAGAACAGAATGAAGAATCCTTCAACCAAGAAGCCAGCACATTATACACAGTTGTATTGAATAATCGTGAACTAAGCTTAATCCAACGTGATTCTGGTTTCATTTAAACCATTCAATAATTTCATAAGTTTTATATAATTCATATAATAACACATAGCAGATTGATTAGAACTAAGGGAGCACATTTTACATTGCTTATTAATAAAATAGACTCATAAAAATTATATGCTCAAATTACACCAATCACGAATACAAGTAGAGTGGCCTTTTTACAATTTTTTATTCCATATACATTAATATTTAATTATCATAATAGTAATCACTTATCTCACAATAATATTTAAAGTTTCCATTTGTATTCTTCATACTTCGCACTATTTGAGAGTGTATGCGCAATAGCAAAAAGTCAAATATCGAATTCATTTACACGAAGCTGGAGATCACTTCGTTCTGTCTTTGCCCGCACGTTTTTATTATTAAGGACTTAACGGAACTGCCCTTCTTCTTATAATATCGTCAGTCTACCTTTCCTGGCCACAATAGATAAAAATCTCGCAAGATATTCCATAAAAGAGCCTATTCCTAAAGAGCCTAACGAAAGAATAAGATGGAAAAAGTAAAGTTTTTAGAAAACGAAAACAACAGTGAACATGGATACCGTTAATAACTAAACTGTATATTGTAACTAGTAAAACTGAGTCCAGGAAGAATGGAACAAATAAGAATCTCGAGCTGTGACGCAAAAGGAAAACAAACTTGTGAAACTGGAACGAGAGCGATAAAATATGAAATCGATCCATGAAAGCGATTCATTATTTTGGGAAGAAAGAAAATGAAAGGTCCTTGTGCCACAATTTCCTTTAAAAATTCGTCAATTTTTTCACTGTACAGTCCTCGCTTTCCGATCCAACTTGAATTCCTATTACTATGTTACATTCCGTTACTATACACTTTACTGTATTGAGAAACCGAGAAGAGTACTTTTTAATCGGCAAGAGCAGCAAACGTTGAGTTTGAAATTTTTAGATTTGGCGAGGTTATCGGTTACTTTGAAGGTCGGAATGCCGAGACGAGGCAAATCGACCTTTGACGATTATGCACGATCTGTACGATTGATCGTGAATGGGTGTGAAGAGAATTGGAGAAGTACATCTGATGACGTTTCCCTCTTGGGGCCAGGAGACCAACTGCCGAGTATTAGTCGGAAGTTCACTTTGGAGCCCTCAGGAAAAGAAAATTTCTAGATCATCCATGTCTGAGAGTGAAAAATCATCTGATAAATCATTTAAGTCCACGTTTGGATCGTAATCTGCGCTATCGTCGGCAGAATCGTCTCCATCTCCACCTTCGTCATCGTCTTCATTGTCTTCGCCATCATTCTGCTCGTTATCGTCTCCGTTATCATCCCCCGCAGTATCCGCATTGTCGCCATCTAATTATTGTAAAATTTACTTTCAAAGTTAGACCTTAGTAACCTAAATATAAAGTAACTGCACCAAAAATATTGAAAACCCAATTAAAATCTAAGACCAAGTAAACAATCGAATATTGTTATTACAGATTGAAACTCACCGTCAGCGTTATTGTCATCAGACGCAGAATTCGAGCCATCGTCATCACTCGCGTCGAGGTCTTCCTCGTCATCATCCTCCTCAGCCTCATCTTCGTCGTCCCTCCGCCTACCAACATCATAAAGTCTTACGCACGATTCCTGGATACTGTCAAACTCGCCCTGATTCTCAACAATTGCAATTTGCGTGTCGAATTTGTTGCAAGCCAGATCGTAGATACCGCGTTTCACATCACAAGTAGCTGTAAGATGAAAAATTCAATTATACAAGCAACGAAGACACAAAAGATCCAATCATGACATAAATAATGATCAAATCAATAAATTACTAAAGATTTTTCGCTCTTACCAATGCTGCTGTAATCGAGTGCATCAAGAGTCTTGAAGGAGGTCACGTAATTTGATTCATCTTCACTTTCTTGGTCGAGAGAGACGGCGTAGATGATGCTGTTCACTGGCGAGAATATAACCTCCATTTGATCGAGCGTCGGGACCGTCTTTAGAAGATGAAACGTCCTAAGATCCCAGACTTCAGTATTCGACACGACTTCCGTACCATTTGGATGAAACACACCGTTTAGTGTTTGATTGAGCTTGTCAAATTTGTGAATCTCCTTGCCAGAATTCACATCCCAAAGGATCCCATCACTCAGGACGAGCTCATCGTTCATACTGAAGGTCGCTCGATTCTTCGTGTACTGATTGGAAATCGACGGCGTCAAAGTCGTCAAGAGCTTTCCAGTTGCAATGTCGTATATCTATTAAAATCGATAGAATTTATTTTGATACCTATTTCATCTCAAAAAGCCATCGCAAGTCTTATCACAAAATATAAATTTCAAAAAATTCTATGCCAGCACATGTAGGAAAGTAGACTTTGTTGACAGTGGAAGGAAATGTTATAAATACAATAGTTATATAAACTAGCAATTAATGATTATTCAAACTTACCGTAGCGAGTTCTCCCTGCGTGCCAATTATTCTGTCCTGAAGTTTACTGAACTCGACGTAATCCTCGTTCTCAAGCGGAAGTTTCATGTCGAAGAAGTTACCGATACTCCACAGAGCAGACATGGGACTCCTCCACGCTGTCGAGGTCAGGAGAAGATTTCCACGCTGATTGCACTCCATGTGATAAACGTAAGATTCGTGGCACTGATAAGTCGCTTCCTCCGTTCCCGTATGAGCATTGAACATTTTCACATCCCCGGCGTATGTGCCGAGCATTAGGAATTGTTGGCAGGGCTATATATAATTGATAATTTAATTAAATAGAAAATCGAACTGTCATTATTGTCAATATAGATTAATTTACGTACAGAGAAGGTACAACACGTGAAGGTCCCCTCAACGTCGGTAGGACGGAACGATTTGACAGGACAAAAACGACTATAAATATGCCTCCTATCTAGACGCCTTCCGTCCATACCTAAAGCTCTTCTTGCTAATCTCATCGTTAGGTTCATAGGAATAGAATTTTTAGTACATGGATCCGGGCATTTGTGTGGCCTGAGAAAGACAGTTATATATTATAGTGATACAAGGGTAAAGCATTAAGCAACAGAGATATACAATAGAAAGAATAGCAGATACTAAGTGTTTGCAGACTTGAAAAACGTTATTAGAAAAAAAGACTTACTCGAGGAGATTAAATTGTGGACAGGTGACCATAGGATTTTTACACAAAGCGTGTTGATTCGTCAGGTATTCCGTGATAATAGAGTCGAGGGTGATGGTAGCGACATTTGAGGCGGCTACTCCAGGACCTCCGCCACCTCCAGGATCCCTTGAAATTTGCTTCTGCAAGGATCTACAGGTGGAAGGTTGAGCTTGTGTTACCGATTGGCAGCTTGTTGCCGCGGCTGCTGGTAATTGTCTATCGGTTTGTATAGATTTTCTAGAAACGATAAATGTTCAGACTTATTGAAAAATCATCGAAGAAACATATTGATAAAATGACGATGCAAAGACTTACTTTTGATTGATTTGTAATTTAATTGGCTGATTGTTGCTGCTTGTAACAGGACTTGGATTAAGACAATCTGCGAGTTTTATTCTTATGGCAGTGTTATTTGTTATTGGGGAAGAACTCGAGCAAGAACCTGTATGCGAGATGAATCGAGAGGAACCGGATGTAGGAGTGACATTAGTCCTTCCGACAACTTCTCTCGAAGTGCATCTACTCGTGTTGTACAAATTGACTGGTGCCCCTGGAGAAAATCCAATTCTCGTCTGCACAGAACATAATAAAATTGATTTAATGGTTAATCAAATACTGTTAAAATAATGCAAAAAACTTTTCACGATTCTACACCAAATATTTGGCACTAACCGTTATGGCTGGGCTTCTGTAAGTAAATGGTTGATAACTTGTAACTGGCTTCATGACTGCAGGAGAATCTAAATTGGCCTCTCGTTGAAGAGTTGCTGCAGTTTCATTCATACCTTTCGACACAAGATGTTGATATATCAATTGATTAAGTTGCTGTTCGTTGTACTGTATCCTTGTCTGCGCCACAACATTAGCCTGAGAAAAAGCATCAATATAAATAATTATTACAATTTTAAAACTATTCTGAATTAATATCAAGATGCCATAGTCATCCGTCTCCTGCATCAAAGTACAGGAAATCCTTTAGATAAACTTAAATTTTGATAAATTTTGACTTCAATGATTATAACACGGCTGTAATTTTCTTACAATTATAAATACATATCACATACCCTGTGCAAACTGACGAGTGAAATTTCGTATTCGGCACCGGTGGGTTTCGCTTTGCCAGATACACGTTCCATCAATTCCAGCGCATACTTTTGGAACATCACATGCTCCTGCCTTTTCTCCTGGAGGATCGGATCCTTCATCAGTGCTTGAATTTGGCCATCGGTAAACATCGGTAACTTGCTGATGATTTGTCGGACTTTTTCGCTACGCGCTAAACCCGCCAGCGCACGACAAGCCAATGCCCGAATACTATCCGCGTCGGTGATTGGTGTCTTCACCATCATTAATTGTAACAAAACCTATTTCGACATATAAATAAACAAATTTACAGCTTTATAAGTTATTGCATTTAAAATATTTATAAATTGATTTCCAATCTCACCATTATACCGTTGTTCGACCTGACGCTTTCCCAAACTTTCTGCACAAGTTCCTCACTGTTGTGAATATTCGTTTTCTTCTTAGCCGATCCGCTTACCGAATACCTGGCGACATTTCCTCCAACCTAAAATTGCCATGTTACAGATAAATATTGAAAGATGAAACAAGAGTTACTTGATATGTTCTAAAACTTAATACCCACCCTATTGATGGGAGCACAAACACAATTGACAACAGCCCTCAGCGCAGCTCGCTGAACATCAGCATCAGCAATGATCTCACATTCAGCTGCAGCTAATAGAAGATTGATGGCCATTGTCATTGACATATCCGGCATGTCAACCCTCTCACACAGTAATAGCATGACCTTTGGTACGACGGAGCAAATGGCGATGACATCCAGACAAGATCGTACAGTTTCTGCGCTCGAGGTCGTATGAACCCTATTGAATAAGAGATATACCAATTACATAAATTCCTACAAAATAGCCAATTCAGTTGAAAGTATTTTAATTAATTAATCTATAAAGAACTAATACGAATGTTATCAGGCTAAAAAAAACCTCGAACTTACCGCCCACTGTAATTCCATTCTCGGGCAAATGCTATGATTTGTAAAAGAAGTGTTATGCCACCAAGGCGATGGAGTTCCTCTACGGGAGACCAGACTGCTCTGATGTGCATCAACTCCTGAAGGACCTCGACCTTGGCCTGCACTTCTTCGCTGCTAAGCTTGCACGCCTATTTAAACAAAGACTTCATGAGAAGGAAACACAAGATATTGTATAAATGAACATATACAGATTAAAATGTATACGAATTAGGTTTAACAGTGAATATAAAAATATGACGAGCAGAGAGAAATAAAGGATACCTTGTAAGGCGGTAAGGAAGGCTGCCACGTGTCTCGTTCTGTTCTGGCGTTTTCTGCTCTTTGCAATTGTTCTGCTTTCAAATAAAGATGAGCCTCCATGTAACGCTTTAAAGCGACCGCAACGTGCCTGACAATTTGTCTTGAAGCACATTCTTCGTCGTCATTCAACGCGGGCTCCTCTTCGATGTTCAATATGGGCAAAGTGGATATCTAAAACATTGGAAGAATAAATTGAACAATTCCAAGAGACAGTCATGAGCATAATATGATTGGTGTGGAAGCAAATAAGGTAAAAAGAAAAATGCTTACAACATTGTAGAGCTTTCTAAGTCCATCCTGAGCATCAAATTCCTCGAGTATCACCTTGAAGGGAAACGAAAAACCAAAAAACATTGTTGCGTGACATCTTCCTGAGTCGTGACTTCGCTCAAGTAACCAAAGCGCATAGGTAACGAGGTCGGAGATGATGTGTTTTGGCAGGAGGCAGACCCTCTCCATGGCGTCTTCACAATAAGCGAGATAATAAAGACAAATAGAAACGCCGGTCGCCGCGACGCTCGGCCTGGGGACATCGAGAAGTTTGTGAAGTCCACCCATGTTAAGAAATTCAATGGAGAATTTCTTATGGCAAAGTAACGATGCAAGATATTTCAGCGCCTCGAAGGCCAGACGACTGTCCTTAGTTTCACGGACGTTTATATACTTTAGAATAAGCTCCAGTGCATTCTGTTCGAAGACGTGCCCCAGGAACTCCTGGTACTCGCCCATAGGCGTCAGGTACCTGAGAATTAACATCTGCCTCGTAGCCAAGGTTGGGGGATGAATTTGCACGTTGCCAATGACGTAAGATTCCATTTCAGCCCAGGACGAGTTTGAATTACCTTCCAGGAGGGTGGAAGGTGTACTAGTGTTTTGTGATAAGGGACGAAAAGGACTGGATCTCGTAGAATTTGTCGACAATCCTACTAGCCTAGGAGGCGTGACCCGACTATTCTGATTCTTCGACGGGGTTAATTGGGAACTGTTTGTAGTCTTGGGTATGGCTAACGGCGGAGACATTATTTCAGGGTATGAAGCTTCGGTATTTTTCACTGGAGTCGACTGCACTGGATCTGAGTTATTCTTCATTTTTTTACTTGGTGGAGTCTCGTCTGAACTACGCACGCTGTCTTCGTCATCAGAGCAAAACACTTGATGTGTAGGACTCTTGGCAACGCCGTTTTCTCTCTTTTTGTCTCGGACTTTTCGTTTTCCAGGAACACCTTTGTGTTCGGCATCAAGGCTATTTCTGTTCTGACCGAAATGCGCGAATGGACGCGAATTTGCTGCTGCTTGACGATCCTCCTGCGCCTTCTCTTGAAGCTTGTGAAGTCTTTGCAGCATAAGTGGTACCATCTTTCCATTCTGCTCCCGAAAACCAGTTGCTATATCCTGAACCTCCATCGCTGCTGCCAAGAGACCTGTAGCGTAGCTTTGTAACGGCTCTACACTCTTCTCTGCCCATGAAAACAGTCTGTGAATCAGACCCTCCATATCCGGCTGGAACACTGCTGATGTTTCCAGACCAGGAAGTATATCGAGCATTAAACGACAGGCTGCTATGTTTAGCTTCCTCACATCTCGACCTGTGATACCTGCTCTTGACCAATATGTGTCCCTCAAGTAGTCATTAATTAACTAAAATGGATTGGAAGTATGGAAGTTAGATTATTTTTATAATAACACATTCGTCAAGATGAATTTAATACAAATTTATGTAGAGATAGCGGCTTATGCCATGTGAAACATATTGAATTTCTTTTTATAATTGATATTTTAGGAAAAAAATAATACCTTTGTCATAAAGTTGTCCTTTCTGAACAGGACTTTGAGTATATGTCCAAAATTGCATTCAGGATCAGTGCGTGAAGGATGTCTTTCATCAAAAGGATCTGGATCCATTTTTAAGTAATTTTCCGTTTCAAGTTCTATTATCTCAGCTAACCGTTGAAGAGTAGGTATTGGATCATATGATGGTGATACATGGTCTTCCTCCCATTGACGCAGGATTTGCACGACATCTGTCACTTCTGCTAATGACTCGACTGTTGCCATGTCTTGTTTCTGTTATTGGGGTCTTCTATGTACAAACTGTAAATTTCATATTTTTATTATTACCATAAATAAGACTAAATTAAACATATTTTAGTGCAAAGACATGCCACCCATCCAACACAAAGTGATTAGAAGCAAATTACAATAAAAGCTCAACGTAGTTAGCAACAAGCTTAATACTCAATGTCATACTATTACTCCATTATATATTTTTGGTAACGAAACTAGTATTAGTGCCTTTGTATTTTCACATTTAATCAATAGCTGTACAATATTAATTATCAGAAATATGAACTTTAAAAAATAAAGCAACTTCACACAAATAAAATTTACAAATGGTAGTTTTCAAAAGATTAACATTAACAAATTTTAAAAAAATTGTAACAGTATATCACATTTCTATCAGCTGTGACCACGAATCACCAGAATAAGATTAAAACTTAGATATAGTTTTGAAGTGTGCAATCTTGCACGAAATGACTATTCTAGTGAGAACTTAACCTCAATTTTGCACAATTCTGGAGTATCAAATATCGGAGAGGCAGCACACAGAGAATAAGAAATCTAAAAAAAGGTACTGATGCAACTATTAAGTATATTGTGTAATGATTTAAAGCCTCAATTATTAGCGACAATGTGCACGACAAGTTCATGCCTTGTATACCCGTACGTACGAACGTGTCGCGCGTGCCGCGTAAAGGTTATGTACGACGAAGTGTTTTCCAAAGAAAAGCCGATATGACAGCTTTTGAGGACCTACCTTCGTAAATGGCTCCGTTTCGTGCTTTGTGTATCAATTATTACTATACAAAACGAGAGCCCCGTTATATCCTAGGTCAACCGAACTTATCCAGGAAATAACGAAACTCTTACCCTCACGCAAAGCTCTCGTCAGAAAACACAAACCTCGACTTGCGAACGCGAACTAGGCGAACTTGCACGACACGATGAACGCATGGCTGAGGACTTAAAAGGTGCGCGCGTCCGCATTTTTCACTTTCTTTCCGTAGAGGCTATTGCATTGTCGCATCTTAAAAAAATAGGGTAATCGCTATATATTTATGTAATCGTTCGAAAGACGATGCATTTATTGATATTCTTGGGATATTATTATCATTCGTTAAAAATTTTTTTTTTCATTTTTCGACGGATGCTGCAATTTCTTTGAATGCATGACGTTTCGCGCCTGCGGAGGTAACAGAGAGTCTCTTGATGCGCATGCGCGAGTTTACCATTCGTCTTTGGCTTCTTTAATCGGAACTTTATTCGGTATGCGCAAGTACGTGTGAGTGTTAATTGATATGTCGGAACCTGCGTGAAGTTGGTCGGCCAACTGTTATTTTTTAAACTTTTTTTTAGTCCAATCGTTTGATAGTCGTTTGACAGTGTTTGATAGTCTTGTAAAAACGTTTGATAGTCAATAGTTTTTTCAGAAAATAAAAATAAAAATCTGGTGTGAAGTTGGCTGGCACTTTTTTGTTTCTAGCCGGATTTTGTTTTTCCGGAGTTCAATCGATGCAAAATCGTTTGATAGTTGCGAATTAATTAATAAAAACGTTTGATAGTCCATCGTTTGCAAGAAAAATGAGAAAAACCATATGCGTATCAAGGATCCCAATCGATTCCTCGATCGGTGTATCCATTGACTTAGATAATATAACAAACTTTTTCTGCTTCCAATCGTTTGATAGTCGTTTGATAGTGTTTGATAGTCTTGTAAAAACATTTGATAGTCAATAGTTTCTTTCAGATATCAGTGTCGCGATCAAATGCATACAATGAACAGAGAAACAACGATGCGATCTCCGCTCTCGGCTCATTTTCGAACACACCTATAGTGCTCTGGTGCACGTGAAAAAGCTTCTACGAATGGACTTTTAGACTTTCCAGGGCTCAACCGATGCGAAATCGTTTGATAGTTACGAATTGACTAATAAAAACGTTTGATAGTCCATCGCTTGCCAGGAAAATGAGAAAAACCATATGCCATATGTCATATGCCAGATTTTGATTTTGATTTTCTGAAAAAACTATTGACTATCAAACGTTTTCACAAGACTATCAAACACTATCAAACGATTGGAATAAAAAAAAGTTTAAAAAATAAAAGTTGAACGGCCAACTTCACGCAGGTTATGTCGGACTGTTTCGAGTTGAGTATCTGATGATTGTTTTATCATTGTTATTCATCTTGCAAGTGGAATTATGATATATTATTATCAATATTATGATATGTACTTATTAAATATTTTGAGTGCTTGTGTTAATTTCATCCCAGCAATCACGTAAATTGTATGATTCATAATAATCTTTTATAAATTTTGAAGTAAATTAGTTGACTGTTTTACACTGTGCTTTATTGTCATTAATATTTCCTTTACTTAAAATTTGCGCTGAAGATGTCTGTTGTAATTGGAAACATAGGAGACTAGTAACTTAAATGAAATATATTGTTTAAGACGGGTCAGTATTTATTTCTGTAGGTTATGAAAATTAGAATAATATTTTGTTAATAGGTCTTTTATTTTTTTCTATAAAAGCTTTAACAATTAAATTATCCGTTAGTGAAGCATAATTTATTCGGTGATTAAAAATGTAATCATGTTAATTTGTATGAACTGTTTTTATACAATACAGAATCATATAAACAGGAAGACTACACAAGTGTTATAATTGTTCATGTTCAAGAAATACAGTGATATAATATTTTAAGACATATAATTAATATGTCTATAACTGTTTCAAACATGAGTGGTGGTATTGTTCCAAGTAAATCTACTGTATATGTGTCTAATTTGCCATTTTCATTGACAAACAATGATCTTCATCGTCTTCTTGACAACTATGGAAAAATTGTCAAGTAAGCTACAAATTGATTTGTATTAATAGTAAAGTTTTTATGGAGCATCGAATATTAATATATTTTTACTTTTATTTTATCTTAGAGTGACTGTTATGAAAGACAAGACTACGAGACGCAGTCGTGGAGTTGCCTTTGTTTTATTTCTCAAACCTGAAGATGCTGCAGTCTGTGCCAAAGAATTAAACAATACAGAAGTAATTAGTTTACTATTTTACATTATTTTGTTGTATCATACTGTAAAATTGAGTAAACAATATTTAATTGTTTAGATTGGTGGACGTACTGTAAAAAGTTCTATAGCCGTTGATAATGGACGCAGTACTGAATTTATACGGCGAAGAGACTACCCTGACAAATCTCAGTGTTACGAATGTGGTGAAGAAGGTCACCTGTCATATCAATGTACTCATAATACACTGGGACCGAGGGACCCCCCACCTAAAAAAATTCGTGTGAGGAATAAGAATAAAAATCGTGCTAAAACAGATACTAGCTATTATGATAGTGACAGTGACGAAGGTGTTCGTAATCCACGAACATCGACAGGAACTAATGTTGACGAGTATGTTGGAGATAATGAACCTGATCTGGAAACATTGGGTGCTGCTATACGATACGAGGTAACTTTTAAGTATTAATTTATCTTTCCCGTTATAATACTTTATTTCTTGGCTCATAAGATATGACATACTATGTGTATCTGTTTTGCAGCAAGAACAAAAGGAGCTTGAAAAATACAGATACAAAGTTGCAACCGGTCAATATGACGAACCTTCATTACAAGAGCCGTCGCAGCCTAAAAAGCGTTTCAGAAAAAATGATTATTTCAGTGACGAAGAAGAGTTGAGTAATTAAAAAAATAAAGTATTTATAATAATTCAAAATATTTAGAACTTCTAAAATTTGTTTCTGATATATATCTTTATATATCATTTTATGAATCAAATGTTGCAAAATTCTGGTACGTAATTAGAATGCAAATGCATTTGCTATATATTGGACCATACAATATAATGAAATATAGTGTGAAAACTATAGATATCTTTCTTAATGACAAACTATAAACGAAGGAATTCATCCATTCATGTGCATTACAAACCAAGTATGTAAATACATCAAAACCAAACGGAAACCAATAAAAAACGTGTTCAATGTCGGAGCTCAACACTAATTCATTGCTGCTTGTTACTCAACGCATTTAGGGCAATTCCGGAATTAAACCACAGTTGCAGGTATTAAATTTTAATTAATTGCATCGATTGATTTCGACTGCTGACAAAAATCAATCGATGTCATTGGCTAAAATTTAATAACCACAGTTGTGGTTCAATTACGGGATATACCCTTAAGCCCGTATTCAGAACTCGCTTTTAGTGCTGATAGGGCGCTTTTAAAATTTTTTGTAGTGACTTTTAACTACAAGCGACACTATGATTTTAAAAGCGAGTTCTCAATACGGGCTTTATTCTAAACGCATCTTTACCATTATATCCTAACCTAAGCTCCATCAACATCTCTGCTATCAGCTGTAAAGTCTAACATCTTCCTTTTTTATGTTCTATGTCCATCCGTTATTTTAAAGCTTCCACTATTGTATGTACGCACGTTCACGTGTTTTCATCCAGTCTGAAACAGGGGGGCGACACTCCAAATTGACTATAGCAGGGGGGTGACACTCCAAATGGGCTATAGTGACACATAGATTAGTGATATAATCTACCGATAAGATGGCGCAGCGGTAGCGTGCGCAAGCGCAACAATGCTCAGTCCCCATCTTGAAGAAAATAAGCTTGATAACGGTTTGATGTCTAAACAAGTCCCTGTGCGTCACTGTCTTCCGATTCGCCATAAGGAAAAGAAGGAAGGGTCTTCCGATTCGGCGACGGCTTTGCATCTACGAATTTACGCTCGTGAATTTTGAAGTGTGTTTAGTGCAATTACAGTGCAGAGTTTTCACTTTGAGCGTGATTGTGTTCAGCATACAGACTATTTACTTGGTGGAACTTTTGTGGACGACGATTTACAAGAATTACAACAACGAGACGAAGGCTACGCCACTCATCTTTCCAGGCTAACCTTATTTCATACTTTCTTACTTTTCTATTCTTATTTGTCTATTCTGTTTCATTTTCTCTTATTGTTCTTCTACTTTTATATCCTAGAGCTTCATAATGCCTCCTTCGAAGAAAGACTTATCCTCTTCAAGATGTGTTGTTCCTGGTTGTGCATCGGTGTGCCTACAAGTGGGATCACATTGCTACCCAAAAAACTTGGAGCTATCGAAGGCCTGGGTAGAAGCAATGTGCAACCCCATGCTGAGGCATATCGATTCATAGCTTTTAAATAAAAATTATCATTTGTGTAAACTACATTTTTCCTTGAAAGTCTATATACCTCATACTGCGAAAGTAATACTAAGAAAAAATGTAGTATCATCATTGCATCTGCTAATGATTTTAATGTAAATGTTACTACAAGTGCGACTGTAGTAACAGATCTTATTTTTATTCAATAAATAACTTTTTATACCATACATAATTATGCATTTATTTTATTTCAGGTACTTGCAATTATGGTAAAATGAGACTAATTGTTTGACCATATTAATTGTGCATATTTTCTTTTGCACCACATATTGACGTTTTAGGATGTTTTACGAGGGTCATACTTGTTTTTCATAATTGCAGATGCTTTTAAAAATACCTTATAAAACTTTCAGGGCGATGCGTATAAAACGGTGAGTATAAATACACGTGTATATCTATATATACACGTGTATACCTATATATATCCCTGTATACCTATATATATATGGCGTTAGTAATATAACCTACTGATAAGGTGGCGCTGCTGCTCGTGCTAACAGTCTAAAGCACGGGAGTACCGTGTCTCAAGTAAGTGGTCTGGGGGCTATAGTAAAGCATAGAGAACTTATACGACCTACCGATAAGATGGCGCTGCTGCTCGTGCTAACAGTCTAAAGCGCGGGAGTGCCTCCAATAAGTGGTCTGTGGTCTGAAAAAGGATAATGTCCAATATACCCAAGCATCGTACGACTGTAAGAACAATATATTTATTTAAATGTATCATATATCACTCTATTGTAATGAATTGTATAATTTAATACTGCATGTTGCGCTTTTCTCTGTTAATTTTGAATGTACAGAATTTTGATTAACAATGCGCAATTATCACGTGGAGAAACATCAACCATGTGCGCGCATACCGCTATGTGTTTTACATGTGTCAAAGTGGAAACATAAATGCTGACAAATTTATGCTAAAGAATTCTGTACGATAAAGACAGAAATGCATGACGTGAATTGTGTTAAGGGTTTAATATGGATCTAAGAAATATTTGTGTCATCTGTTGTTTACTTCGTAATACAGAACAATCTATTGAAAGCTTCGCTTTCTGTGCCTTGAGAATTTCGCCGATGGAATTCCTACTTTACCTTTTTTTTTTATCGAAAAACTAATTTTTAATTTTTTTACGATGACAATATTGTACACTGGTTTTTCCACTCGTAGCCAAAGAGTCGTTACATGTAAATTATGTTTTTTATAATGTATGGAATGGAATATGCTTCAATATAAAAGACAGTCACAGTAGTATTTTGCATAGTATAAAGTATAATAGTATAAAGAACATTTTATAATTGGCCAAAGACTGTAATGTTTAAATTCCTTTTTATAGGACATAAAATTATTAGAAAACTCAAACCAAACGAAGACAAAATGTCTTCATCAAGTTGTGATTCCGAGGAGGAAATATGCTGGTGGAAAACAAAGAATCTCATTAAGGAACGACTAATTGATGATTCTTTAATACATATGTTGAAACGAGCCCGAAAATTACAAAAGGAAACAAAGGAGATAAATGTTTCATTACGTAATTATGTTAAAACGAAACTACGTGAACGGAGACAAAGTCTAAATAGTAGCAACAAACACGAAAAGACTTTGGTTCATGACACTTGGATAGTAACGGATTCTGAATCAAGTGGTGTTGACGACGTTGTTATGACGAATTCTAAACCTTCAACTTCTGCTAGATCATGTAATAATCATTCAGCTACTTCAAAGTATTCTTCAAATAAAGTTAATGTAAAATCTAAAGCTGCAATCTTAAAAAATGTACGAACTCGCTCAAAGGAAGCTGAAAAAATTAAGAAGCAGGATACACTACCAAAAATAGTAAATGATACTTATAATGCTAACAGAACTACAAATACTAACAGAGTTTTAAGATCATCGAGAAATAGATTGCCAGTATCATCTTTGAATTCTGCAAATCGACAAAATACAAATTTATCCCATGAACTAAATAATCTTTCTGATAGATCAAGTCTTACTCTTCCAATTAATAAACTCAATGGAGTATTAAATGGAGAGAACAATAAGAATAATTTAACAAATTCTAAGGAAGAATTAAAGAACACAGTGAACTCTGTTAACCTTAATATTAGTTCTGAAGAAATGTTGGATCCCATAAGGAGGTTACCAAAGGGTCCAGCTACCATTAAGAAAAATCTCTTCAGTGCTGTTAAAAATGAAAGTGATGATTCTCAAGATATTTCTAGTTCTATAAAAAGACTCCCTGCTAACGTTTCTTTCGAATGTGAAAGTTTTCATCAAGATAAAAGTATAATAAAGGTTTCTGATCTACGACATGAGAAATCAAATATTAATATATTGGATAAGAACAACCTGCCAGAAGAATTAAACAGCAATGTCAAACTACAAGACAAAAATGCTGAAAATTCTAAAGCAGAATGTTCAAATGATATACAAAATTCAGTTTTGGTTTCTGAAAATGCTGCGATACAAAATTCTTTTGAAGAAATGAGGTCTCCGACACATTCTCTGTCATTTTCACAATGCGAATCAATATCAGGCGATGATAGCGTACGAAAAAGGTTTGTGCCTAAAGTTAAAAGTAATGAAATTCTCAAAACCAGATACAAGATTGTTAAGTTACGTAAGGAAAGCAAAAATGTTTCTTATGTGCGTCCATTAATGATCAGTTCTCCCAATATAAAGTCGTTATATTGTCAAGATAATACTGTGGATGAAATTTCGAAAGTAACTGATGAACAACCTGAAGATGGTCCAAAATCTAATATGAAAATTCAAGATAATCACAATGTGTGTGGAGGGCTTGATAAGAGTTATCTTGAAGAGAAAAATAATTCCTATACTGCTATAAGCATAAATCACCCTAAAAAAAACTACGATTCTTCTCAAGAGAATTTGGAATGTTTGAATGGCAAAGAAAAAGATTTACCAATAGCAAGACGTACGTTAAATTTTAACACAAGTAGCGAGTTCCAAGAAACAGCTAATTCAAAAAAGATGTTGCGCAAAGAAGTCTGTCATATTGAATACGAGATAGGCAGAACTGATCAAAGAAATTCATTAAATTTGGACAAAAGGAATGAAGCACTCAGGACCAAAGTAACATCCGACCTAGTAAGTGAATGTTTCTATTAAAAAATTTCTCCAAAGAAAAAATTCAGTATATTTTTGTATGGAATTGATTTTTCAATAATGTTTAATAGCATTGATTTTGTTGTATTTAAGGTAATATCATTTGAATTTTATTTATAATAGGAAATCAACGATGATTTGAATCTGTCACCAACTCATCCGTCCAACAGTAATAGGATACTATCAAACTCTGTCACAGAGATTGAATCCTTAAGATGCATCATGAAGAAATTAAATACCCAGAAGGAAAACTACGACGTAGACGTTATGAAGGAATACGAAGATCAATTTTTGAAGAAACGTGAACAACAGTCCATATCAGAAAGTATTAATACCGTTCATAACCGAAGACCAGTAAAGGTATTCAAGTCTTATTGATCTCATCTACAAATAAGTTTTTACCTTGAATCTTCAGACTATACTTCAATTCAAAATATAATATTGGTTCTTTTATGCAGATACAAGATTTAGTTGCACAAAGTAATTTCACCCAAGAATCTTCTGTTACGAGTTTGACAATGAATGATATATCCTTGGATGATGAGATATTTATTTTTGAAATACCAAAAACGGTAAATCATTATTGAAAAAAAAAAGTTTCTGATTTTCCACAACGTTCACTGTTACATTTACTTTGTTGTTTCGTGAAAATAGGTGGACGTGCATAATTTTCGTAACAAAAAGTTCATGTTTCAAGGAGATAATGAGATTGTAATCGGTGGAGAGAAATTCGAAGTTTATGAAAGAGAAAACCGATCCATGTCCATGGTTTTGAATAAAGGAGAGCTGGAGAGGTCATATGGAGCAGGTAATCGTGCATATCATTAGAATTCTGTTAATTATTAGCATAGGTATTACATCTATTTAGGTCATATCAACATTGTTTGTCAAAAATTTCGGAATACTTAACTTTACCACTTTTGACGGATATCCTTCATTTAATTCTACTAATTTCAATTTTATTCATTTTTAGTAAACCTGAAGGCAGTGCGATCAGTTTACATGCGACCAAAATTGTTGAACGCAGAGATCGAGGCGTGCAAAATAGACAAAGAAGAAGAGATACCCAAACCGTCGACAGTTCCCTTTCCAAAAAATCTACGATCTCGTCATCCGCTTTTAGGGTGCGACGTTGTAAGTAATCCCATACAACTTTTCTCCTTTCTTACTATTTTGATAAGAGTTAATAGATTTTTTACGGTACGCGTTGACGGAGGTTAGAGAGAATACAGTAGTTCCATCTGCATTCAATTACTTTAAATAAAAACCAAAAACTGCCGTCAGGAGCGCTCGCGGTGTTCGCGTTTGCTGAAACGAGTGAACGATAAAAAAAAACTCCGAATTTTTGTGACACTAAGGGTCAACAGAATAACCTTGACAATTTTCTACTCCAGGTTGCCAACAAAATTAGTGTTTCCGAAGAAAATGATGAGATAGATGTTACGTCGAAGAGGATACTTAAATGGCTGACATCGCAAAAGCATCACGATAATGAAGATCCTGTGACTAATGGACGGCGCACTGAGGAAGAAATGAAGCCGAAGAAACAAATTACAGATCAAGATTATGAAGACGTCACAATGCGAGTTGAAGAATGTGATGATGATTTGGAACCACCAAGCAAGAAGTCACGATTAAAATCAACGAATGATAAACACAAATTGGAAAATGGTAAGATGCAATATAATTTTACGGAGGATGAAGTGGTAAAGGAAGAAACGTCTAATAAAAGTTCTCCACGAAAGAAGGAAAACATTGGTTTAAGCGACGCGTTTAATGATTCTTTCACGACGAATAATGATATGTTGAGTAGAGATATTAAATTGAACAAGATGATGTTGAAAAAGAAGAAGCACGAAACAGTTGATAAACCTAAATGGGACAATGAACCTGATTCAAAAACGTTAAAACGTAAGTCATCAATAAGCTGCACTGAATCAGACAGCGATATTCAGAAAAAGAAGTTTAAAACCTCTTTAGATTTTTCGAGAGATAATATTATTCTGACACAAGGTAAAACTAAGTCCGTGAAGAGTCCGAAAGTGGAATTAGATAATAAAATAGAAATACACGGAAAGCAATTACAGATGGACACAGAAGTAATGAAAGATGAGGCCAGTGATAGATTTGGATTAGAAGCATCGAAAGAGAACAGCAAGAGGAAAATGAAAAAATATAAAAAACGTAAGGAGAAAAGTATCAAAGACTTTAACGTGTCCACAGGAACTGAAGAATGTGTCTCTTCGCCTGAAAGGGTAAATCAAGACGTTCTATCCAGTACATTGAAAGCGCGTAAAGAGCAACAGAGAAGGTCAGGGAATTCACCTAAAGAAAAACTTAGTTTCGTCAAAAAAATTAAACGCAAAATTCAACTAAGCAAAAATGCTTCCAGCAAAAGTGGGATTGAGAAATTAAATGTTACTATTGAAAGTTCTCAGGAAGAGGATGAGTCATGTGGAAGTAAAAGTTCGAAGAACAAGAAGAATAAACATGTATGTCTGAAAGATGTACTGCAGCGTTCTTACCCCCTGAAAGTAATACCTACATTATCCCCTGAAAAAAGATTCCACTCACTCAGCCAATTTGAGTCAGAATTTGAAAATAACTCAAGCATTTGTAAACAAAAAAATACAAGTTGAACTTGACTGACGTGGATGATTCTGAAAAGGAGGATAAGTTAATGAATTTTGAAAATTATATGGACACCCATAAAACGTCACTTCTGAATAAATATAAAGACCAAACGCTATAAAACTATTGGGAAAGTCATTTTTCAAAAAGAAAAAGGAAAAGATGAGGAAGGTGTATACTGATAATATAAATAATTTTAAAAAGTTTAAAAGAAAACTGTCTAAGGGGTAAGTAATAGTAATTATGTGTGATTAAGACAAAAAGCGTTTATTCCAATTTTATTTCAAAAGTATAGGAATATTTTAAAACTAATATTGAAAAAACTGTTAAACAAAGGTGCTGGAAATATTTTAAATATATGCATGCAACCATGTATAAATAATAAGTACAGTGTAAGGAATAAACGTTTTAACTGAAGTAATAAAGAAGATAATGTAAACTGAAAACCCCAGTTGACAAACATTAAAAGGCAGTTAACCAAAGATATTGAAGCCTGATTACATAATTCGTATGGAATACTAATAATTGAAAGTGCAGTGATTTTCTTTACTTTGTTTCTTATTTTGTTTTTGAAAATTTAATAATATAATCGTGTGAATGAGTAGTTTAATATATCTCGAGAAATAATATTGTATGTGTAGTAAGAGGACTAACGAAAGTTGTTTTTATGAATAAGTAAAGTATTTTGTGCTTCATTTCGCAGTCTCAAGTACGTCTATATTAATTGAAGAGGTTCACTCTAATCTTTCTTATTAGCCTAAGTGAAATATTAACTGAATGTTTGAACATGGTTTTCATGATATATTTCAGACAAATGTATAATATTATCTAGCACATAAAGTTTCTAGCGTTACGTGCTCCAGTAGTATACGAACGTTTGATAAATATTTTCAATTATGGATGATGAAACTTAACTTTAAGATATAGATAAATATAAGTTTACAAATTTCTGTTCTTTGTTTTTTTTTTTATAGAAATTCTCTTTCTTTCAACTTTGCATATTATTTATGTATGTCTGGTCAAGTAAGACTCGTCATGTCAAACTACTAATTATTTTCATTAGAAACATATATTTGATATTATATCTGAATATGAAAGTCACATAATTGTATTTTTATATCTTGAACAGAATAATCCATATTGGATTTCAAAAATAAATATTTTTCTTTAAAGCACCAATCTCTCATGGTACAAATTAAATATTAAGACTATATCGTAAGCGTAAATGTTAAACAGTCTATATTTTAAACTGTAATGAATGCTTCATCATACAGATAATAAGTTTTGTTATTTAACACGTATAATGCATTATCAATCATCCATTTCTATTGTCGTTACGAAAATAATAAAATGTAAGAGTTATAAATTATTGTGAATCGTTGAATCGTATGATCTATTTTTTTACTTCATGTACGAACATTATCGTTAATAGGTGACCGAATAATAATACAGATTTTTATTAACAAATTATCTTGTTTCTACAAATCCTTACCCTACTCCATACGACTAGGTGTGAAAAAGTTAAATATTTAAAATATCAATTATAACACCGACCATGCGTACTTGAGCTATTCGGGAACTAGTAGAAGAATGAATTCTCGCAAAAATAAGTTTCCTGAGTCCATAATATACCTATAAATTTATAAAACGTTAAATAATGTAGTTTAAAATACGTAAGAAATGAATTTTCAAAAAAGTGTGCATTCAGTAAATTATTGAATTATTATATGTATATGTATATATAGAATTTCACGCATGCGCATTTAAATTTTCCTGATGCAATGACCCCGTATGCATCATAATACGATATGTATTTGTTTTATTAGTATAAAACGTAATGACAATCACGGAATATTCTTTATCAAGTTATTGCAGATTAATAATAAACTTTCTAAACTCGACACCCACTGCCTGAATATTTCCCAAGACATTCTTAAACGAAAGCTGCAACGTGATAATAATGACTTAAAAAGTTGGAGTACATTCGTGACAATAGGAATACGTGAAAATCGATTGATTTTTTATCGAAAATTTATTAACACTATGATTTTAAGTGTCCTACGTGACTGAACGAAGGGATTTGATTTTGCCGGGTGCATCGCGCATGCGTATTGATTATATGTACATCGAGGGTAAAAGGGACAGCATCTTCATTAGTTTACGTACAGCGCGTGGGGAGTATCTCTGTGCTTGATAAAACCTCAATTGCAAATACACCTTCATCGACTCGAAGTTTTTCGTGAGACATGTGATTTGAATAGCGATAAGAAATGTGAGTATATTAAATCAATTATGAGCCAGCATCCTGCGAGAATGTGAGTGTACTGAAGTTAAAAATCATACCAATAAAAGGCCTGGTCAGATCCAAAGCTAAGCTTCGGTTCTGTCCAAAAATTTCATAGATAAATCGCACGTGCGATTTGTGCTTTCCGTAATGGCGGCTTCTTCAAATCACTTGCAATTCCGGTGTACTGTTATCTCATGCCACCTATCTTTAGCCAAGAATATATGTAAGAAAATCTATCTCTTTCGTGCATCCTGTCAATAATCAGCATCCATTTTGTTTATGCACGAACCCGACGCCCGTGCTGAAAACATTGCCCCCTCCTAGCGGCTCTCCTATACTCATCTATTGCATTCCCCACTACTCTCCCTTACAGCCCCTTCTGTCAATCTTTGTACCTATTGCGGTTCGCGTCGCGTCCATTTTTGCTAATGCTGATTTTTTGATTTGCTATGTTATAAAGAATGTAATATTGCTACTGATACTGTCAAAGTAAATCTTGTCAATATGAGGAACAATTATTTAATTGAATTTGACATGCTAGCTTGTGTTACGTAAGATTGAAATGCTCTCTGCATCTGTAAGAGATGTTAATAAATGCTTGGTTAGGATTTGCTTAAGGTAAATAAAATGTGTAATTGATATTGATGTATTTGTATATTAGAGGAATGTGATGATTGATCTTTCTATCTTTTATTAAAGATACGCCCACGTGGACAATGATTAGCAATAATTCTGGGGGTCCACCCCGGATCATGGTCTTCCGGCCTTCTTACGAAGAGTTTAAGGATTTCTCTAAATATGTCGAGTATATGGAAAGCAAGGGTGCGCATAAGGCTGGTCTAGCAAAGGTTATCCCACCGAAGGAATGGGTACCACGTAAAGGAGGCTATAATTTGGACGATTTGAATCTTACAATACCGGCACCAATCTGTCAGGTGGTCACTGGCAAGCAAGGACTGTATCAGCAAATCAATATACAGAAGAAATCTACAACTGTTAAAGAATACAGTAAACTTGCTAATTCAGAGCGTTATTGTACACCTCGTCACTTTGATTATGAAGATCTTGAGCGCAAGTATTGGAAGAACATTACGTATGTTGCTCCAATATATGGGGCAGATGTCTCTGGATCACTGACTGACCCTGACGTTAAAGAATGGAATATTAATCACCTTGGCACAATTTTGGATTATGTTAACAAAGATTATGGTATTTCTATCGATGGAGTTAATACAGCCTATCTATACTTTGGCATGTGGAAAACAACTTTTGCATGGCATACTGAAGATATGGATCTTTATTCAATCAATTATCTGCACTTTGGTTCACCAAAAACATGGTACGCCATTCCACCAGAACATGGACGAAGACTGGAACGATTAGCAAGTGGTTTCTTTCCATCAAGCTATCAAAGTTGTCCTGCTTTTCTTCGTCATAAAATGTCATTGATCTCACCACAAATATTGAGACAGTATTCGATACCTTGTGATAAGGTATGACAACTATTCTTATTTCTTCTGTTCTGCAAACAATTACATATACCAGATTCTTAAAGTATATTTTCGTATCCTTTCAGATTACACAGGAGGCTGGCGAAATAATGATTACTTTTCCATATGGTTATCATGCCGGATTTAATCATGGATTTAATTGCGCGGAATCCACCAATTTTGCAGCTCCCAGATGGGTGGAGTATGGGAAAAGAGCCACGCAATGTACGTGCAGCAAAGACATGGTCAAGATTTCTATGGATACTTTCGTCAAACGGTTCCAACCTGATAGGTACTTTCAATTGCAGTAAATTATTTATTTTCAATAATTACAGTTTTAACTAATTAATATTTATTTGGCCCTGTTTATCGTAAAGGTATGAGCTTTGGCTCCGAGGCGAAGACATCGGTCCTCACCCAGAAGATCCACGTCAAACGGCAGCTCCAATGCCATCCCAAATGGATCTTTTGTGCAGCAGCAGCAGTAACGGTCAGCTTCCACAAAGTTATCTTAACGCGGCTGCAAAGAACAAACGTCATACAATCCACAAGAAAAAAATTATCGCTGCAACAAATCCTGACGTGGATATAGGAGAGCTAGCGAATCTCTCGGATATAACACTGGAACTAAAGAAAGCCTTACAAGACATGGAGGATGACGCTGACGATGGTCCAGATGAGCAACAACTCGAGGTCCTGGAGGATATCTGGTTAAAAGCCGAAGAAATGGGTGAGTAAAGTTTTTATCGCCAGATATATGTGGTCAGGTCACGAAATTAGTTTTTTCTAGAGAATTACATCTTGTATCCTTTGAACGAAGAACTAATCCCTTGACTCGACCCTGATTTCATACTTCTCTTGGTATCAATTAAGTTTTCCAAAATGCCAGATGTAGAAGAAGCGAACGTCTATGACGACGGCTACAACCGTAAGAAGAATCGTAAGAGGAAGAAAAAACAACAGCATGTTAATTCGGAGAAGGAGAAGCGCGGCGTGAAGTCTAAGAAGAACTCCAGTAAGTCTGCAAGCAGTTCGGAAAGCGTGAGCGTCACAGAAAATATAGAAATTGCCTCGAGCGAGTCCTTAGACATCCTGGACCATCAAGTTCCTTGCCTGATGCTGAACGGCTCGAAAAACAAAGGTTCGAAAAGTAGTTCCGATTCAAAGAAACTCGAGGATAATGTATCATCCGTGCCCTCGAGTTTCGTGATCCAGACTAAGGCATCTAATTCAGTTTCCGCTTCAGATTACCCCGACCAGGAGAAGATTTCGAAAAAGAAGAAGAAGCATTCCAAGAGTTCTGAGCAGAAGAAGCAGAAGCAGAAGCACGTCATAAAGAGTAATCGCAAGCACCCGAATGTTCCCATCTTCAGTCCCGACGAACCATTAGATGTCTCTGATGCCGACGTTCAGAGGAAGCTGATGGCTATGCCCAGTCTGAGCGCGCAGCAGAAACCATCCAATGTTAAGGATATGTCTGCGGGTCAGTGTAAGATTAATCTACTACCTGGAAACATAATTTCTGTAGGCAATGAAGTTAGCATGACTGCTGTCAAGGATAAGGCGGTAGTAAATATTACTCACGTCGGACAAATGTCTGGCCACCATGAGAAGGATAATGAAAAGCCAAGGGATGAGTTTGCTAAAATAACGAACGCCAATCGGGCTACTCTAAGCAAGGCTGAGTTTTCAAAGTCATCATTACTGAGGACAACGTGCTTGATACCGAAAAACCAAAACCACGAAATAAATAATACCTCTGTATTTTGCAAACGGCACGATGAAGTCATCGCAACGGAAGTAAATTCGCCTACAAAGCAAAACTTTGGAGAAACTACAAACAAATCTGTAAGTAGCCCATTAACTGAAAAACCAATGCATAGCTACGCCAGAAACATAATCAAGGCTCCGAAGTTAAGTGTATTCAAGGAGAATAGCACCTTGAACTCAGATATGCAGCAGATGCCAAAATTAGAATCCGAAACTAAAATCAAAGAAGACAAGGATGTTTCGACTGCGGCAGACGGACTCCTGGTGTTGCAACAGAGCTGCTTCAGTGGTTTGCCTGAGCCTAAGATCGGTCCTAACACGAGTGTCATGTTAGTATCAAATTCTACGATCGCAATGAAGTCTCAGGATGCTGGTACAATCTTTAGTCCACGAAGTACCAACATTTCTTTCGACACGAATAAGAACGAGAACCCAATGATATCTTGTACACCCCTGGCAAGGTTACATCCATCGAAGTCACAACTGGGAACTCCTAGATTCGACCTGAGCATACACCGAATTCCAAACAATGACACGAAGATGCGAGACACGACAGAACCCTCTAGTTCAAGGTCACAAAGAAATCCACCAAGGAAGATGTGGCATAGTCCCAGCGGTAGCTGCAAACCTTTAACCAACGACGACAGTGGGGATCAATTACTCTCTCGGCATACCTTGGCTCATCCTGGAATCCTGGATGACAGTTCCTTCCATGGTGCCACTAAGCCTCTGACAGTAATACCGAAGTATGCCAAGGTAATCCAGGTTCCCATTGCCAAAGCCTTGCCTGCGGAGTCCAGGCAGCAGTCATTCACGTATTCAAACGACTTGGTGATGGAGATCGTTAGTAAACCTGGTGAAAAGGGTAGACGCAAAACATGCAGGCAGCCTCAGGAGAAGAGACAAAGTTGTCGGCCGTTCACGGTAACTTTTGCCAAACCACAGAATCAACCTACACAGAAACCAACCAAGGTGAAGATGTGCTCCATATCCACCCAGGTGGACAATCTCAGTAAGATGGAGTTAGATAAAAATTCAGTAATACTGTCAGGTGCGGAATTGAACGCACAGCCCATGACGGAAGTGTCTACTGTCCAGAATCGTAGAAATCCACTTGTAACATACGTTCCTAGCATCAGTACCGATGGCTGCGTCAAGCTGCAGGACGGTCCAATTAAATTTGGCTCGTCCCAACAACATCAGACGAAGAAGTCGTCTTATCGGCAAAATGTTAAGTCCGAGGTCAAAATGGAGAAAATTGACAAGTCCCCAAGTATAAAGGAAGAGGATGTCGACGTTAAGCCACCGCTCACTATTATTTTAGAAGAACAGTCACTTAGCAATCGCATCTGTAAATTATCTCCAAGTAATTTTCCGCTGATACCTGGACATATATCAGACGTGCTCTATCCCAAAGTCCCCCCCATGAACCTGATTCAGGCCTTCAATGATTACTGGAGCGCTCAGATATCTCATTGTGCTGTTTGTGCGAGTTTCGCATCCACCGCGAATATCGGTGGACGTCCAATGCCTCCGGATTGGAGGTACTGCAAGCCTATGGTCCTACCGGAAAAGTCTCCTATATGGGTAAGCATAATATTTATTTTAAATCTTTTAAACTTTCCTTGAAATATTTATTATTAACAAACATTACTCTTACGCTCGTTAGGTATCATCAACGCTGTTCGCTGTCAATTCCAAAGAGCAGGGTATCGAACCAGAAAACGACACGTTACTTAGCTGTAGAGAATGTCATGTGACAGTTCATGCATCTTGTTACGGCATTACTGTACCACCAGCAGATTTGCACAATTGGGCTTGCGATAAGTGTAGAGCAGGGACGGCACACGTGGTAAGTCCTGTCAACCTTATGTACCAATCATTCTTATACTCCATTGTTCATATGACTTTTTACAATGATTGTTATTATTTTTAAAATTTCCTCCCAATTAAAAATCTGTAAACTTTTACAGTCGTGTTGTCTTTGTCCAATACGTGGTGGAGCCGTAAAGCGAACTAGTGACAGTCGCTGGGCTCATGTACTTTGTGCTCTACTGGTACCAGGAGCGATATTCAAAGATCCCGCCAATAAAGATCCCATAAATGTATTAACCATCAAAACCGAGATAGTCAAACAGGAATGCTGTTATTGTGGCCAAAAATATGGCGCTTGCTTAAAGTGTAATCGATGCGACGCATTGTTTCATCCATCGTGCGGACTTATTGCTGGAGCAACCTTTGTCATACCAGCTTACAATTCGTTGGAACTGGAGGTACGGAAGCATTTATTTGATGGTTAAATATTAAATCAGTCTTTTTGCTATACTGTGGATTTATTTTATCGTTCTCTTCTTCTAGGTTACGTGTCACGGTCATGACACTGGAAAGGAAAAGATTCCAAGTATACGACAGGGTGAGCCCGTCTGGGCTAAACATCGTAACAACCGTTATTATGAGGGAAAAATAGATTCGATAAATGATACTCTCTTCTACATGGTCTTATTTTCTGACAAAAGTTTCAGTTATGATCTCTATCCTTCCGATGTCATTGTAAGTTTTTAAAATATACGTGTATACAGGGTTAGTCAGTAGAAACGCACCAGCAGAAGTTGGCCGCAAGTGACCGACACGTCAGTATGGCCTCTTCAAAAAATGACATGTGACTGTGACCCATTCCCATAAGCACAAACTGACAGTTAGCATAGCAATAAGGTTATTGAAATATTTCAATAGTTAGGTTACTGAAATAATTCATTAATATTGTAAAGACAAAATGCAATATCATTTAAGATTTATTTTCACAACAGATTGCAATTAAAATAATGTAAAGTTTAAAATATTCACAATTTTGATATTTCCAACTAATGATCACAACTGCAATTCTGCAATACAATGCTTTAATTGATTTAAAAATCAATTAATTGAAATGTTTTTATAGCAAAAAATCTGTTGTGAAAATAAATCTTAACCGATATTATATTTTGTCATTACAATATTAATTAATTATTTCAGTAACCTAACTATTGAAATATTTCAATAATCTTATTGCTATGCCAATTGTCAGTTTGCGCTTATGGGAATCGGTCACAGCAACATGTCATTTTTTGAAGAGGCCTCACTGCCGTGTCGGCCACTTGCGCCCAACTTCTCCTGGTGCGTTTCTACTGACTGACCCTGTATGTCATTAATTAGGTTTCGTCGAGTGATAACTCGGACTAATGTATTATCTTTTTTCTTCTTCAAGAATTACGAGCCAGGAAATCCTCCGGCGATTGGCTCAAATGTTAAAGTCAAGTGGACTGACAACCGAGTTTACGACGGTGTATTTACTGGTACCAATCATAGAATCATGTATACGGTGAGTAAATATTAATTTTTTTTTTTTTTTTCTAATAATGAGTCAAGTCTTCGCGTATTCGCCTCAGGCGACACGAAACGTCTTAATGTAAATTCTCATTTCAGGTGATATTCGAGGATGGTTCTCAACTTGTATTGAAACGTAATGAAATCTACAGTCTAACAGAGGATATGCCGAAGAGAGTACTTTCGAGACTGGTGAGTTGCCCTCCGAGTTAAAAAGAAAAATAATCAAATATTCTAAAACTGCAAAAAAACGTACACTTGGTTCAGAATAGATCCACACTCACTTTTTTTAATGATAAAAGCAGCTTCGAGAGTGTAATCTCTTATCTCGATGTTTTGTGCTGGCTGATGGCACTTAAATTATTTGCACATATGTATGCGCACAAACATACATTATTCTAGGCATAGTTGAGTGCCCCTTGGGCAATAATTTGAAAATCTTTTTTAATCTTATTTGTTTCTAATTTAAATTTTCTTTTTTTTTGCTTTTGCTTTGATCCTTGATTCTTCCCTCCACGTTCTTCGACCATTTTTCTTTGGCAAAGTCCATTGCGACCGAAATGAAGCACCGATCGCATCTATACGGCAACGATGACTGCTCCGAAACGCCGAGGAAAGTCAAAATCTCGAAAAAGAATTGACTCGAAGGTATTCGCGACTATTGATTGTAAATATCATATAAATCATTTTTCATAGTTATGTATACAAATACGTATATGTATTGTGTCTGTATGAAAGGGAGAGAGAAAAGAAAAACTTATTGAGACAAAAGTTTTAAGTGAGCAAATGTCAGAGAATGCAAGAGTGTGTCTGTGAGAGCGTGTTTACTTGTGCTTAATGAAAATAAATATTACGTGTGTACATACATATATTAACGTGTACAGGTTGACTAGGTCGAAACTGATTTTTTTCGGTTTTTCCAACAACAAAAATTCATAACGATCGAAACTCATAAATTTACGTTTAATCGGTGCAACACCTACATTCTGATCAACTGATGAAGCGCATTGTTTTTTTACAAAGAATTTTCCGTTTTGAACCATTTTCTTCGTTAATGTGTAAATAACGAATCAAAGGGAAATAGGAAGGGAAATATGATTCTGGCGAGAAGAAATTATCAAATTGTCTAGACGACAGAGAGGGTGATAAAGTTTTTGTACATTGATAAATCTATGGCGTATTTCGTGAGAATATTATTTATGAAAATAAAACTTGCTTGTTACAGTCGATTCTACTATATGAAAATAATGCAACAGCCTTAAGCTGGGGTCTGGTAAGATTTAGAAAATTGAAAAATTACTCTGGACTCTGTTATCGTCAACCTGTGAAAGGGAACAATTTCAACTTCTTTCAGTTATTTGACTCGACTGTTGACAAATTTAATACTTATTGAAAAACTCATAAGACTCGTACAAGCTTTTCCTTTTTTATATTACATAAATTTCCCTGTTATGTACTTATACACAAAAATATTATCCTGTTTAAACATTGATACCAGCAATTATTATTAACTGCCTCCAGCAAGTCGATGCTTATCTTCTATCACTGTACGTCCAGTTTGTTCACCGGTATGTACTGTCATGCAATTGTTGGTTAGTTTCAAACAATAAATAAGGCCTCATAAATGGTGAACTTGATAAAAAGAGATAAAGAAGTAAGAAGCGTGTATCAAAATGTATGTGAAACTTTGTGAAGTTGTCAACAATGGGCTTTTATATTGTCAGAAGCTTGAAATATGTTCCTACAAGTTGATAACCCTTAGCTCGGATAGTCCAAACGGAGTTTTCAGCTTTCAGACTTTTTCTACGACCGGCTGAAAATTCGGATCACGTGGCACAAATCTATAGTAGTAATATGTATAAACTTGTATGATCTTCAACTGATCCGTGGTTAGTCATTGTTAATTGTAATACTAATAGCTGTCACGTATCAACCAAGTAAGCCTGTACACCTGGAATATTTATTTAGCCGAGGAATGCTCGAGTATAGAGATGCGACTATGTCGAATGTATCGTTCACGTAAATTACTCCCACTCGAGCAGCCCTCTGACTCTTTCGTAGCCTCTGTAACACGTAACAAGGAAAAAAACTACGAACCATCCGAGTAATGAGGTTATTAATTAATTCAAGCTTTTTAGTTTAATTATTAAAAAAGAATAGGTCGACCATCGGATTGTTATAACGGAGAAGATTGTATTTTCTTCTCATTCGTGCTTTCTCCCCGTTTTAATTATTATTTATTTTTTATTTCAACCTCGTTCGTACCTGCAATTGACTGACGTCTTGCGAGAGATTAGTGACGATTATGTTTAAGACTATCTGTATTGCAACTACAGGAGAGAGAGAGAGAGAGAGAGAGAGAGAGAGAGAGAGAGAGAGAGGGGCGACGAAGAACGGAAATGAGGGGTTGAGGAGGCTAATTAACGAGCGCAAAATTTTACTCTAATGACAAAACAAAATATTCCGACCTTTTTTTTCTGTATTTATCAGTCAATTACTGTATAAATGTCATTGTGTCGTCCTTTTCGGTATTCTCTTTTATTAAATTGAGATATTTTAGCGAACGCGAGGAACGACGCAAGAATCTCAAAATATTTATCGACGCTCAATAAGAATTTTACACAATTCGTTTTATTATACGATTATTCGTTTGATCATATACAATGTGTCTTTTTTTCGATCAGAAACGCTTCTGGCTGCAATTGAAATGGAGTTAAGCGTTTAGTCAATTTAAATTATAATTTCCCATAAAGTGCTCGCAAACGTCTGAATGGGAAAGAAAAAAGTAAAACTATCAACTATTAAAAAAAAAATATCCGACTCTCCGATAACTTTCGAAGAAACGTCCCTCCTCGGCATTTTGTGTTTGATACCTAAATCTGTGATTGGTTTAATCGAGGAGAAACAGCTGTCTTAAATTGGAATATAGATTTACGTTATAACTATGTATAATCCGTTTTATTCGATTACGTTAAGTATTATTGATAGTTTACATACGTGTATATAAGACTTGATGATGCCCACCCTCCCATGTATTACTTAATAACAAAAATTGAATATATATATTATATATATAAAAGTATATACATTCAAATGCGTGTATGTATACACACACGAATATATATATACTTTATATATAGTATCGAAGAATATATATTTATAAATATACATGTATTGTATCAAGCATCTCTGATTCATCAAATCGTATGGGAGAGTTTTCTTTGGTACGACGCTAGAACCATCTGTATGAAAATTACGTAAACTGAATGTATGTTTTACGGTCGTTTTACGCAAGCAAAGTCTGACACGATCCGTGACGTAAATTTACAAAATATACATGTAAAAGATAATCGTTCAATTCTCGCCTCAACCCCCCGCTCATTCCCTCCCTCCGCCCTGCGAGGGAACCTCGCGGTTCGATTTCCGGGACTCGCATCCTTACAAGATAGTTCCAATTAAATGCAATCAATGTGAACCGCAGTTGTTGCTGAATTAAATTGACATTTTTAACTTTGAGCTATTTTATTTACCGGAAACTTGACCACGGTCCTTTCCTCTTGGTTCCCTGTACCTTTGCTCTTTCGTTTCTTTTGAAAATTATACGTAGACACCTTTTTATCCTACGTGCGTTTACGCATTTGTCGGTCCTCTTTTTGAAAAAATGAATACATTGAAAAGAATCACGTTATTTTTTATATAATTGGTATTTAGAAGAAAAAAAATTACATAAATTACATTGAAACGGATGTACCAGTTATGGAAAATAATTGAGCCAATTGTTTAATCTTTGAAAAGTACATTTATTTAGTAAGCTTCGCCTTATCATTAAGCACAACGTATTTCTGTGGAGAAATTGAAAAAAAAATAAATAAAAAAAGATATATATGGTGGATACGAAATTAATACCATCGTTCAAAATTGATACGAGTATGAGAAAATGCATTTATTCGCTGGTAAGTACACGGGTTTTCTTAGCGATGGGAAATCGGTGAAGAGAAATATAATCGGCGACCTTAGCAGGTCCACGAGGTGCGCATTGCACTTTGAGGAACAACGAAGCGAAGAAGCACCGTGTATACATATCTTTATATATACGTGTAATATGTTTATAAGTAAAATAAATATATCATCCATATATATCTATACGTATACCGTAAAACAAGCTTCGTTGGTATATACATATATCTATAAATGTATCAAGCAGAGCGTAACGTTCTTTCTCTCCCCCTAAATGATAATTAAGTTAACGAGGCTGTACGATCTTAACAAATAAAGTTTCCTAATACTTAGTGACTAGACGATTCGTAGCGTTGATTTCCACGACGAATGCAGCTCGAGCATTAATTTCTCTTTTACAGCAGTGCACTTGCGGAATCGGTCCACTGCACAGTCAACTAATTACGACCTAGCTATTTCAAATTATTAATTAATTAAAAAAAAAACTAAACAAAGTACTGCAGAGGCCCAAATATCTTAGCTTTCGGTTTCCATCGCATCTCTACCACGTCCCCTAGCTCTGGTTGTCGTCGTTCTGAAAGAGAAAAAGAAAAACTTAATTCACTCATCCGATTTGCTGCTGCAGACTCGTACGAGGGTTCTGGAATTATCACGTATCTCGAGTTTTTGTGCTCTTGGTGTGATTCACTTTGGCAACCGTGGACTCTTTATTTACTTTATTGTAATACCGTACCAAGATCGGGTAGAGGAAGGTGGTGGAGGCGTCCTCTTCTCTATCGGTTCTTGCTACACAAGTGAAGCCACCCATGTCGTTCCATTCAAGAGGATAGATGACCAGCTCGCCGCTTCCCAGGACTTTGTAGCGCGGATTGGTCGATGATACTATGGCCCTCTCGTTATTGTCCAACCAGAACGTGCGAGGTCGAGGTCTGCCACTTGCACGACATGGGAGAACAACGGTGGACCCTATGGGGGCCATCATGATCGGGGAATGCAAGGTTATCCTGGGTCGACTTTCTGCGCCGCAACTGCTGCCGTTGCCCTTTTCGAGTTCTGCGGGAAGTAAGATAGTATTTTAAGTAAGTAATATTTTGTCGTTTGATTGCGTCATTTAATTGTTTTGTATAGAGAGAGAAAGAAATAGTAAACTATCGCTCATTAATGTTGGTTTGATTTTGTCTCGTGACTTTGATTATTACAGATCTTATATCTCGATGTATTTTTTTAAATCAATTTCAATATCATGGTTATGAAGTCAGTACAAGCATACACAACACTGTCCAGACCTGGCGGCTTGTTATTATGAAACAAAGGCGGAGGAAAGTATAATAAATTTTGTGCCGGATCAAGTTCGGAATTAACAAGCGCTTGCGTCAGCGATAAGAAGAGGTCAGAAACAATTCGACAGATAACACAGAGAATTGCACCTCATCCAATTCGTTGGGCGATGTGCAATCAGTGAGCAATCCTCTTTGCTTCTTCAATTCGACGTGAAGAAGTAATTGGACGAGTATCGATTTAGTTCGATTATTGACTTCGAGACTGCTCGTTTGAAATAAGTCTGTGATATGAAAAATTATTACTTTGTCAATTCAAGCATAAGTTACGCTTATTGTTTTTTCGTATGAGAGTAACTGAAGAAATCGGTAAGTTATTAAAACAGATGACTAGGTTTTTTTTATATACCTATACTGATAACACTGTGACTTTAATTAAGATAAAATTATTATTATTTTTCCCTCTTACCATTAACTAAAAGCATGGTAGGATTTGATAAGGCAGTACGACTTCCGGACATGGCAGCGCAATGGATAAGACCACGATCCCTTGGGGATGCACATTCGATGACAAGCTTTGATCTGGTCCTGGCAACTCCACCCCAAGTATTCGAAGATCCTTCCATATCGGCTACGCTATTTCCCACGAGCTCCTCCAGCTACAATAGACGTACACGAGTTCAATTGCAATGCTTGCATCTTCAATTTCGACGAATCGTACATATGGCTGTTTGTATTTGGGTTATATGAAACGTTAGGTACCTGGTGGCACCTGGCGGAAATTTCAAGTATTACGAAGAGCATAGGAGAAATGCCGGAGCACGAAAACCGTTAGCGACCCAATCAAAATAATTATTTTACAAATATTGTATAAACATCAAACCTCCTTTGAATGTTTTATCGATGTGAAAATAAATCTTGATAAAAATATTAATTTTAGTCAATGCGATCCTCACGCGCCAATAATGTTATTTAAAATGTGCAAAGTGATCCAGGTTATCAACCATTGATACTACACGTAATGGAAGCAATGCTACATAATTGAACTTTTCCTTGAATAGGGAGCGAGGAAAAGATTGGTGCACATGAGATTTTTCATTATCGGTCAAAAAATCAATTCGCAAGATAAACGAATTATCGGGAACGTCGCAGGCATTTGAGCTGATTGAATTCTGGCGGACTTTCTCGAAAGAGAATTTTTGCGCCAAGACTGAGGGTGAGAAAATTGAATGGCGTCGTTTCTCTACGGCTTTGAATCGCTGAGAATGGTGGGGAGGTTCCGTTTAAGGATTCACCTAGTGGGGAGGAAAATGGTAGTACTTAGGGGCTACTGAGAGTGGAAGTGGGGGGTTCAGGGGTTCATGCAGGATCGGGAGATGGGAAAAGACGAGAAAAAGAAAAAGGATACTCGCACAGTCATCGAGAAGTGATCTGCTGGGATTACTGACCTGCCTCAATGGTTCGCCACCGTGAAGCCAATAAATTTGCGGAGCAGGGCTGCCAATTGCCTCGCATTCCAATTCGACTCTGGCCCTATAAAAAGTAAGGATTATTTTTTTTTATTGACTACTGCAAGAGACAACTGTAATGTATTGAATTATTTTTTAAGTAGTTCAATCAAATCGAACCGGTTATTGGTAGATCAGAAATTCTTTTATGAATTGTCATTTGATGGAGATGATTTATGACTGTTTCTCAAGTACAAAAAAATACTTCGTACAAGTTATAGTCGGGACGTGACATCAGTTGCACTTTGAGGGGCCATCTCCTTCGCGAACTTAAACGTAAATAAGTCCCCTCAAAGTGGAACTTTTGATGCTTATTAATCTTGTGTGCTGTTTTTACTTTTAGTGACGCAATATATATTGTCACATGTATATTTAATTACTGTGAACATATAACATAGTATGAAATTGAAGGACGCGACTGATATTTCCCAAGTAAAATTAAGAAAGAGCAGGAGATCGTTTTTCAACTTTCTTACCTAGCAGGAATGTTCAAAGCGCCCGGTGGACTTTTTGGCATCTGGACCCATTCCCTATTTCCACCCTGAAAAAATGTTATACAATAGATTTAAAAAATATTCCATTTCCTAGAATCAAGTATATATATATACAAAGGTATAGAAAAATCGATACAGGTCTGATAAGATGCAAGTCACTTTTAAGGAAAATTTTCAATATTTTTATGAAACCTTGTTCACTCTTATTATTTAACAGATTGTGTTCCATAAGACGATACAACATATTAATTGATTATTTATATTCTCAATCACTATCTAACGCATCAGTGCATAAATTCTTGAGCAAAAATCTATAGTTGATTTAAATAAAATTTTGTAAAATAAAAAAACGAAACGCTAAAGTTTCCATGACATTCGATACTCGAATTCCATTCTTGAATTGTGCTGAGACTCGTGGGAATTATTAATAATTGTTTATACGGCACTATAATAAGACGAAATGTGCTGACTTCGTCCACTAATTTCTACAGTTACAAAAATCAAAGGCATTTCTCACGTGAGAAATAAAAATAAATTTCTTTAATTCACGACTGAGCTATAATAGCCACTTTATTCCCTGAAAAGCAGGATTAAAGTAGCATTTTATTCCCGCATATTTGGTTTTCCCGCAAATTTACTTTATTCCCGCAAATTTACTTTATTCCCGCAAAATTTTGAAATTTTTTTTTTATTTTGAAAATTTTTGAAAGTTTTGAAAAGGTGAAAAATTTAAAAATTTTGAATTTTTTGAATATTTGAAAAAACGTATATTTCCATCATAATGACGGTGGCTGATTTGGTTCCACTTTTCAGGTAACTAAGTGGCTATTATAGCTCAGTCGTCAATAAAGCACTATATGTAACACGAGAGTAAAGCCGGTTATTCCCTCGGGTGATTTAATCGCGGGAATAATCAACGACTTTACTCCCTTGTTGCATAATGTACTATTTTAATTTCATTATACAAACAAAAGTTACCTGAAATCTACTTTTGGATTTGCCGTTGCTACGACTCTGCGTGACAATCACAGGTGGTACTAGTGCAATGTCCTGGTCAATTTCATTTTCCTCAATAACAGCCTGTTCCACAGGATCCTCCGGAGTATGTTCACGCAAGAAGGTCATCGGGCTGCCCAGAGTACTTCCGGCAGTGAACAAGAAACCCACGAGAGCAGTTAGCACGTAAAGACGCATCTGATAAAACGAAAAATTTTTGTTAAAATAAAAATTTTCAAAAATATTCGAAACTTCGAACGGACCAGTGACGTCCTCACTTTAAAAATTCAATTAACGTGACCATCGAGCGAAGCCTGACAAAAAGTCCAGGACTTCCTGGTATACAAGGAAGCTTTCTTAAAAGCACTCTCGATGGTAATAGTTGAACCCGGAAGTGGCAACGCAACGTAATAACTTGGACGGTAAAGTCAAAAGACTGACTCCCGTAGCTCCCTCCCCTACTATGGTGCCCTAATACCTTATTTCCAAGAAAAAAAGTCCCTAGGGACTCGAAGCATTAAATATTTCTCAGAAGAAGAAGAGGGGGGACCAAAGATCCCTTTTTCCAGTTAATCAATAAACATATAACAGCCTTTATCAAGGTCCGAGATATCGTCCTCGCTTGGTTACAAGTTCATTCGTATATGGTTACCGGATGTCAGGTCAATGCGGAAGTGCAACGTATGATGACAATTTTTTTTTGTTATCAGACCAACCTAACCTACACTTTCATATTGATTCGGTAACCTCCAAAGATTGTGATTTTAATATTAAAATTTAAAAATACCGATATATCGATCGATTGTCAGTTGGTTCATAACCTCAAAAAGCAATTCGAGAGAAAGTCAGACGACTTTGACAGCCTCGAAAAATCCTCCGAAATATCAGATGGAATAAGAACTAAAGGAACAAACGTGCCAGGTCCGACGAGAAAGAATAATTTAAACACCCGTAATACCTGGAAGCCGATTGCAATCATCTTTATTCAGCATCCGACTTCGGAGAAATTTCAATGAGCCACGTGTATCTACCGCTTACAAGAGTTATGCAAACCTTAACCCAGTTTCGCGAAACTTCGTCTGAATATTAAGGAATGCTCGTCCGTCGGTCATATACAATATACATATACATATATCAGACGTTCAAATGCATTCGTTGCATTCGTAGAGCCTATGTCCTGCATACGTAATGACATATTGCTTCGATATGCTAAATACGCATAGACAGTGTATAAGTGAGAAATACATAAGGAGCATACATAATAATGACAATACCATTTTTTTTTTATTTTGAGATGGCAATTTTTTTTTATTTCGTCAATAACAATTTTTCAGGCCTAACTTCACTTTCTTGACACTCTACTGGTTTATCATAGTTTTTTTTTTTTAATACTTATAGCTCAGACAAATTCAACATGGGAGTCCACGTGTGCTTAACTTTACGTGTAAATTCAAAAAATTGCCAATTCTGGCTGCCTAGTCCATTAGAATAATCGTACGATTTGTAATTCCGAGAAGAATTTTCGGGAATAAATTTGTAGTTTTTATATTCCCAAAAAAAGCAATGTCCACGATTCCTGAAAGTCTATTCCAATATCTTCTCAAGAAACTTCTCGTATGTTCCTATTTTCCTCGTACGATATTATCCGCTTTTTTTTTTATCTACGTATATATATATTGCATATATTTCTCTTCTACAAAGACATTATAATAATGTTTGAAGTCTTTCTTAATCAATTAAAAAAAGATTCTCCGATAACATCGACAGTTCAACAATCTTCAATCGATCGAGTGCCACAAAGTACAGATAAATAAAAAAAATTCGTGTATTCCACAAATCGCAAAAATTCACCAAATTTTAAATTCAAAAAAAATAATACCCAATATCGCACGGAATAAAAAAAAATCCAACGAGCATAACGATTGAAGCGAAAATTTTTTTTTTCGAAAATCCCCAAAAAATTTTTGCACAACTTTTGAAAAGCAAGTCTATAAAAAGTCTTTAAAAAAGAAGATCAAAAAGCAAAGAACAGAAAAGACCGTAGTTGAACCTTCGACAGACCCCTCCCTACTCCCCCCCTTATTTCCTCTTAAGAAGGAAGGAGAAAACTGCCTGATTCCACGTAGCCAGTAATTTTCTCATTTAAGTGCCCAACAGTGATGAGAGAGAGACTGTGTCTGCGAGGGCCCTGAAGACGATTAGATATGGTGACACACCCACCCCCATTGACGTCATAGGGCCCCCCAGTTCCCTGCCCCCCTTAAGTCCCCCGTATATAACTCAAAGCCGGACAAGTCTCGACCGGCAGCCTCGAGGAAGTCGTAGATACTCGGATAACACGGACTCCCATACCTGTCAGGTCTGGTTATAATGACTGGCCGTAGTAAACTGCTTCCCAGGGCTATTCAACCTCCCATGTAAGATTAACGTAGGATAGTCTGGGATCCCTTGGGACTTAAAAGGATCAGTCCCAAAAGAGGGACTTCTTTCCCCACCTTCTTATAATATCCTCATCTTCCCCCACTCCCTCTTCTCGTTTCACTCAACTTTTTTCAATACTCGCGCTCATCCAATCAGCCATTGACTAATTGGACTCTTTGGGGGGGCCAGTCGTACGATAACTTTCGATAAGTCCCAAAAATTAATGACGGGATAACCCGCCGTACTTTTTCATTCATTTTTATGGATTAATTTTAGAGCCAACATTTTTGGGCCCAATTTTTATTAACTGACGAGGGGATACTCGCGTTCTTATGTCTTGCCGTTGCGCAATGAGCATAGGCGTAATCGTTACGTAGCTACTGTTAATCGGGTCTATTGCGTTATCGTGCTCCCGTTATACGTCATACTGTCAAACTACGTATGTAGGATGAGAGACTTGAACTTTACTCAATGCAAATTCGTCACCTTCGTAAGCGATGTGATAAAAGAATAGGTACGTCGGCCAACGGTAACCCTACGTTACTGAGGTACTCTAGGAGTGATCCTGGTCGGAATTTAATTTTCAAAATTCAAAAAGCCCGGCTCGGCCTGTTCAGCTTGGATAAAGACACAGTCGGATCCGGGACTTGCGAATGTAAATCTTGACTATGGAAAACAATGAGATTGAGGAATCGAAACAAATTTTCCAAAAATTCGTGAATCGAATTTTTTTTTAACATTTACTCTATTACACGAATTACTCGGATACCCTTTAACGAAAGTCAATAAATTGATATTCAATTTTTATATACATATTACTATGATTTGCACTGATTGCGAACTGTCAAAAAAGAAATATTGAACTCGTGCATCAATCCTTTTGAGACAAGGCTGACTATGACGTAAGATAAAGAGATCATTAGTCCCGTGATAAACTGATAGGCACACACGAGTCATTGATACTCGGGCGAAGTGTTACTCGGAACGAGAAAGAATAATTCCCATGACGAAGCGCGGCTACGTGTTACGCGACTCGGTATAAATTAGTAGGCAATTCAGTTAATTATTAATACCGGGAATACGTATCAATTGCATTGGGCGTGACTACAAATCAATTACGTTAATAAAACGGAGATTGAGGCACCCTGATAATCGAGGGTTCTTCTTTGCTTTGTCTTCGACAGTCAAATTCACGTTGAATTCACGTTCCTCGCATATCTGGGCAGTTTTAGTGATGCTACCGTAGGCTAATAGAGTGTATATATATGTGGCACGATGTTACTATTATAGTCAAAGCGCGCGTGAGTCGACTATACTATATAGCTAACCTAAAGAGAAGCTGAAAAATCTTTAAGGCTAATTAAGATTCTCACTATGATTATGTAATTAGTTAATATATGCGATGACTTCAAATTGACTGACTCAGTTAATTTATCCAATAGTGAATTTTACTCGGAAATCAAATAGATGATAGTCGATATAGGTCAGGAATAATTAATTTACAGAAAAGTCTGTTCTTTGCATGTATATAGGGCTGCAGCTGCTGTACAGGAGCTTATCAAATGAGATAGTAATAAAAAGTGATTTGAGGTAAAGAGTGAAGTCATCGAATAAAATTGATATACATTTATCGTATACGATATTAAATAAGATTTGGCAATGAATACGAATGAAATATTATGGTTGGAGTATGGAAATTAATGAAAACTTGATAAATTAATTAATCAATTAAGTGAATATAGAATATTAGCATAACTCGTGTTAGGCTGCTTAACATAAACGGAGATTTTTTTTATAATTAAAAAAAAAAACGTGTCAGATAAAATATTGTTGAGTATGAAAAAAGATAGTATACGAATAATTAACTACGTAATTGCTTAATTAGATTTAAAAAAAAGCCTTAATCACATTTTTTTTCTATGGACGCGATAAAACAAGACAATTTGAGTGCAGTAGCCATTTTATGCAATTGTAAAGCGCAACTATGAAAAAATGTAGAAATTTTCTTTTCGTTTTTTTTAAGTCTACTGATTTTCACGGCAGCCGATATCAATTAGAAAAACGTGGTTAAAAAATTGCCTGAAATCGACGTAACCTCCAAAAAGAAAATCTTAGGGAGATAATATTTTTTGAAAAATTATAACGAAACTTGATGTCCAAAATAATATTACGTTTAAACGAAGCTTTGATAATTTGTAGAAAATTGTCAAATTGTTATGTAATAGGTACGTGGAAGACATCAAGGAAATCTGAATGGCTGCTCAGACGCAGCGTGACCGTCTCTCTGTTAGCATTCGGTATAATGTAGCTATAGTACAGAACGACCACGAACAGGTCATAAACCTTCGTCTACTAGGTTGCGGCCAGCGAATGAGAAATACATTTTCGTCGCGTAGCCACGAGTCCGTTAACAAAAGGATAAAATAACAAAATGTTCTCAGAAATTCGCGTACACCTTGCATTTTTTTTCCTACTGTCCGATTCCTTCCCCCTCTCCGGCCACATTTCCATCTTACGACAGACCTAAACTCAAGGGATGATGCAACACGATGGTCAAGTTGCTCCGCGGTAGATTACCTCAGCCAAAAGCATCTATTTAAGGGCCAATAAAATAATCTGCTACGATAAATAATTATATGCATATATAACGTACACAGGATGATGCATCATATGACGAAGTTAATGAGTAGCCATGTTTGTTAAGAAACAAACAAAAATACTCTGATTAACGTAACACAATCTCCATATCACAATGTAATCATACGATTATGCCCTCAGCTGGACCTCTTGTTGGACGATAATCAGAGAGCAATTCAATGTTGTATTAGTAATTAGCGATAATGACAATAATTCTGATAATCGAATCGCGTTATCTACTAGTTTTGATGATTAGGAATTATTTATTTATTTTTTTCCTCACTTATCTCCCAACTTTATATCAAATCGAGAACGTAACCTGTACGTTGTCACCAGTCGGTATTAGTAGACAGAAAGTGAGGTTAGTTTGACTTTATCGAAAACTTACCTTGCTGTTCTGTAACCTGCCCGCGTCGAAGGTATGATTTTAAGTGTTGGAGTGTTTCTTAGCGAAGAAGGTAAACCTGGTGGTTTCTGAGAGGCGAAACGAGAACTGGCGAGTGGAGGGTTGCTGTCGGCACATTTATACGTTTCAAATGTAACAATCTGCATCCCTCGCTTGGTGCTGATTGGTTGTCGGTACAGAAGAGTGGGGGCTTCGTTACTGGGGAGACCGATTGAATTTGTCACCCATACGCTCGTCGGCTACACGAGCTTGCTATGCATGACACTCTTTCTCGTATACATTATTTGCACCCTTGCACGTACCTTTATTCGACTGTTTGATTTCTTGGAAAGTTCTGCCTTCGTATTACTGTTGGTTGTCAAAGTTATCGATCGTAAATTAACTTTGAATTTACAGGAACAGTCGACAAAGACTTTGGGTAGCACTGCGTTCAATGAATACTGGAGACTCGCGGCGAAATTCCCAGCAGGCCCTTTTGACCGTTAAAAAGAGCGGGAGGAGCATGGAATTTGAAAAGTTATTAGTCAACGTGTCAATAGGAATGAGAGTTTTAATTTGTCTAGGTCGTTAGACGTTTTCACGAGATTTTGTCGTTTTTAATAAATGTGAAAATAATTTTTATTTAATTTTATTAATTAATTGCTGCGATTTATTAGGTTAGGTTATGGAAACTCTTGGATATTATCTGCGTCTATAGAAATGTGTTTGTTGTTGTTATTCACTTGGAAGTCCAATGTCATATTTGATGTTTACATACGAAATGTTAATGACTTTTTGGAAATTCGCTATGACTATTGATGCATATCTTAGTTCACAACTTTTTCGTGAAAGTTAGGTCGGATTACGAAATCTTCTAGATTTAAATATTCAAGTCTAGTCAAACTGATCGTCGTGTTGATACGTAGAAAGAATCGTGTATCAAATGAAATCGTGACTAATTTTTATTCCCAATAAATTCCAAATTTTGACATATGTAATTCAATATTATAAGATAAATTATTACAGTTTTTCATATTAATTCAACACAGCTCAAACATCCTGAGAATGTCCCTTGGACGTCTTTTGGACGTGTAAACGTCCTATGTATATACCACGGTTATTTCGTGCTGTATAAAATCGTGTGAGTATACATTGCAAATATATAATTGATTATCAAAATTAATAACTGAATAAGATTTTTGAATTATTATTTTATACTAATATAAAATATATCACAGGTCATCGCGTTATATAATATGTCCGTAAAAAAATATAACAGTGTAAAAATAATATCTTGCTACTCTAATACTTTTTTTAACGTAGCTTTGAAAATTGGCATGGAAAAAAGCCACTATGATATTCAAAATGATATTCAATTAGAGGTTACATAAAAAATGTTATCATAACCAAATTTGCGTAATGTTAATTAGTCATCTTATTATATTTTTTTTACGTGCAAAAAAAGCAAATTCGAAAATCACTTTATCTTAACTTAATACGCAAAAATATTATGGATCATCCCACGATGATATCTTTTCTTTCCAATACAACTGATTCTAATATTAATATTCTATTACACAGCTGTTACGTAATCCTTTATATATTACTCGTTGCGCGTCTTTAAATATTCACAGATTATTATCATAATTCCAATCAATTTAAAATCTGCCGACGGAAATCTGAGAATGAACTGCCTATGCTCTAAACTTGGCAATCGTTGTCAAATGCAAACCTGCATTAACAAGTGAATCGTTATAAATATTTATGGCTATTGCAATTAATCGTCATAGTCATCGTCACGTAGAATCAGATTTGAATTATCGAGCACAATAATAATCGTAACCGTTATGACAACAAATCAAAAAATTATAGGTACGTGTCGTTATACCATTAAATAATTGTCGTCTTTTTTTTGTTAAAAAAACAATATTTTATATATAATAAACAACGCATAAATCAAGTATTTAAAATAAAGGTATAAAACCTCGAGTAATCTGAGAATCGTGATTTCCATTTATCCCAATCATCATGATGGTCACATTTAATATAATATTGTAAAATGAACGACCTAAAAAATCGCCGGTCTCACCATGCGTTATGCGCCTTTAGTCACGATGCGAATCGTACGGAATGTGCGAATAGTCACGCAGTCTTCTCAATGACAATTCTAAAGGAACCTGCCCAGGTCAGTCGTACGCCACTTTAGTCTGGTGCATTAGATTCCTGACTGGTAGATCTTCCATGGATTAACAAGCTCTACCAATCGGGGATCTGCTTTATGAAAATTCGGCCAATCAGGAGTCAGATAGACTAGGCGTACATGTCGTTACGACTAACCTAGAAAGGTTCCCTAATAGCTGTACGATTCAATGATCGCTTGGATAAAAAAGCTGTTGGAAAGAAAATTGCGGGTAAGACAAGATCAAAGGAGAATATATAATTTAGTTTTGTAAGAATCGTAGGGAATAGCGAATTGGGCACAGGGATAGAGAACCGTGTGATTGAATATTAAGACTGAGGATTATTAAGGGAAGGTCTTGGGAATTCTGAAAGTATGCGAATGGGTGACGTGCAGTCTCCCGCGTACTCTGGTATCGGTCGGTAAAGAAGTTCTTGCGGAATCTTAGATTTCTATCTGGAAATGCATGTTATCTTGAATAAGACTGTGTCTTGAATTCTTAGAAGGAGACATTAATGATATGCTTACGGCATCGTGGTGTCGAGTTTGATCCACTATTTCTTGGAGATAATTTTAATACGTGATTACGAAATTTTTCGTCTCTACTTTTCCTGGTAACGTTTTGATATTCAGAACCGAATTTCTTTTTGTCGAGTATCTCCTGTAGCTTTGCCTTGGTCAAAAATTTAGCTACGCCGTGAGATCGGTATTAGTTTCAGGGACTAGCTCTTCATGGTTTAGAATGCTAAAGAATCCCCTGAATCTAACACTGGTATTGCGGATTGACTATTTCGATATCCTGTATACTTTCAGACTGCCTGATAATCAGCAACGGTTATGCAATTTGTCTGCGAAGGACGCCACCCGGGGAGATAACAATATGCTATTTGAATTACCATTAGCTTGACTCTTGAAAATTAGCGGAGTGATTCAGTGGCATCTGCTCTCGTTTGAATTATCCGCTATTTTTTTTAAGTAGGTGGCGAGTCTGCTGGGTGTCGAGATTACGGCGGTTCGTGCTTGTTTCGTCTGCTATGAATTTCGAAATAACCTTTACGATTGGGGTCTAATATAGTGTGGTGATTTCTATAGTTTTCTCAGTTAATGGGCGTCTTCTTTCAATAGAGCTAAATTATTGAATGTTCCCTAATTCAAAAAAAAAGACTAACAACCAATCAGTTCATGGCAGATATCAATATTTATTTACTAACGACTTATTAACTGTAACTGGATTATTTCAGATGCAATCGACAAAATTCTCTGTTTTTTTCTCCTAATTCTACAGACTAAATTACAAGCTGCTAACACTATCTCCTCCATATCCATTACCCTTGCTCCATAAGTATCTCAACGCTCAAAATAAACGATGAATAATTCACAATTTCAAGATTCCATCAAGGTACGAAACTCATGTATAATTCCTATAAAATGTCAACCGGAAGTTTCCATGATGCAATATTATTATCAGTTTACAACCGATTCTAACGTCAAAAAACACTTAATAAAAGATTACAATTTTAAATAGGACACGGTCACTGCCAGCCAATCAAGATGTTCCTAGAGAAGACGTAAATTCGTAGTACACTGAGGAAGACTCGTCATTGGCCAATATTAACAACGCCAATTTCTCTCACGCTAATTGAGTAATAGTTATCCATTTCCGCGAATGAAAAGACGCGTGACAATCTGACAATAAATTATAATAGAGTGCGAAAAGAAATATATACTTATACATATGACACTAGCGCACACTCGCTGGAGTAGGTATCTTATTACCCAAGAGTAAGCATCATTAGGGAGTAAACGCATATTAAAAAATTAATTTTATTTTTAAAAAATCACACCACTTAGTTTACTGCGTACGCAGCATACAGTCATTCGGCAGGTATTTAATGTCTTGGACATCGAAGTCATTGACATTTAATTGAGTAAGTAAACTTCGATAGAGTTCAGTGTCCCAGAACAAATGTTGTCTGACCGAATTCCACGTATAAATACGATATTACATCACGATTGTTAGAGATTGATTTGGTAACCAATTATTGAAGTATCTCTTCCTAGAACCCTCTCTTGTCTAATATTTACAGCGTGTATCCATCTCACGTTACGAGCAGCAACGATAACCTGAATAGGCGATACATTAACTCATATTATTAATCCACGACAATTGTCAGCTATTATTATATTCAATTTCGGTGCAAGGAACTTCACTAATAACCAATAATTGTCTTGTATAAATTCGTATTGTCGAAGGATCGTGGCTTTCGAATGTAACTCAATGAAAAGGGAAACGTTCGTTTAATCCTGTATTATCCGTCCAAATAGCCCCCCGTCGAATTTAATATCATGCCAATTAAAAGATATTGAACGAAATTAATTCTTATCAATTTCATCGTTTGAAATTAATTGATTGCTGTTTGTTCTATTTACATGTGTCATCTTTTATTGCGGACGTCACACGTAACGTACATGCGATCTTTGTAAGGGTTAAAACAATATTTAGCGATTGCACAGAATTTCTGTAGTCCAGTATTGCATTTTTAGGCATAAAGTTAGTGTATGTAATTTACTATGTATACTTTGAATATTATACATATTGTTTAGCTAGTTTATTGATTCTGTGTATAGCGTAGGCAGTATGTATGCTATTCTTGGACCATTAATTACATTATTGCTGGAGGGTGACTTTTCGTGCGTTATTCGTAGAAATGATTGTTTCGGTTTCTGACGTAAAGAACGTCAATGACTCGATGGGCCACCTGCAGTGCCTTTAGGAAAAGCTATGATTCTTCCTTTCACTGACAATAGCTGCATAGGATTAATCGATAATTTATTGATTTGAACAAAAAATATGATTTCGTCACGTTACGTGTAAAACGTTGTCATGGTACGGCAGCTCTTAGGTGTTCTTAATGAAGCTTTTGAACGTCATTAATTATGGGTAAATCAATGTGGATTTGTAGATCATAAAACTATTACTAGTCTCTGTATTAAGAGTTCGTTTATTTACATATAGGGAATTCAGGAATATAAGATAATAAGTTACAGTACTTTGTTAGTTTACTATATCTTTGAACTAGTACAAAATGCCATTTAAGGCTTCCATGCTTCAATTTTTGGCCTGGTAGTAGAATATGGTACATATATCTTATTTGTACCAGAGAGATTGGGCTCGTGCTCCTGTAGCATCCACTTGTACTTTGGACGGTTTGGATCTTTATGCGGGGGTAAATCTGTTTTGTAATGAAGCCATCCGTACCATTCGACTGGAACTTGGGATGCATCATACTCTAGCCTCACATGATCAGCGTATTCTATCCATCTGTTACGGCCTATAAAAATAGTTTATGTATCATTTTGTGTATTAATCAACTGAAGCTGTACGACAACTATTCTTATATTCACGATTATTTGAAACTTAGATATTGTACATTCTATTACATGAAACAATAAATATTGCGGAAACGTATAGACAATAAAATTACAGTATTTTATAAGTAAACCAATGAAGCATTGTTTTACAGTACTGAGTATCATGTTAACACAATCAGAAAATGAGTAGGAAAACTTGATTACCAATAAAGTATTCGTTATTTTCATAATAACGATTCCCGTACTTGTCTTCGCCCACTAAGGTTCCAATTTTCAATTCTTCTCGCCTGCCAAATAAAAATTTTAGAATTAATAGCCATATTACCCTAACCTCAGCATCTTTGAGATAAAAATTAGAAAATCATAGTAATATTAATTTATAAATTAAAGTATTAACAATTATGTACAAGTATAAAGCTCTCAGGGATTTAAAGATGCCACCATTATGCCGAATTATCTGGATCAAACGCACAAATTTGTCAAGTCCGATCACCCTCGCCATTTTTACTTGACAAGTTACATAAACATGGAATGTCTCGACACTAGATGTCAGGATTTGGTTGCCATCTATGGGGAAAAGTTGAAAAAAACAGCTGGAAATCAATCGGTAATACCTGAAAAAAGAGGCACGTGACTAATCTTACGGAAAACAAGGATTGACAAGGACATTGACAGGAGAAAAGAACATTTAACGAGGAAGACGATAAGCTGTTAATCTACATTGATCCACATACTGTGAGTTGTACACGAAAATCATTATTACCGAGCCAATAAAAGGTAATAAGCCTTCAAAGTCATGAAAAAATTTTGTATTAGCTAATGTCAATTACTCGTGTCTGTTGTACATATGTTGATTTACAGCGGTTAACCTAGAACATTTAAAGTATTTGGAAAATGGGTAAAACTTAGGAATGCGTCTCCCTCTTAAAGTTAGCTGCGAAATATTAAAGAACCTACTAAAGGTGTGTAAATATATATACTATATATATGACATTAAGAGGGAGGCGTATTCTTAAGTGTAGCTGGAAAATGTAATATATTTATTATGACGTTTAAGTTTATTGCTCATTGGAGAGTTCTGGTTTCGACTCTAAATTCATGTTCTACCTAGATTTATCTCCTATTCAAAAGTAAACCATTATTTTTGTTTTAGTACAGACAAAAGAGACTTAGCAATGGCTACTGTACCATTGATGTTTGCGGAAGAAGATGTTGAGGGTGGTGGAAAGGAAGAACATGCTGGAGGAATTCAAAATGATTTTGCATACAACAACAATGTTCACAATGCCAACATTAAGATTCGCATGGGTAAATAATAATAATTACTGTATACATTTTGCTGTATCGAAGCTCTTGAATGACGTAATTGCAATTCACAATATAATTTTCAGCTTTCTTGCGCAAGGTATATGGATTATTGAGTATTCAGTTACTGATGACAGTAATTGTAGCTGCTATATTCATGATGTGTGAGCCAGTAAAATTGTTTATTCAACAAAAGTAAGAATTTAAAATTACATGCATGTTTTTTATTCATCTATAATACAAAAAACTAATTGATTTCTAATTATAGTACATGGATGGTAGGTGCTTCATTTTTTCTGACTCTTGGAATTCTAATTGCTCTTTCTGTCAAGAGGAAAGATCATCCTGCCAATTTGATACTCTTGAGTGCCTTTGTAAGTAAAATTCCACAATTTGTAAAGTTGCCATTGAAGAAATTAATATCACAATATAACATGAACCACTTCAAGAAAGAGTCGTATCCTGCAGCTTTACCCTCTTGGTCTTTACTAAGGATATTTTCTAATTTTTATTTACAGACTTTGGTACAAGCCTACACTGTTGGTGTCATAGTAACGATGTATGATAAAACCATTGTTCTCGAAGCACTCTTGATTACTCTGACTGTTGTCATTGGATTGACAGCTTATACTTTCCAAACAAAAAGAGATTTCTCATTCATGGGTTTTGGGTAAGTTATTATTATTAACGTTCATATATTATTGACTATGTATTATAAGTAAATATAGAAAAATTCGTATCAATTACTTTCTCATAATGAATGCATTTGATGAGATTTAATTAATATAAGACATAGATAGATATATACATAATATATCATTTTATTTTGTAGGTTATTCGCAGGATTGTGTGTGCTATTAGTCGGTGGTTTGTTACAAATTTTCGTACAAAGCACTGTACTAGAACTTGCGATAAGTATTGGCGGTGCATTGCTATTTTCTTTATTTATTGTCTTTGACACGCAATTACTAATGCACACACTTTCACCAGAGGAGTATATCCTGGCTACGATCAACCTCTACCTGGATATAATAAATCTGTTTCTTCATATCCTGCGAGCTCTTGCTGCCGCAAAACAGTAAATATCTTATTATCCGATGTTATCTACGTAAATTGTACTTTATGTCTCTATTTCCAAACTTTCTATTAGTTCAAGCTATCGTATTGACAGTTCAGTTTATCGAATCACGAAATTATTTCTTATCGATTTTATCGTTTGAAATTAATTGATTTATTCACATGTGTGTCATCTTCTATTGCGCAAGTTACACGTAACGTACATGCGATCTTTGTACGGGTTAAAACAATGTTTAGCGAGTGCACAGAATTATTGTAGTACAGTATTGCATTTTTAGGCATCATGTTAGAGTGTATACATATGATATACTGTATATTTTAAATATATATTATTTGGCTATTGTATTGGTTCTGTGTATAGCGTAGGCAGTATGTGTGCTATTATCGGACCATCAATTACATTATTGCTGAAGGCTGACTTTTTGTCGTAATTCGTAGAAATGATTGTTTCGGTTTCTGACGTAGAGAACGTCAATGATTCTATGGGTAACCTGCAGTGCCTTTAGGAAAAGGTACGGCTCTTCCTTTCACTGACAACAGCTGCATAGAATTAATCGATAATTTGTTAATTTGAACAAAAAATATGTTTTCATCACGTTACGTGTAAAACGTTGTTATGGTACGGCAGGTCTTAGGCGTTCTTAATGAAGCTTTTGAACGTCATTGATTATGGGTAAATCAATGTGGATTTGTAGATCATAAAACTGTTACTAGTCTCTGTATTAAGAGTTCGTTTATTTACATATAGGGGATTCAGGAATATAAGATAATAAATTACATTACTTTGTTGGTTTACTATATCTTTGAGCTAGTACTAAATGCCATTTAACGTTTCCATGCTTCTTTTTTTGGCCTGGTAGTAGAATATGGTACATATATCTTGTTTGTACCAGAGAGATTGGGCTCGTACTCCTGCAGCGTACTTTGGATGGTTCGGATTTTTATATGGGAGTAAATCTGTTTTGTAATGGAGCCATCCATACCATTTGGCTGGAACTTGGGATGCATCATACTCTAGCCTCACATGGTTAGCATATTCTATCCATCTATTACAACCTATAAAAATAGTTTATATATTATTTCATCTATTAATCAGCTGAAGCTGTACGACAACTATTCTTATATTCATGATTATTTGAAACTTAGATATTGTACATTCTGCTATATGAAACAATAAATATTGCGGAAACGTATAGACAATAAAATAACAGTATTTTATAAGTAAACCAATGAAGCATTGTTTTACAGTACTGAGTATCATGTCAACACAATCAGAAAATGAGTAGGAAAACTTGATTACCAATAAAGTATTCGTTATTTTCATAATAACGGTTCCCGTACTTGTCTTCGCCCACTAAGGTTCCAATTTTCAATTCATCTCGCCTGCCAAATATAAACTTTAAAGTTAATTAATAGCAACATTACCATAACCTGAGCACCTCTGTGATAGAGGTTAGAAAATCAGAGTGACATGTAATTTATAAATTAAAGAATTAAAAATTATATACCAGTATAAAGCTTTCAAGTATTTAAAGATGCCACCATTATGCCGAATTATCAGGATCAAACGCACAAATTTTTCAAGTCCGATCACACTCGCAGTTTTTGCTTGACAAGTTGCATAAACTTGAAATATCTCGACACTAGATGTCAGGATTTGTTAGCTATCTACCGGGAAAAGTTGAAAAAAAACAGTTTGAATTCACTCGGTAATATCTAAAAAAAGAGGCACACGGCTATTTTTGCACAAAACAAGAACAAGGTCAGATGATGGCATTGCCAAAAAGAACATTTAACAAGGAAGGCATTAGCTGTTAATCTACATTAATCCACATACTGTGAGTTGTACACGAAAATCATTATTACCGAGCCATTAAAAGGTATTATGTTTTTAAAGTCATAACAAGATTTTGTATTAGCTAATGTCAATTACTCGTGTCTGTTGTACATATGTTGATTTAAAGCGGTTAACATAGAATTCTTAAAGTCATTGGAGAATGTAATATATTTATTATAACGTTTAAGTTTGTTGCCCAGTGGAGAGTTTTAGATTTCGACTTTAAATTCAAGTTCTACGTAGATTTATGTTCTACTGAAAAGTAGAACATTATTTTTGTTTTAATACAGGCAAAAGGGACATAACAATGGCCAGCGTGCCTTTAATATTTGCGGAGGAAGGTGTTGAGGATGGTCGAAAGGAAGACATTTTTACAAACTTTGATCATAATTTTGCACGCAACGACAATATTTACAATGCCAACATTCAGATTCGCATGGGTAAATAATAATTATTACTGTATACATTTTGCTGTATCGAAGCTCTTGAATTACGTAATTACAATTCACAATATAACTTTCAGCTTTCTTGCGCAAAGTATATGGATTATTAAGTATGCAGTTACTGATGACAGTATTTGTAGCTCTTATATTCATGGTGTGCGAGCCAATAAAGTTTTTTATTCAACAAAAGTAAGAATTTAAAATTACATGTATATTTTTTATTCATCTATAATACAAAAATCTAATTGATTTCTAATTACAGTACATGGACGATATATGTTTCATGTTTTCTGATGATTGGAATTACAATTCCTCTTTATATTAAGAGAAAAGATCATCCTGCCAATTTGATACTTTTGAGTGCCTTCGTGAGTAAAGCTCCACAATTTGGAAAGTTACTGTTGAAGAAATTAATATTGCCTTATAATATTAAAAAGAACAAGAAACAGTGTTTATTATACTGAGGTTGCAGCCTCGTTAGTATAAATTGCATAGACATATCTCAATAATTATAACAAATCCTAAACTTAACCTAACAATTAAAATTACATTTTAGGTACTAGACTAAGACTATAGTTAAAGTTGCTCTCATAAAGTAAGTAGTTTTGAAAGACACAGTCGTGGAGGACTCACGAATGTTAGCAGGTAGTCTATTCCATAACCTGATACCCATTATAAGTACAGACTTGTGATAGGAGGTAGTGCGGCATAGATGAGTATTTAGGTCGAGGTAATGTATATACACGAGTACAGGGGCTAGTCGTAGTCGTATGTGTTCTATTTATTAATTTTGGAGCAAAGAATTCAGGTCTTTGATAGACTATAGCTCGGTATACAAATATTTCTAAGCAATAGAGTCTGTGTGTAACTTGAAGTCTAAATAATGCAAAGAGATATGCTCGAAGTTGCGTAACTTAAGTATAAACCGAACACAACCGTTAAATGCCCTTTGTAGCTTAGCATCTTCTTCAGTCGTGATGTCCACTAATTCAAGCGTGCAATATTCAAACACTGGTATAATGAGGAATAAGACAAGTTCCTTTCTTAGGTAGCGCGACAGACGTTGCCCATTTAGTCGTAGTTGGTATAGGGTATGAAGACTCTGCTACAAATTGCCGTGGTCTATTCCCGCCAGCTGGAGTGAGAATGAGCCCCAGGCTCTGTACACTATGAATGTAGGGTACATATGTATCATCAACCTTGATTTTCTTTAAGTTATCAAGTTGAAGAGTGTTAACATACTTGGCAGAGCCACATATCATGGACTTGGTTTTGATCGGATTTAGGTATAATTTATTTAGTCTAGCCCCTGTCGATTAGGTTAAATTGCAGAATATGACTTCTTGAAGTTAGCTATTGATTATTTACTTTTTTTTTACATCAAGCTGTTGATTCGTATTCTGCAGTTCACCCTCTTGGTCTTTACTAAGAATATTTTCTCATTTTGATTTACAGACTTTGTCAATGGCCTACAGTATTGGTGTTTTAGTATCGTTGATTGATAAATCCATTGTTCTCGAAGCACTCTTCATTACTCTGACTGTTGTCATTGGATTGACAGCTTATACTTTCCAAACAAAAAGAGATTTCACATTCTTGAGTTCTGCGTAAGTTATTATTAATATTCATATATTAGTTACTATATATTATAACTAAATATAAAAAAATTCGTATCAATTATTTTCTCATAATGAATGCCTTTGATGAGATTTAATTAATATAAGACATACATAGATACATACATAATATAATTTTATTTTATAGGTTATTTACAGGATTGTGTGTGCTAATAGTCGCTGGTTTTTTACAAATTTTCATACACAACACTCTACTAGAACTTGCGATATGTATTGGCGGTATATTGCTATTTTCTTTATATATTATAGTTGACACGCAATTATTAATGCTCAGACATTCACCAGAAGAGTATATCCTAGCTACAATCCACCTCTATGTGGATATAATAAATCTGTTTCTTCGCATCCTGCAATTAATTATGATCTTAAAAAAGTAAATATCTTATTATCCGATGTTATCTACGTAAATTGTGCTTTATGTCTCTGTTTCCAAACTTTTTGTAAGTTTAAGCTGTCATATTAACAGTTTGCTTTGTCAGATAGTATTTAGTATGAAAAGCACTTCAGCTATACCTTTAATATATTCATGAACTATCTATTTATTTAAGTATTGATATGTTGTCAAAGTCATTTATTGGAGTCCTTTCAGGGAACAGTCTGACACAATTGAATACATTTGATCAATTTTTTATTTGTCTTTCAAAACTATTTAAATAATTTTTTAATAATTGTTAATTTGTATGCATAGCTGTTTGCACTTTCAGAAAGGTGATGGTGACAGTGGGAGCTTATTTGCTTTTAAATATGAAATCCTTTATATTAATTGTGTTATCAGTTAGTCATTGTATAATTCTTTATTGTCTATTGAAAATTAATAAAGTCTATAAAAGTATTACTTCTGGATTCAAATTATTGATCATCTACAGAATAATAATAAAAAACACTAAAATGTCATTTAAATCCAACTTTTTCTCGGAAGATATAAATTGAATGCTTTTTCAGTAAGGAATCATTTGAAATCATCCATTACGCGAATTTTCCTTAAGTATTTTAATAAGAAAGGAAGAATTACTCCCTTGCCAATAAGTTTGTGATAAAGAAACCTTTCCACTTTATATTTTTCATAAAGCATGAAGTACATATGAAAAATATATTTGCAATTATTTCCAATGGTTCAAAAAATAAAGGAATATAAATATTTGAGGTTTTCTGTGTTTTATTGTGGTACATAAATGAGGCAATGTATTGTTTACGAAGTTTCCATAGCGGCTGTCGAATCCTCAGTGTACTTGCCCTTGTCTTTACCCAGGGCAGCGAGGCGACCCTTGCTCCTCCTGTCGATGATCTTTTTGCGATCCTTGTCCATCTTCAACTTGACGATGACCGTCTACAAAATAAAAAATAATTTCAATAAAGTATTTTCTTTTGCTTTAATAGCCACACTTTTCTTTTATTTAATATGTAAGATCAGTGCCAACTACTCTGCATTAATCAGACCAAGTTCAGACAAGTTAGCCGACAAACAGGAGAACCCTGAACGCAGTTTCACAAGCCAAACTTGATTGTCCGCTTCTACGTGAATGGTTTAATTCATCATATCAAAATTTTTCATAATACACAAGTATGCCTTTTCTACCGACTCCATTATAGAATTTACCTTGGAGGGATCGATGCCGACGTAAACGCTGGCACCATTAGCTTTCTCGCGTTGAATTCGTTCAATATATATGACAAATTTTTTTCTGTACACTTGGATCACTTTGCCGACTTGTTGACCCTTGTAGTGACCACGAACAACCTGAACAGATGATGTATAAGTGCCATTAGGATACACAAACTAGTTATACTAATATTCAAGTACTTTTAAATTAATGTTCAGTGCCAACTTTTCTGCAGGATACGAACCGGATGTAATCGGTCAATTGTCACCCGAGAGAACCTCGGGAACTATTTCACGACTAGCATCGTTTGTTCGCATCATCCGTGAATGGTTTAATTCATCATAGTAAATTAACTAGAATATATAAATGTTTAAAAAGATAAAATCAACTAGTTATTAGACGCAGAATGTGTACGATTAAAATAATTTTTAAAAAACTTTATATTCAGCTGACAAAAATCAATATAACATGTCCTGCAACACGCAACCAGTAAAACCCACATAGACGAACACGCGTGGAGTGTAAAACATAGAGGTTAGGTTACGTAAAATGTATTAGCTGCATTTATGCAATTAGCAGAGGATTACAAGAGAATGAACTTCAAAATTAAATATCCTAGTAGTAACTTAGAAAGGTTATGGATTGGAGCACGAAAGCGGTTTAAACATTGAGGTTAGGTTGCGTTACCTGGACTTCATCTTCCTTGCGAATGGGCATAGAACGCACGTTATATTTTTGTCTCAACTCCTTGGAGACAGGTGCAGTCATCAGCCTCCTTCTAATGTGAGAAGGAGCAGTAAAATGCCTCTTGCGATTTTTCCTACGCGAGGAAGTCACCAATCTGTTGAACTTCATCTTGTCGAATCTCCTGGACACAAAATAGAATGAAATTATCATGTAATTTCATTGGCAAAAATTTTATTTAAATCTCGTTTACGCATTTGTCATGTTTGCTAAAACTATAGATAACAATGTATTTCAGTGAAACTCAAAAAGTATATGGCAAAACAACGATTCGCATGGATCTTACGAGTTCTGTCACTGGGCGACAGAGTTGTGCCCTTTGAATGAAACGTTTTTGTGCCATGGAAAAAATACTGCTACATTTTGCCGCGGCGAGGATTGTACTCGGTACTTTTCTATGATTTCATTAGCCGATTGGATTTCTTTATGGAAGATTAATGCAGATTCTCGAACGTGAAACTCACCGACAACAGCAAAGTACCACAACACTAACCGGAAGAATGCCCACGCGCCGGAAATAAAACGTTGTACAGTCTGCTGAGTGCGCAGTGCGAACTGCGCACCGGGAAATTTGAATTACTGTACGTAATCTTTAGACTAACGAAGAAGAAAAATTGTATTAACGAAAGCGGATGATAAATACGCGATAAAATTATTGTTACATGATTATTAAGATTAAATCACAATAATGTTCAACTGTAACAGAGATATCGCTGTTAACAATTTCTGTATTATATCAGAACGTTATTTCAAATAAGAATGACTCGATACCTAATGAATATTAAGTTAAATTTATGTCAACGCTGTATCAGCGTTATATTAAAATTTATTTTAAATCTTTCGAAATTCTTGTAAACTATTGGTAACCAGTTACAGATGTCGCCAGTTGGCACTCTTACGATTGGCTGGCCTTGATACAAGAATTCCAATTGAAACGTTGCTGCGTTCAAGTTCTAGCTGGAAGTGTGTTCTCCGATGTCAGCCATTTGCAGCCATTGTGCTCGTAAGCAGCTCGCCATTTTCGCGTAGCTGCATTTTCGGACGCTTCCAAATTGACCAAATTATGGAATTAGTTAATATAAAATCAAAAATGTGCATCAAGAGCAGGGTGAGTACTAACATCGGTACGGCAAAGTGCTTGGGATATAAATCAATCGTGACAAACCTATTGTGAAATGAATGTAAAAAAAAAGTGTTCGTGTTTCTTTGTTTTTACACTAAATATTGGACGTATATTTTTGAAATACCTTGACCATGTCATGCGTTATGTCTGTAGAATTTTAAAAGTTCTATTGCTATCGCTTCTGCTTATTTTTATTACAAAACACTTTCCATATCATCGAATGATGTATCCATTTTTTGCCAACGGTAACAGCCTGATAACACAATATTTGTTATATTTCGGTTGTTAAGAAACTAACGAAGAATACCTTATCGCGTTACAAGCTGCTAAAACACTTAATTAAATAATTCTCGGAACAGGCATGTCTTTTAATTTATTTTTTATCGATAATTTCTTATCTGGACTAACAGCCATTTTCCTGCTAAACAAATTAATATTTGATTACCTCGATATTTCTTGTCCCGGTTATTCATTCGTGAATATTGTAATTTATAAATTACTTTCACTTTTACCAGTGATCGACATTTTTACGCAATTTTCTGTAATATCTGAGTAGGTACAATTTCAATACTCCGTCCAAAGAAAGCCCACGATGCCCACCTGTCATATCTACATGTATATACGTAGCAATGTAAACTTGTGTAATCGTATTACAAAATGGAGAATCCGATCGAATCATGGATTCATCAAATGAAATCCTTTAGTTCAATTAAGAATTATACAGAAATGAATTCTTAGGCACCGTCATAAAATCTATAATAATTGTCCTCGTCATGCGCGACATTTCTTCCTTGACGTTCCATTAAAATCTGCATATGTTTTCTCGTTGGTCTGCCGTTCCAACCATTACGAAACAATGAGGATCACGTGAGCAACATGATATATTTGCAATTTTGCACAAGTTCTGCGAAGATCTTCAGTTTGCTGTATCTTTCGAGACGCGTAAAGGTATATTAGTTCGTACCTCAAATTAAAATATTGGATTCTTAACCACGGTATGTATTAACAATCCAATGTTAGTGATCGTTGTGGCATTGACCCTGACCCACATCAATAAATACAGACTATACACTCCTTGCTTTTAGAGAAAATACGACTATTAAAACTAATCCAGTTGAAATTTTTATATTGTCTTGATATATAAACGATAGCGTATGAAAATATTCAATTGTAAATTTGTCGCTGCTCTTCGGCTTGGCAATGAATATGCTGTGTAGCTCCTTGATCAATGCTCGCCATTTACGTGTTTGCTTTGAAAAAAAAATCGTTTCTTATCGTTATAACGACCAAAGGTGATTCTGATAAGTTTTTATTATTTTACTGTAACGTGCATACGACTTTTTGTCAACAGAATGCAAATTCGACACTGACGATACTTCAAAGTGTTATTGATAAATTTTAAAAAATTTGAACTTTTGAGAGACTGATTCTCAAGTAGTTTATATTGTCCGAATAACGAAACGATTAAAGAGGAGTGAAGATATTTTTATTGACTTTTAAAAACATAAACGGGAATATCGTTTGTTTATAATTTTTAAATAGTTGCCAAATAACGTCATGTACAGTAATTTCATTGTCGCAGATAAAAATCCTACAGTTGCCGCGTATTTTCTCAAATTTTCGACTCGTGACATTGAATCGTCACATATGTAATTTATATTTTATGTACATAATGTAAATCCGCGCTGTTTTTATGTCACATACTCTAGTACTTGCTCTTAATATTATTATAATGGTCAACAATTGTTATACAGGGTGTTCGTTATGAAACGCACTGTAGTAACATCGCTGCATTCCTTGTCAAATTCCAAAGAATACGTGTATTTTCATTTTTTATTTCATATATCAAAATTTCGAGATAATCAAGGTTGAAGTTGCAGTAATGCGACCAATCAGAACGCGTTTAAACGGAGCGTAGATGACATCGCGAGCCAGCCCGCAAGGCCTGCTTACAGGAGGCCAATAACACTAAGATTATCGTCTCGTGTATCTTACTCAATTACATGCAGATAAGCGTTTCATAACGAACACCCTGTATACACAATACACGTTACTAGATAAAGTATGAAAAATAATATTATTCCAGATCTAAAATATAGATGTTTTAAAATAGCGGAAATTAGTTTAATTAAAGAACAGTGTTTCTCTTGAGTGCTTATAGAACCGGGTAAAGTTATCAGAGTGACATCACCTGTAGCAAGTAATCGTGACTAGCGTCATTTTTATTTAAATATCATGTCCTTATCGGTCGCAGTACGCTGAACAAAGCAGTTCTGGTTCAAGTGGCATATGATTTAGTGGCTGGATATTAAACAGGTCACAGTTGATAAGGAACGAATAAGAGGCTTGTATTCTGTAGGCGTGTCATGTATTATAATCTTATTTATTTTTTTTCCCTATATTACATTCGGAATGATTCGATCAACATATTTGTCATCTACGATTAGGTACACAATATTGATACGGATGTTTACAGTTGAATGGAGTAAAGAAGTCAAAGACGTAATAAGGCAGCAACCAATGAAAAGTCCGCATTAAGTGGGTGTGTTCCATCCATTTATCCGTCTTTTTACGTTATTAGCTGATGATTTTGGTTGTAGTTACGTTTTACGTCATATCGATGACTGTCAGTTGTAACTTTAAGCGTCTTTGACGTGCTTCCCTTCAAGGTTAAACGAAGTATCAGCATATAATGTACTTATATAATGTACTTCATAGTTTTATCAGGCAATAACAATTGCTAGACAAAGCTAGACATTGATGGATATAAATTTTTCTTATCAAATAGCGCTCAATGATAAATTGTTAATTAATGTTTGTGCACAATTTGATTGTGAGATAAAACGCTGAATGGAATGATTAAGCTACGTTAGAATGAATGGTAGTTCAGTTTATCATTATGATTGGAAACTTATATTGCCCTCCGTAGGTTGTCGATTGTTCAATAAGCCCAATTCTTAAATTTTTACTTGATCGAAACCTATTTTATTTGTGCTATTGTTATTATTGTTATCTAACAGTTATTATAATTCATATAATTATTTGATTGCAGATCATTAGAATGGTGGTGAGGTCAAACTCCTAGGTAGCATCCTGGAGACAATTTGGATTGATCAGCAGTTGCGTACATCAGTTCTGAATTTGACATTGATCTTTACTGACATCCTATTACTCTCACTCTTCTTTGGAACACTGTTGCACATCGAGAAGGGACTTTCATACTTGGAATCTAAATTGGAGATTACCTGTGAGGACACATTTATCGAGTGCATCAAAAATAGATACAAAAATGGGATCATCAGGGCCTCAGGACAGATCCCTGAGCAGTGGGATTTCACTTCCTCAATGGATGAAAGGAAAAATGGATTCAAGGTACTGCTAAAATTATTATATTTAATCATAACCTGTTTGCATAGATTTCTTTAACTAAAGTCTATTAAATTGACCAAGCAAAATAGATATAAGTTGGAAGATTTTATGTCGGATTCTTTTTAATTTCCATACGTCTTGCTTACTCAAACGTATAGGTGTTTACGACTATTTGTTTTTTCAGTCTGTTAACTTATTTGTATATTGGCAACTTCATTTGTCGTCTCTGTCACATTGTCTATCCCAGCTGTGCCATTCGCGCACTTTCACTCGAATGTTTTTGTAGGTCACGTCTGTCTGGCTCCACTTCTGGAAATGAATACGTCATTTACGTAGTATATACCGTTTGAGTAGCTGTAAACACTTGACCATGCGTCATTCACTTTCGTAAACCTATATGGTCACTGATCAATGAATTGTAATGGAACACGTACACTACTGTTCCTCTAAATAAATGTTGGAATCATTAACAAAATGTAGTATGACGTATTCTACGTTGGCTGATATTGAGTGATAACGAATCTATCAAAAAATGCCGTATTCTTTAATTAAAACAGAAATGAGAGACTAATGACGTTGAATTGTATCCAAAAACAATATGTGATCATTAAAAAGGTACAGAGGCCAATGGTCAATTTGTTATAAGTGAAAGGTTAAAGCATCCTTACTATCTGTCCACTGCCATGGTGAACATCGGGACGTTGCGTCAGTAATCATAGCAGCAGTCATTTATTTGATGATTAGTCATCGTTTGAACTATAGTTTCTACTGAACTAACACGCTCTCTATTATTGTACAGAACAAGCTCTATTATTTTCCATGGACGACCAATGATACAGCTGACCCAATTCAGTACTTCTCCGTGGTGAACGTTGAGAAAAATTCCATTGGAAAGTTTTTTCATTATCTAACAGCACCTTTGTTGTTGACGAAATGTCATTGAGGATTTGATCATCGAGTTTCAAGGTATCAAAATCATTATCAGTCTGAGCAGCTGTTTGGCCTCAGGTCATTCGTCGTCGATCCGGTTTATCGGAATAGTTTTCCACGAGTTTGACCTAACGGTTGTTGTGTTTTAACTTTGATGACATTTCTTGCTAACCGATGACACATTTTTATTTTTTTTTTAATTATTAATCATTACACATTGCCCGTTTCTTATTACCTACAATTGCACGATGGACGATTTTACACGACTGTTTAGTGAAATTTTGTATCTTTTTAACATACTCTGTGTGCACACTGACTTCTATCACGTTAACGGTAGACGAGTCTTCGCGTCGGTGGATCTGAGCTGATCTAATATACGTTATTAGTCTTATTATCGTTTACGTTGCACAGGTGTTGGCGAATCTATTATTAAAAGCAGCGTGGCAAAGCTCTGACGATGGAAATTTCCTATGAATTGTCGTCGTTTACTTCTATTGCCAAATTGCAGGCACTGGAAAGAAGCCTCTTCCTCGCTCTTTCGTTGTTCACTTACTGTTTCCCTTGGTACACGTAAATTTCAATTACAAAAGCATTACTGGCATATGAAAGTTCGTTCTTCATTGCCAATGCTGATGCCAAGAACAAATAGTGAAAATATGACAATATCAATTTGATTTCACCTGGACCTTATAGAAATATGCAACTGTATGAACAATTGAGCTGTGTCAACGTTCAATATTGTAGTATGAACTCTGTATCTTAGTAAAAGGGTATGTAAATGTCATAGCTAATTGAATCATGTAAAAAGAATTTATCATACAGTCTTCATTGTAGGTACACCTTTTGAATAGGTTGCAGCGAAGGGAGTGAAGAGATTTGAAAGTTCAGTTAAAAAATTTTATATCACCGTGTCTGCTGTTTTTTTATGACTGATGTGTATCTGTCAAACCATTTGAACGGGACGTTGTATCACGCACGGGTGGGAAAATTGGCGTGCAGCGGCATCACGGGACTGGTTATTTTTGGAATGTATTTCGGAGCGCATTACTACTGGCCGCGAGAACTATGACGAGGTTATGTCAATTGGTTGTCTGACCATCTCTCTCCTCCATCTTTCTCTGTCCGGGCTACGTCACGAGGCGAAACGTCTTGTTACGAGGAATTTCCTCTGCTTCGACCTCCCTTCTCTTGTCTCGTGCCCATCCCCTCCCGCGACAGCACGAAAAATCTTTTCATCCTCATGCGATTTAATTTTCTCCTGATTAGTAATGCTAGAGCTGTCATTTGACACTTTGTACAAAATCAACTTGGACAATGTAAATTGTCCGTGACAGTTTGATTTTTATTTTTGTTCTATCGCGAGCCTTCGTTAATTTTATTGTTTATTTATATTTCTATTTTTATCCTCTATCTTTGCACTCACTCCGGTCCCGCGTGCGTCAATTTGCGAAAAATAATATTTAGCCTTAAGACGTAAGAATACTTAAGTACTACGCTGATAATTTGCTAGAAAAAATTTTTTTTATTTCTCTCGTTTCGCTGCGTTCTCTCGATTAAGTTTCTGTCAACGCGCGAATGATATTTCAATTTTGTACAGCGTCAAGCTGACAACCTGACTTTTGGATACAAGGTCCTTTTTGGCAAGGTCTATCGAGTTTCAGCCTCCCCAATACCAAATAGAACAGAGAGAATAATCGTGTTTATAACATTGAAAAATATCACGTTCCGCGACTCAGCCTGTTTTCTACGATTTGCCGCAGAGAAACTTATTGAAATCGTACTGATTGTTTTTACTTCGATAAAAAAATATATCTCATTCACTTAAATCGACACGTTAATCATTCGAACGGTACCACCTGTGGTTTAGCTATGGTTTATAAAGTATTTTGTCTTATTTCTTTTTGTACTAATTATTTTTTTCCAAGAAACCAACTCCGGCTCAGGTCTAAATTTGAATGGAATCCTTTTTTCAGGACGGTTGCCAACATATTGGGGACAAGTGTCTTTGATCGCGCCAGCTGCAGTAACTTCGCGAAACCTGCTTCGCCAACACCGTATTGTCGCTCTCGTTTTTGTTCGATATCGCGATTTGTTCCTGCTGCAAATTTCAAGTTTCTTGGACGTTCGATTTCATTCGGGACAGACAAGCTTAGTAAATTCCTTAGCAGACTGTGGATCGTTGTATTGTTGTTTTATACAGTGATGCACAACATCAATTTACTGATAGCGACTCGACATTTTCACAGTGTTCAGTGTATCTCCCATCAGTTATTACATGTCTGTGCCTAAAGAGTATAGTAGATCCATCTACAATTTTCTTTTTTTGCACCTTGCAAAATCATGGTAAACTTCATTATGCATTGATTTGGATATTACTATGGTGTTCATTGTGTAAGGTGTGTGTTTAATTTTTAGTCTTGTTCGTGGGATATCAATTTCTTTAAATCAAATAATTGTACGAGCATTGACATTTGTTTAAGTTCAGAGAAAAGCGGATGTGGTTTTTTTTGACATTTACAGGTCACCTTGATCTTTTGTAATTGCAAATATCGTTTTTGCTGATCGATAACTGTAAAGGATTTGAGGTCAATTCTTCAGATTTTTTATAATTCGATAACAATGAAGTAATGCTCTGGATTTAAAAAAATGAGTCTTAAGGTCGGACTGAAAATTAAAAAAAAACTTCTCTTGAAATAGTTTCCCTTTAGACTGCCTGATTCTGATATTGCAATGATACTGTATTGAGATCCAATAGAATCAGTGACATGCCTTTACATATTATTTATTAGTACTTCTGTACAGACTACTTATTAGTAATAACGGGGGCTCGTCCTTCTTTACAAAAATATCAAGCCTCCACTAAATTTCGGTACTGTAACAAACAATTGTGTTGGCTTGGACAGTTATCAGCAAATAGTTATCACCGAATGATAAACAGATCTCATAATATGTATGAACTTCTTAATGCGTATCTCCTAATCCGATCGTCATAAAATCCGGAGGCTCGCGTCATATTTGTTCAACATTTGAAGCACTGTTTAAATGTTTTGCACGAAACAAATAAACTGGTGACGGCTGATGCCCCAAGAAAAAGGAGAGAGATAGGGGGATACATTTTTGCCCCTTCTCATGTAGCCTCACTTTGTCTACCTATTCTACAGTCACCCTATTCTACAATTGAATATTTTCCGTTGTGAAAATTGTGTACACGGCTTACTGTCGTCCACGTGTACACAATAAACACGCCTAGTAGTAAATCTTACATGTAGAAACCTTCTATAGGATTTAACATGAAAACGAGACGTCTTGCAACTATAACTGCGAGTCTGATTGAAACTGACTCATCTTTGCACAGTAACTTCGTGCAATTTTAATGATTTTTAAGCGCAATACTTTTATTCGTATCCTGATGACTCTTAATTATTTTATTTCAGATTTGATTTGGACGAAAGCACCTTCAGTCCACCATCCCACGACGACAACTTCTTTTACATTCGTTACTCAAAGCAGTCTGCCAGTCAGCAGCAACAGGAGCAACAGCAACAGCAGCAACAAGAACAAGAGGGCTTTCGCTCTATCGGCCAGGTTCTTGTCGAGACTCCGCATAAAAACGTGACGGCTTCCAATCAAGTAACATCCGAGCAGCAGACTGTATCTACCTTTAAGGAAATCAAGGAAATTGACTTTAGCAAGCATCCCTTGCCTTGTCAGCCATTTGTCCCTGCGGCAATTGCTAAAGGTAAATAATTGATGAAATACCCAAAAGAAATCGTCCTGACTCTGATTGTATTTTATTTTTCGTTACATCAGCAGTGTATTTTCTTTTACTTTTTTTATTGTTAGACAATACGAATCACGAGGGAACGTACCAGGCAATCTTTAAAAGAAATTGTAATCACGAATCGTTTATGTGGTCATGAAAGATTTGTTCAGTTGCACGCGTGCTGGCCCGTCTGTCACTTCTGTTGATAAACGTATATTTACATTAACAGATACTCGAGTAATTTCGCTAAAATTTATCTTTTCAATTCGTCACTTGGATCAGAAACGGCTGTATCATTAAATAGAAAATTAGCTTAACGATCAGCCCCATTTAATTACTAAACGCCGCACGATCCTTAGTCTAAACAAACTCGTAATTAATTACACTGTATCGATGATAATTTAGAGATAGTTCGAAAGCACGCGACGTATTAGTGATAAAAACGAAATTATATTAACTTTCGATCGCCGCTGCAAACTCAATGTCACGTGTCTGTCTATCGTTGAAATTGTGCATCTTCAACTTAATTTGCTTTATCGTGTATGTGTACATTCGATATATTTATTTAATTTTGATAAATGATTTTCGGATCACTTGCTATCGATAACCTTAATATTTTTTTACATTAATGTTTGGTTCCCGTCTATTTCTCTAAACTTATATATTTCTTTCGCATTATTATTGCACCCTTTTTTAGTGCAGTTTATTTTATTTCCTATTTACTCGTCCAGTAGGATCTGGTTTCTAGTTAATTATATCTTTATACAATTGTTATTCGTATACTTCCTGTTGAGTGTAAATGATCATTGCGAATATTCACAGCTAAATATGAGCGTTCAAATTATCCTGTGACACGACGGCAGTTGTCGAATCAGTTATCACTCGAATGACGTCTAGCTGATTAGAGCGAAGTATGATAAACTAGGACCACCGCGGTGTTAAATGACCACCTGTGGTTTGTTAACTTCTTTTAAAAATAACTAGGCTCTAAAAAGATATTTTTTTTTTCCATCGTTACGACGTGCTATCTTTAGGATTTTTACATTTAGAAGCTACGTTTTTATAAATAGAGTTCTATCATGTAATTAGTAAGCATGCGTCGGGCTAAAAAATGTTTATGCATTTTATTGTTTCAGTGAAAAGGTTTGATATTAGTTGTTTAAGTCATTTGGAGCGTTAAAATTTATTTCGGACAATTGTGAGTAGCGTGCCTTGTTCTTTGATAAAAATTTATTGTATGTCAATTTGCGAGGATACATGTAAATAAGAAGTGTCGAATTAACGAGATGGATGAAAACAATTTTACAACTAGAGATACATATTTTGGATTTCACGCTATAAATTTCAATTTCGTAATACCTAATATTATGAAAATATTGATTAACGCGTACTTGCCATTTCTCCCACTTTGCATCTTCAACTTCGGACTTCAAACGATTTCTAAATCGACTCTGCTAATCTGCCATTGGTCGCTCTTGCCGACCAATAAGAATCGACTTATGTTATCGTGTTATGCGACTGATATAAATTTCGAGGAAGTTAAACGTTTCTTGCAGATTCAAACGAGACTTTAGAACAAGTCGGGGCTTCACCCGAGAAGCCTACGAGTATTCGCGTTGAAATTTTGCCCACGAACGTGTTTGTTTATAATTTTCAAAAATTAACAAATTCACGTCGTTCCACCGAAAGACTGAATACAGACTGATCGTAAGATTCGCCGTGACTAACTGAAAAATGTCAACGAGGAGTCGTTAATGAAATGTGTTATTAGACACTATTAAAAATAACAAAAAAGTCTGAAAATTCTATTAGTCGTTCTCTCTGTGATTTTTATTTATAAGTATTTATTTATTTAACTTATCCGTGATAAACACTTGGTTATATCAATCGTTCAAGTGACACAGAGAGATCTCTTGTGAACCGTCAATTTTGAAACATAAAGAATTTTCGGTTGTCATCATGATATCGATGTTTGTAAAAATTTGTAGTCACGGTTGCGATTCTGTGATTTGGGTCGTTTCGGAAACAATCATGGTCACCATTCTGTTTGCCGACGTTGGTACGTTTCTCGTCTTAAATATATTTGTGATCATAAAAAGACTGTACTATATTCCCAAGAATTTGATTACATGTCTGTATCATTTAATCATACCCATAGTCAATTTGACTTACGTAATATCATGCTCCATTTGATTTACAATTTCCTTAATCTTATTATCATGACCATGATGCAACTCGCTTGGTGGGTTTCCAATAGAGTTACTTTTCTTATTTACTCACAAGTCTGCACACACAAGGTTCATCAGATATGATATCTAAAGTGACATTAGTATTTCATCTGTTGTATCACCATATTTTTATGAAACAATCAGCTTCTTATACAAGTAGCTATGTACTGTTGTATTCTACATATTAATTAATCGAAAATATTGTTCTGCTTACAGCAAGGGAGACTAAGCCGACACAAAAAAACTTTGCTGGAAAGAGTATTGTCAAGTCTCAAGGTACAGATGATGGTTTTCACGGTGAGCCAGCATTGTGTGGTAAATCCATCGTCCAGGTAGCCAATCAAATGATGTCGAGCAAGATTAATAAGACGCTGCCGGAGTCTCGACTCCAGGAATCCGAGGAGGTGCCGAAGAAAGGTAGCCAATCCTTACCAGTCACACCACTGGCATCGCCCCTGAGTACACCAGACAGTTCGCCAAAGTCACGTCGCAAGGGATACACCAACAGATACTTCACTGGTGCCTTCATCCCTGATAAGGAGAAGTATCACGGTGGCTGGATCCTCGCAAGTCTTCTGGGTCAGTCTCGGGAGATCGTCTCGTCGAAAATTGAAGAGGAGGATGAGCAAGCAATAGAGGCTGTACCGCCCAAGAGCCTCAATCGTAAGAAGTCCATCTCCACGCAGAACCTTTCGTACTTGGGGAGCGATGACAAGGCTATCAAGAACGCCGTCTACACGAATGTTTTACAAGCGAAGCCTTCTGAGCTGAGGGAGATGAACTTCTGGTCGCCAACTTCGATGTGAAGAGGATGTTTTCTTTTGAAGCCGCCTTCGCGTGGCGGTGCGACAAGATATTTAGGTCATGTTCAGCAATGTCAAGATAGAAGAGATTTTTTGATGATTTTTTGTTGGATTGTCATTGGACATAGCTGGTCTTTTGAATTCCTTTATCGAAAACAGTATATGCTTTTGACCATATTTTCTTACGACTCTTTGGACACAGGGTTATAATTACTCTCACAGATATTTTGTCGGGTGTCCAATCTAAATGGTTATCTTGAATGTTGAACATTTTTGAATTTATTTCTCCTGATAGCCTTCGATGTCTGTCAACACTTTTATTTCTTATTATCATTCTCTGGAAATACTAAACAATTCCCATAGACAACTATGAGGATAAGTTTTGAAGAGTGTGCTGTCGATGTTCAGAAAAACTGTGGGACCATAAAAAAATGTTCGAACAAGTGACTACTCAGTAATTATGCAATATAATTGACAACTCATTTTGTACTTTCGCAGCTGAGAAAATATGTGTAACAGCTTTTGAGGGTACATAAAAGTGATTTGAATCATTGATATTAGAAATTGTATCAAAAGATACATGCGACAAGTATGACACTTCATCTCTTAATCATTCTGCATCTTCTTTAGCCTGAAGTAAGCCTTTCAAGCCTCAATTGGCTATACGAGTACAGTAATTACTCTGACGTGTCCCTAGTATATCAAATACTTTCGGTACTATTTGTATTTTGGTACTTGTACTTGATTCACTTTCCATTGAGGAACGCAGCCACAGGCCTCTGTATTGCAGACTTCAGTGATAACTTATTCTTTAACACAATCGTGCAAAATAGTTAAATTCAATGTTAGTTCGATACCAGTTTCTTTAGTATGTAATAAAGTAGAAAGAAAAGATCGAGAAAAAAGTACTTTTTCGGAACTGACGACGTGGACGATAGGCGACTTTAATGGAAAATACTCCACTACAATTTTCCTTTCGTCAGTATCACAATTAATCTTTTTTTTTTGGTTCATAAAACCATTGCAACAGCTTCTGACCATCTTTTTTTTCCTCTTACATCCTTCGAATTTCCGCGCGTCTCTGCCTTCGACTGAATATGCAAAAACAACCTTACGAAAACTTCAATAAAATCTCAGAACAATAGAAAAAAATAGCGAAAGCTTGGTGGAGAGCGAAACATGTACCTGGTCCTTTCGAGCGATGTACGCAATTAGCAGTCTCCGTTGATTCGAATCAATTATTAGTCGATCCTCTAATTTATCTAATATATATATATAAGCTAGCTTTTAAGTGGAACAGTATCACGTTAATCGTATAATAATCCTTTCTTTTTTTCATTATTATTTTATCTGTCATCTGTACTCTTGTTCATTTTTCATACCCATCGCTCTTTTGTTCTCTAACGTTATTAAATCTGTGTATCTCTACAATTGTTATTAGTATCCATTAATTATCCGTATACGATTATCGATTATAAAGATGACTATTATCACCATTCATCTTTGCCATTAGTTCTACATGTGACTGAGCAAATAAAGATACCTTAACCTACGTCGAGAAATTGTAGAGTTCATCTTTCTCAAAGCGATAAGAACATGGTATAGCATTTTATTATTAAATTAATTTTATATAATTAATATACGGAAAAAAATGTCTCAATTAATAGCTACCACGTCCAAGTTTCCAGATCATCGTTCCTAAAATGATCTGTCTGATCATTGCTTTGAACAGTAGATGTGCATGGAGATGCTCAACGCTACCGCTTCAGACGATACCAAAAGCATGGCGCTAAATCGTAGCAACGATTCCAGAAGTAGGATTTTGTGGTCGTCGATAACGCTTATTTTTTCATAGTCGAGTTTTTCAGGACGAGCTGAATGTGATCACGAACGCGTGGCTTGGCGGGCAGAGGTTCTCCGCTACTTACCACTGGGTCCCAAAGCAACCCTTAGAACGAGACCGCGAACTACAGAACTTCTCAAGAACTATTGAAAAAAGCCTATTGTTGAAACATTTTTAAGAAAGTGCAACTTGACCCGTGTAAATTTATTCAAAATATAAAATTGAGGCTAAATCAAAATCTCGCAGAATATACGGAAAAGGAAAACCCCCGAGTTCTGCGGCTTTCGCGCACAGGACTAGGGGGGAAAAACCTCAGGAAGGAAAGGAAGTCCGGTCGAGGGACAAGAAAAACGCAAAAGGGGGTAAGGTGAAGTTAAACGCAAAAGGGACAAGTTAAACGCGAAAGGTCTACCCCTAGTCAAGATTCACCGCAACGAAAGACCGCGGGCGTAAAGAAGTAGAAAAGTAAGGAATAGAGTTATAAAAGTGGAGAAGAAATGAGGAAAGAGATAAATAAGAAAATGAAGAATGAAGGATAAAGAAATAAGGAATTAAAGAAGAAGGTTGAAATGGATGTGAGGCGTGTTTCCAGGAGACCGGCTCGAGGAAGAATGAGCGCTCGGAGTCCGGGCCCTGCCTCGAGCGCTCCCCCCACCATCTGCCTGCTCACACTCGCTGAGTCCTGCGCGCACACAATTTTGAGCAACTTCCAGTATTTCTGAATATGCTTGGCCAGAATTTCCGATTTCTAAGTGTTAATATTTTACTTTATTGATTTAATTAATTATTTAAATGTTCCAAACACCTAATTTATTAATATTTCAATTTGAACATAATTTATTTTCGATATTCTACAATTTCAATTCAATTTTTATCTACTCCGAGATAATTCTACGAGATTTTGAATTAGCCTCAATTTTATATTTTGAATAAATTTTGAAAGTAAATCAAGATCCAATAATATTTACTAGTATTCGGAAAGGTTTATTCAATGTTTCGAATTTTCAGTATTTCTGTACAACTAATTTGTTTCTTATTATTCCTTTTTGGCTTTATGCCCTCATAGAGGCCCAAGTTCCAGGAAATCAATTGTCTTTACCAGGTTTTTGTAGGAATGCTTTTATCTTCATGTTTCGACGATAGACGTTTTTCAATAGTTCTTGAGAAGTTATATAGTTCCTGGTCTCGTTCTAAAGGTTGCTTTGGAAACCAGCGGTGAGTAACTGAGAACCTCTGCCCACCAAGCTACGCTTTCGTGTTCACGTTTAGCTCGGCTACGATGGGATACGCATTATCGACAGAGGCGATGATCGCAATATCCTGCTTCCAGACTCGCCGCTACGATTTAGCGCCATGATTTTGTTATCACCTAAAAGCATCTCCCTGCTCATCTCTGCTTTGAATATCTAGGTTTGTTTTCTCGTTCTCTATATCCAAACTATCTTGACCATCCTTTTTTTCAGCCATCTGGAAAAGAAGAAAAACCATCCTGTTTCATTATATGTACTGATACCATAATTTATACCCTCGAAACGTTAATCATGTAACCTCGAATGCTACAATGTAAATGATTACGTTCATTCCACAAATGAATCCAATAAGACCCTTCACTATTACGCGCGCCCATATTAATTTAAAATACTAAAAGGAATTCTCTGTTTCCATATGACGAAACGGACCTTATCATTACGTCAGTTAATGGATTTAGGATAATTCGTTTAGATGCATAATAGAAGATAATGACAACGCTCAACGTAACCAAGGTCCAATATATAGCAGAGAGAAGTCTGCGTAAGATTTTCGAATTTTATATAAAATAAAGTGCCGGATAGTGGACCTACCATTGAATTTCGTTCAACGGTCAGTTGGTCTAGAACGAATTCGGCAAAGTAGTCTGGGGTAAGTGACACGTGCGAATGAAGCTGTAAATCCTTACTTGCGACGTGTAAGAAAACATGAAGATATATATTTCCACGTGGGACAATTTCGAATACAAGAAACGAAGCGGGGACAGTGGCCCAACAAGGCCCGCGGGCCCAGTGAAAGTAAGTCAGGGGCAGGGTGTATCAACCACGCCCAACCATAACCTGTGAATTACACGTGTCTCTTTGCGTGCGCCACGTATACTTGTATTTGAGTCTCGCTTCTCGACTGTTACGAATTTCACAACATTGTCGATTCTCATCGCAATGAACCAAGATGGAATCTCGGAGGTTGAGAGGAATGAGTGCGTGTCGACCTAACTTTTTATTTTCTCATAAATCCTTTTAGACCTCAAGGTCATTTATTTTCCTCGTTTTGCAACGTCTCTGCTACACAATTCATTTGATGTGATTTATTTTTTTTAATTCGACTGTATGTATATTCGTACGTGATATTTTATTAGGCTCTTTTTATCTGTTACTAAATTTTAAAGAACTTCATTAATTCTTCGCACTTTTGCGGCAATGGTAAAGATATGTATATACAGATTCATATAACGGGTGGTCTTATTATTCCATTCTTGTGATCATATGGTTCATGCGCAATAATTATGTACGATTAATGAATTGTGGATGTGTTGATAATTTTTAAATAAAAAAAAAGAAAATGGTATCTCCATTTGGTATGTAAATTGTAAGAGGAATTAATGCGCAAATTATTTCAAAATGTGTAGTGAAATTATTTTGAAATATTAGCATGTAGCTTGATTTTGGGTGGTCGGTAACTCATTGACTACGCAAGGGAAATTGGGAACCATTTATAATTGGGCGTATTAATTTTTTGTGTAATTGATATATCAATGATCGTAATGATATATTGTAGCTTGAGCAATCGATTAACGGATTATTATTATCCGATTATATATATATATATATATAACGGTCATGATAACAGTGATAATAAATGTAAACAATTTGACATATCGTTACAGACAATATTATATTTTTATGTACACATAAATAGCATAATATCGTCGAAGACAAATATAAAATGTTTCATAGGACTTGGGCATGTACAGTGTTTTCAGAATTTATAGTATAAAAGGGCGAAAGAGTATTTTCAGATATACGATATAGAATAAAGTATCTCAGAAAATCCTGTTTAAGATTCCCTAAGCTAAATAGAAGTTCAGAAGATGAGTCGTGTGATCTGTATAATCTATGAGTGGAGTTCGTTATTGTTCAATGAATTCGAATTTCCCGCGTTGATTTACCAAGCGTACGAGGCACCGAGTCCGCTGAAGGTGGTGTGGGCGACAACGTTTGCGGGTCCGTAGCTTAGAGCAGGTCCGGCCTTCAGGACGGGTGCAGACGCAGCGTAACTGTAGACAGGGGCGGACTTGACGATGGGTGCAGATGCAGCGTAACTGTAGACAGGGGCGGACTTGACGATGGGTGCAGGTGCAGCGTAGCTGTAGACAGGGGCGGACTTGACGATGGGTGCAGATGCAGCGTAGCTGTAGACAGGGGCGGAATTGACGATGGGTGCAGATGCAGCGTAGCTGTAGACAGGGGCGGATTTAACGACGGGTGCAGATACAGCATAGTTCAAAGCGGGTGCAGCTGCGGCGTATCTCAGGGCAGGTGCGGCTGCGGCATAGCTCAGAGCGGGTGCGGGGGCAGAGTACGTCACATGGGCAGGTGCAGCTGCGTAAGCCAGAGCAGGGGCGAGGATCTTGCCATCGTTGGTGATGCGAGTGTCGTATTTGCGGACGCTAGAGAAGGCAGTGTCGACAGCCTTGCTGTAATGGGAGACAGCGGAATTTCCGTCCAAGGATCTAATGGTGCTCTGGTGGGAGGTGCCTACAGCTGGGGCATGGATAGCGTAGGGTGCAGGTGCGCCGTAACTGAGAGCGGGTGCGCCATAGCTGATGGCGGGTGCACCGTAGCTGAGTGCTGGGGCAGCAGCGGCGGCGTAGGTCACGTGGGCGGGAGCAGCTGCGGCGTAAGTCACATGAGACACGGCAGGGGCAGCACTGTAGGCCAAAGCAGGGGCGGCAGCCAAGAGATTTCCAGCCCTGGCGACTGCGAGGACTGCGCTGAGAGCTACGAACTGGAAATTATTTTTATATATTAATTAGATTCGTTAATCGATACAATAATTATTTATTCTATAGGTAATCCTATACACAGACAGTTTCTTCTTCGAACATCATTATATCATTTTAATTGATATATTAATCAATTTTTTATATTATTTTAATTAATTAAAAATATCTCACATCTACTGCCCCATTAATATATTCAAATTGAATCCTTTTTTTTTGTATAAAAAATCTCGCCCCGAATAAAAAATTGTCAAACAAAGATATTGCACATACCTTTAACATGCAACGTTAATGGTAAGCCCAATTAAATAAAATAATTTTGAAAAATCTCTTTTCGTCTTTATCAAAATTATAGATTTATCGCAACCACTACACAAAAGCATGATCAAAATATTTCATTTAAATGCAAAAAATGTCATTATACCCAATGCCCACTATGAATTCTTTTACCTTGAACATTTTTCCTAAATTTTTCTGGTTGATCTGCTCACGTCTACGAACACTGTAGATATGACAACTGCGAGGAGACGGCGCTTCCTTTTTATAGGTAAAAAGGTGCGATCCGTGTCCGGGCGTGGAGGGATGCCAATATTTCGTAATGGCCGTTCTTTTTGGCTGATCGTGAGCTCAGGCATCTCCTTGAGTCGCGGCAAAAGGAATGAGGAGAAAATAAAATCAGCCTCAAAGCAAAAGAGGCGGGCGCCGAAGGTCTGGGTTATTCTTAAAAGTAGATACACTTTAACGCAGTTCATTACGTATAACGATGGCATCAAGAGGTTTTTGTAAAGCCGCATTAACAATTCGCGTAATGGTCACTTTTAATAACGAGATCCGTCTTAAGGTCGCTCGAACTTTTTGTCGACTAGAATTCGCGTATGAAAATAATTTTATTTTTCGTCGCTTCCTTAATAATACAAATAGCTTTTAATTAAACTTACATTAATAATTATTAGTAAATATTAATTAATCAACATTTTACGCTCTACGAGTTCGTCTCGGCTCGAACTCGTCTGACCGTATATTCACTGCAACTACTGCGGGAGCATCTTCATTAGCGACCTAACCGCCTTGTCTGACCACGACGTTCTATTTCCACTTAAATCGATGCACCTGCAAAGCACAGTCACTGATAACTTGAAAAAATTGCTATTTGTTACGCGGTAGGTATGACGTCACTGGCCACTGTTCAACGAATAAATTATTATAAAATTTAAGATAATTAATTATAAAACTTTTTAACGTCCAGTAATAATATTTTTTATACAAATATATTTATTCAATCCGACTTGCTTAACCCTACGAGCCTAGCAATATTATTGATAGTTATGATAACACTCATAATTCACATAAAAATCGGGTATTAACCGTCTGGACCAAGTTATATCATTATCATCAGCTTTTTTCTTTGTTATCTTTCAAGCTACTTTCATCCAATTGAGAATTATGATAACACTCTCGACATAGTCCACGTAACGATCTGTCATTTGGCCAAATGTACGCATATTAATCTTATGATTTACATATAGGTATTATACGTGTCCATATATACCTATATATCTAACGAAGGTGCGACCGGACCTAAAGCCTCGCCCGCAATCAAGTAATCGCGTAAATGTTAAAAACGTCGAACGATCCACGATTCGAAAACTTTTACTTTTCGTTCGGAGCGACAGAAGAATCGCCGTCGGCGAAAATGTGTATTAACGATTGTCGCGCTATGAAGATTCGTAGAACGAATTAATATAATCGGTTCGTTAATAAAGTCTGGTTCATACGCCCACGGTTGAAAAAAGTTGACGATTTTTCAAGTTGGCTCTTTTCTTCTTTTCAGGCTGACTTTTATATTCCGTTTTTAAACTGTGTAATATCTAATTACGCCCGTGGAATGTGGTCATGAGTTATTCGTTAGCTGGTGACAATTTTTTTTTTCTAAATTATTCATTCATATTTCTTTACGAAAATGGCTGCCTCGTGCGATTTCTTATGGACTCCCTTGCGAAATTCATTGTAGAAGAAAACTGTGCTTCGTGTTTTTTTAATGGATCTTGGGGGGGGGGGGACTAATATACTCGACGATTCTATGAAGTGAATATGGATTAGTTCTTTTTTTGGGACACAAAAGTAGGCGTAGGGGAGAGTTTCAATGTGGCAAAAGACAAAGTGTCTTGTATCGATGGTTACCGCACATTGCGTAGGCACCTTAATACACGGATTAGCACTGAAGTGATATCATTTTAAAACTAGATGCATATATATATATATATATACATCATATATATACATATGAAAAAATGGTATAGCTTACAAAAATATGGGAAAGTAAAAAATTCAAAAATTTTTTTCGACTTCCTCCGAAAGAATTTTTTGTCAAAAAAAAATGTTTGACTTTACACCTTGGAAATGGAATTTTTTTTACGAAAGGATGCAGATGACACATATCTGATCGTTCGGCTGGGACGAAGGTAAAGAGAAGCCAATGATGAATTCGGTGAAGGTGATCGTCTGAAATAAGACCAAGCCCACGGAATTTCGCCATTCTACTCCGGTTTCGTTTGAGCGAAGACGCGAAAGAGGTAAAAAAAGTGACGAGGGAAAATGGAGGGACTTTTTACATGTACTGTACGTTAAACGTGAATGATCAGATTGAATGAAAATTGAGTCGATTATAAATGTGAAGAAATGGTTATTTTTTTTTATTTACTAGTACTTTATGGTTTGTAAAATGAATTTTATTTGAGGTTAATTTTCATGACGCTGTTTCTGCAATTTTAATTGTCATTGAAAAAGAATGATAAATCTTAGTCAAAAGTTTTTAGTCGACGAGAAAGATGTTATGTTGTCGCAGGTTTTGTTGCATAAGAGACGACTTGCAGGCAGAGAAAAAAATATATAACGGGTCGAGTGGCAGATTGGTCAAGCTGAGATTTAGCTTTGTGCCAAATGATCTAGATAGGCTGTAAGGTTTGCGCAATTTGCGAGATTACGTCGATTCTCTATTTGCATTTTACAAGCTATGCTCGCGACTCTGAACGAATTTATAGTCAGACCGGATGTTGCATTTTTTAAATGAAAGATTAGGTATATGATATATGTAATTACAGATTGTCTCGTACGACGAAATATAATTGTTTAATGATACTATTATTTTTTTACACAAAAATTGTGCAGGCATACAGAGACCTGATTGTCGATTGTTACGAGTTGACGTGAAATTCGTGTGAATCAATCGATTCGCATAAACCAGCACGAGATTGCGATAACGTGACGAATGTTGTAAATAAAAGGTTTTAATTTGTATTAAAAAATTGCCACGTGCAATCTTGTCTGATGAAGTGTATTCAGTCTTGTGTAAAATAAGGTCGAACATTTTTTTTTACCTGATCGATGGATAAGTAGTGATGATTATTATAATTTTTTGTAAACGAAAAATTAACTGGTGCATTTAATACCTTTTTTTTTATTTTTATCAAAGAAATTTCGATAATGTGTCTGAACATTATGCGAATGTCATGAAGATTTATAAATATTGAAAGAACAAATGATTTAATGTAATATTATAATATACTATATATAGTAATATATTGTTATTTTTTATTTATTCATAATAATAGTATAAAACATTTCATAATTTTCTAGATATAATTTAAATATTCGCGAGTAAAGTTTAATTTATCGAGCCTCGAGGCCCACGTGCTTTTTTGACAGTTGAAACGTCATTGCGTTGAATCTGTCAAAGAAATAAACTGAACTCGTGAACTGATTACAGGGAAGTACATATTGTAGAGTATTGATTATTGAGGAGGATTTAGATAACACCTGAGGTCGTAAAATAATATAGAAAGATAAAGGGTTTAATAATTTAATGTCTCATTATTTACACAATAAGGAGATAAATATGGAAAATTGTACAATGGATTTGACCACAATCCCCCGCATGTATGGTGCGTCTTTAAAAGATATTTTCTGCAGTGACTTTCTAAAGTACTGGTGTGATGGTATGAAAGTGACATGCAAAGAGAAAAGAGTAGGAAAAATCGAAATCTAAAAGTGGATTACAAAGAAAGTGTAATGTAGAGTAAAATTGTAGGATTGCATCGGGGTACTGATAACCTAGTCTTTGTATGCCGAGTCATTATCGAATCGTAGACCGAGGCGATTCGCTTCCCTAGGATGGTTTATCGACAGTCAAAATTTCTAGTGACTTGTTCAATATCACCAGAGTAGATGATACAAGGTGCCTAGGGATTTTTTTTATAATCACAAATTTACCAAGCATAGGAGGTTCCCAATCCAGAGAAGGTGGCATGGGCTACAACTGGGCCAGGTGCGCCGTAGGCAAGGGCTGCGGGTGCAGCATATGCGGCCTTAGCGTAGAGTTGTGCAGGTGCGGCTACCGCATGGCTAGCGTATGCAAGTGGTGCATGTGCGGCAATCGCATTGCCGGCATAGGCAAGAGGTGCGGGAGCGGCATAGGCGGCCTTAGCGTAGATCGGTGCAGATGCGGCATAGGTAAGAGGTGCAGGTGCGGCGTAGGAAATAGGTGCAGGTGCGCCGTAGGTGATTGGTGCGGGTGCAGCATACGCAGCCTTAATAACCGGGGCTGCAGCTGCGTATTGATATGCTGGTGCAGGTGCGGTATAACTCAAGGAGGAATAAATTCCAGGGTTGCTAACACGCACATCCGACTTGCTCACGCTGGAGTAGGGTGTGTCGATGGTTTTCGAGTAAGTTGAGATTTGTGCAAGATTTCCGGCGCTGCGCAGGATGTTTGATGATTGAGAAGTGATAGCTGCAGGTGCGGCATAGCCGATTGCTGGGGCGGCATAGCTGATAGCTGGTGCTCCGTAACTAAGTACTGATCCGCCGATTGATCCTGCACTTGCGGCGGACAGAGCAGCGCATAGAATGATGAACTAAAATTTGCCAACAAATTACCAAATTAAAATTTACACACACAAAGTTTCGAATTTTCAACCAAATCCAATACTAAATTCAGTAATTGAATAAAACATAACGTTGAGCCAAACCATCGATATTCTCACCTTGAATGCCATTTTTGGGGTAGATTCTCGGACGATGCTCCACTGCAGTTGTGAGACGACTGAAAGGGAATGATGTCTGAATCCTTTCGGAATCTTATTTTTATACCCTCCCAGTCCCAAAGCAAAAGGAAATATATATCCAAAGTGTAGCTCAACCCCCATTCTGAAAAGATCTCATTCTGCAGTGGATTCCTCTGGTACAGCATCAGAGGACATAAAGAGAGCATGAGATTGGTAGAAACGAAAGAGCGAGGGAGAAGAAAGAAGAGAGTCGAAAGAGAAAGAGGAAGTCCCTCCTCGTACCCGACACCCTCTCATCCACGCTTTTTTCCCCAATCTGGACCAAACAGACTCGCCTGATTTTTGCAATAATCCGGTTTCGCTTAGGCCACCTCTTTTTTTACATGATAATTTGTTTTCCTCTTATACAGGTATGGATTTAAAAAATCTGCTACAAAAATTTCGTACGACTGCATTCTTGAAAGTGCAAGTGCATGTATGACTGATTGCATGGAGAGTCGAGTAATTTTTTTTTTTTAAATCACATTGACGATTCTGAACAATTGATGAACATGACTGTTAAATTTTTCAAAATTTTTCATACGTAATTATCCTTTGCCAAAAAATGGCGTCCTCGCTGGGCTGGTTCGAGAGCAGCCGCCTACTGGTCAAAGATCGTGGAAGCTGACCCAAATAAGACCCCGAGATATACATATAATTTCGTATGGCTATACAGGTTCCTACTATACCGCTCACCTTCGTAAATTTATATGTGCAGACGATTACGTATGGGGAAATTGGACCACGCCCTCGGTTTGATGTAACATCAAACAGAGTCGCTTCGAGGTCCTTTCATCAAGTATCTTGTTTCAAGTCCGCTAAGGTTTTACTGAACTTCCATCTCAGTCTTACTTATAGTAAAATAAATTTGGCATTATTGAACGCAGACACAAAAATTAAATCATTAAAAATTTTTTTTATCGACGCAACACTGATTGTGCTAACCAATAATTTTATTAACGACCAGAATACAAATTTGATAATTCATATCAGCAATATTCATCTGATCGATACTAATTTGTAAGTTATGATAAAATTTATTTATGAATAAGGTAAAAATGTTAGGTTAGATTTTTTTAAATTTTAGGTTATTTCCGAAATTATTTAAAATGTCGATGTCATATATATGCTATTTTTTATCATCAACATTCTTGTACTTTTTTCAATGTCATATAATTACTACAGTAATCACGTTGAGTAACTGCAGCATAAAACTGTCTGTCACAAATTTGAGTTCTGTGACCTCGAATCGTATCTTTTTTTTTCCTAGTACACTAATAATAAATTAAGCCACAGATTGGATCGTCTTTCGGGTCGCGAAAACGACTCGCGTCTCTTTCGTTATCGCCGACTAAGCATCCTTATATATTCGTAATGGTGTCACGTGACCTGGCAAAGAGTAACAAGTAGGTATCCGATACAGTGCGTAACTTTATAGGCGAAGCCAAATAGAAAAATGTATTCGCAACACGAGAGCAGCTTGCGTCAGACAATAATGTTCACCTGAAACCAGCGCGCACGTTGACCTTATTGTGCAATTAGTGTAAATATTAGTCGGGACGAAAAATTTGAATAATTATTAATTACATGAACGATGGGAATATAGAAGATTATATTAATTTATTGTGAATCCTACCTTAATATGGTTGGGATGTAAAAAATACGCCATTAATTTAATAAGGTGCTGAAACGTTTACAATTTTTTTTTAAATTCTAATTTTTTTTATTTCTCTGCATGACAAATTGGCCCTTACAGGCAATGGCTGATCTTGCCCTATTTGTGATAAAAGCCATCAAGTGGCTAAGATTGATCTACGCGGTTTAACAGTATCAAATGCAACAGTCTGATGCAAGAGTTTGCATCAGGTGTGAATGTACTCCAGTCGTAGTCAAATGGATACTTGATATGAAATTTTTCGAAAAAAATGAACAAAGTGCAACGACCAGGTACCATAAGGATCGTGTATAAATACTGAGCGATAGTCGTCAAATGCATTCAATTCACTTGCAGCATTTGAAGAACCAGCAACGTCAAAGATGTTCAGGGTAAGCGATAGAAAAGATGGGAATAGTAAATTTTTAAATTGGAATTGACTTTTGTAAAAATGCTTTATAATTAAAAAATAATAATTGCTAATGAAAATAATTATAATTTTTCATTTAGTTGGTTTTGATTTGCGGTTGCTTGCTGGCCGTGGCCCAGGCTGGTGTTATTGGTGGAGGTCTGATAGCAACTGCACCTACGGCCGTTGCTATTCAACCTGCAGCTGCGGTTGCCCTGCCGACCGTTGCTACATCCTCTTCCAACATCATCCGAGGGATCGGTAACTTAGGTGCGATTTCGGCCTACTCGAAGAGCGTGGACACGGCGTTCAGTAGCGAAAGGAAAGCGGATGTGCGCGTTAACAATCCTGGAGTGACGAGAATCGTCACGGCTGCTACCGCACCTGCACTTGCAGTGACAAATACTGCTCTTGCAGGTAACACGGCGGCACTGGGGACGTTGATTTTGAAATATTTTTTGGCATTCTTATGTCGATCATCATGAAGAGTGTATCAGGCACTTTTTAATCATATTTAAAATCCAGATTGAGAATGTTTTTGCGAACACATGCAATCGCTAGCAGACTATTTGTACAACTTCCAATGTGCACTGGTTATCTGAAATACGGACTGTGTTATACGTATTGTAAATTTTCTATACGCAGGTCCTCTGACTACTGCTTTCGCTGGACAAGCCTTAGCCGGACCTGGACTTACAACTGCAACAGTAGCTGCTGCACCTGCAATCACAACTGGTCTTGCTGGACCTACGATTACAACAAATGCTATTGGTCTTAACGGTCTCGGGGTCAATGGTCTGGGTTTGAATGGTATCAGTGTAAATGGTGTCGGCCTCAACGGTGTCGGCCTCAATGGTGTCGCCCTCAACGGTTTAGGTCTGGGTACCATCAGAGTTTTGTAAGTCGCAACTGCAAGAGCGTGACGCATTTGTGTAACAGCAACGCAAACGAGTTACTCTACGCTTAACAGAATGGAATTTTGAAAACATGTCACAGAATGTAATAATCTAATATAAAATAAACGTATGACTATGGTGTCCAGAATATTACATATTTACAATCATACATTTTACCTGGTCCATATAAAACAGTTATGATCTCAAAAAAAAAACATGAAACATTGTTTTCAGAGTATTTATTCAATAAATAGCGTATTTGCACAAAAACTTTTCAAGGGGAATTCGAGGAGGTGGGTCTGATTTACCATCCGTAGGAGACACCGACGGGGCTGGAGTAGCTGACGTGGGAGACAGCGACAGCTGGGGAGTAACCGAGTCCACTGAGCCCGAGGTGAGAAGGAGCAACTGGTCCAGCTGAGTAGGCGAGGGGGGAACCATGTACAACTGGTGCATGTGCGTAGGCAAGAGGGGCGGCATGGGCAACTGGTGCATGTGCGTATGCGAGGGGTGCGGCGTGAGCGTAGACACCGGGGTTGCTGACACGGATGTCGGACTTGCTGCTGCTGGAGTAGGGGGTGGAGATGGTCTTAGTCTGGGTGGCGACCTGAGCGAGGTTTCCTGGGCTGCGCAGGATATTGTCGGAGGTGGCGGTCAAGGCGTGGGGCACAGCGTACTGTGCAACTGGGGCGCCGAGGTATCCGGCATTGGCTGCGGCCACAGCGCAGGCGAGGATGACGAACTACAAAAATTTGACAAATTTTCAATACCGTTCTCCTAAGAAATTTTGGCCGTTACTTTAACTCGAGATTTTATCGATGATCACAGATCATTCCGTTTCAATTAAACAATTATTACGTCCAATGATAACAAATCTTGGACAGAAAGAAATTGAAGTAAAAAAAAATGTTAATTATCCGTCAAAAGACAATTTCAAAATTTCACTCGACATTCTTGATCCATCCAAAGACACGGGACTTTACTCCAATATGAACCCACCTTGAGAGACATGGTTCCTTTTGTTGCTCACGGTTACTTGTGATGTCGTAGATTTTCAATCCCAAATCTTTTATACTCTGGATACTCCGTCCGAAGTGAAATAGTGGGGTCCGTTAAGCATCTGAAAACCTACCCCCACTCTAGAAACAGATTTAGACTTACTCAAATCGAAATGAGAGATCATACACTAGGGCCCAAAAGCTGATCCGGCTCCACCCGTACATCTAAAGGTCCCGTCTGACAGCCACTAAACTTGCCTCAGGGAACAAAAATCAGGCACTAATGCAACATCCAGTTACTGCTTTAAACTTTCGCTGTGATCGAATCCCAACACACGTAACGTGTAACAGTTTTTTCCGTCTAGGCTGATTCGCCAGTTTGGGACGACCTTGAAACGGATCGAACAATCTGGATGATCTGCAAAAGGTCGGCCTTTCATTGCTGATCTTGATGGCTGCTTTCGGGGATGCATAATACATTGTGCGTACTTAATATAAAATGTACTAACTTCTCGTTTTCATTAATTATTTCAATTTTTGTTAATAATTAAAAAAAATTGTATAACTTATTATTGCTTAGACCATCAATTTTTTTAAATTCAAACAATTTTTTTCATATAGCATATGTTACATCAATTTTCATTAATTATTTTTTATATTCACGTTTCATTTATCAGCAGCTACACAAGTAACCTGATAGAGCTGTAATCGAAACGTTTCTCGAATGATCTGGAACGGGTCGTGTGTGTTCGATCGAATTTTTTTTATCTTGAGCAATCGGTGCGCGGGAGAAATTTATTTTTGATACGTCTTATCTTCGATCTTAAACATCGAATCCACGATACTTTCACTGTCGCTATTATAATTTTAACATATTACGTATTACGAGTGCATAATAGTTAAATATGCACCGTAACACTGGATATGTAACAATATAGGTACTATCAATGCCCATAGAATACAGTTTAATCGTGAATATATTTAACGCATAAATAATCTTACAAATTTATAACTGAAAGTCTAATAATAATTTAAGATCAAAAATAATCTGAAAAATAATCTTTTTTATGATTCTTATGGTAAATTTCATTATTATTATTTAGTGTAAAGGCTTACGCGACCGTTACTATCGCGTTTTCTCTTCTTGGCGCGAAATTCAAATCTTGTATTCTTGACAGGTACAGAAATTCTCAACGCGTTAATTGTGACAGGCAGAATAATCATATCTGATAGTGATTATAAGTCGAACCTTACGTATTTAATTAATTAAAAACAATCAGATTTTGTTATGCCTTTCGAACGCATGGGAACTTGACCAATTTCATGGATACGAATAGGAATTTCATAACTATTCGTGTCATGTATGTATAACAAGCTAAGTATATACATATATGGATATATATAGATTAAGAATTAAATACATATGTATATATGATTATTTGATTATATGATTATATGATTATATAATTATATGATTATTCAAGACTAATATATTCAAACGAAATTTAGTGGATCATATAGATATAAAATGTACGAATTGATTTCAATTTTTATTTGAGCCCAAATTTGGTCCAGTTGGTTTCTCAGTGACAGTAATAAAAAAATGTTAATAAATCCATATAAAGACGAAACGTGTTTTCTCCACGAGTTAAATTACTCGAGGGTCACGCTACTGTTCTCTGCATCTCTCACTCCGATAGTTATAACAGAAAAGTCCTTGATCCAGTAATCTTGAAAGTAGATGCTTACATATAATATCCATTACGAACGGTTTGAATTTTTTGGCAAGGGCCGCAGGCGATATTTTATTTACGCTTATAAAATTGGTGAAATTACAAGAAACGGTGAATAATACTTGACAGCTGGTATCATTAAGATAATTTAATCAATGAAAGAGGAATTGATCGTAATTATCTCCGTGTAATGCTAATATGTAATTTTTCTACGAGTAAAATACTTTGGAGGCCTTCTTTCCGTATCTTTCACATGTACAAGAGTCCCTTTTAGACCTCAGACTTTATTCAAACATCAGATGTAAAAATTAAATTTAGATGAAGACAAACAAATTATTTTCAGAGTATTTATTCAATAAATAGTGTATTTGCACAAAAATTTTTCAAGGGGAATTCGAGGAGGTGGGTCTGATTTACCATCCGTAGGAGACACCGACGGGGCTGGAGTAGCTGACGTGGGAGACAGCGACAGCTGGGGAGTAACCGAGTCCACTGAGCCCGAGGTGAGAAGGAGCAACTGGTCCAGCTGAGTAGGCGAGGGGGGAACCATGTACAACTGGTGCATGTGCGTAGGCAAGAGGGGCGGCATGGGCAACTGGTGCATGTGCGTATGCGAGGGGTGCGGCGTGAGCGTAGACACCGGGGTTGCTGACACGGATGTCGGACTTGCTGCTGCTGGAATAGGGGGTGGAGATGGTCTTAGTCTGGGTGGCGACCTGAGCGAGGTTTCCTGGGCTGCGCAGGATATTGTCGGAGGTGGCGGTCAGGGCGTGGGGCACAGCGTACTGTGCAACTGGGGCGCCGAGGTATCCGGCATTGGCTGCAGCCAGAGCGCAGGCGAGGATGATGAACTAAAATTGTATAATTATTCTTTAATTAATTCTCCTATAATTAACATACAATTAATTAGCCTACGACTACCATACAATTACGTTATCATACCTATGTTTATATTATAAATATGCTAACAATTACGAATCTTATATTGAAATACCCTGACTTCCATTTAATTCCCTAACGATAATCAAATTCTTTAAATTGATCATGGATAACGATCACACTTTTTCCTGTTATCTCATTGATCAAAAACAGTATTATCCAGAATTCTAATCACTTCGATCTTTGGAATTACGCTTTCGGACAGTTTTACGAGAAAAATAATTTATTTAATCCCAATATTTTCCGCACTACGTTTACGTTGGGTCACGGCGATCAATTTTAGGCTACAGTCGTTTGCAGAGTATCACCACTTATTATTAAAACACACCTTAGCTGCCATTGTTGGGTTTGTGTGTTTTTCGTTTCTTCACTGAACTGCGAATGTCGCCTATCGTTATTTCGGGCCACTTTTATACCCACGAATTTTGGGGTTGCTAAATAAAAATCCTACCACCACCATGTCGTGTTGTTCGAAGAAGGAAGGGAGAAAATTTTCAATCTGGTGGGATTAGATATCTCAGTACCTTCACTGTCTCCCTCGTATGGTCCATGTATTATCGTAGCAGGATATCTGCGATCGAGGCTACACAGCTACAGATATTAATTATGCCTTAGGCGATTGGGACACGATTCACTTTCCTTATTTGTAACTTTGACGTTTTTCTCTTCATCTTTATCGCTCCTCGTCTTTCTTCTCGTTCTGAAATCGTTCTGTCACTTTACTCGATTCATCGTTCGAAATTGCATCCGACAGTCCCACTCACAATGACAATAGCCAAAGTGATGTACAACATTTATACAGGTAAATAGGAATATATTTTGATATGTCAAAATGCAGTATACGAAATGTCAATTTTTCATTTAGATTCAAATGGTTTTAATTCTTCTGTCTCTATACCGAATTTATTGTGCAAAATTTTATTGGACGATCCTAATCGCTAGTAATGATTCACTATCACAACAGTACCTATATGGTATAAAATGTAACCCTATATGGATATTTTGATAATCCAAAGTCCAAGTTTCAATCTGATTTGTTCCTAAAGAAACGTGACATTTCTGAAAAAATTTATTTGCGACAATTGGGATACGCTTATTATCGATGATCGGTCACAGAGAGTGTTCGAATTATATTACCAACAGAATGTCAAGAGAGTTAAGGATCGCGACCTAGTTCTCAATCGGCCATGTTGCTCGAGCATTATTTACCTTCCACAGTTTGGTACTACTGATATAATTAAATTGTGTATGAAATTGTTCCTGAAACTAGCTTTGAGACACAGGGACGTGTAGAGTTGAAATGTATTTTGTCTTTGGTAAAAGAAAGAATTAATCGATTCAACATCAGGGTTGATTTTATAATTTTGGTCTTTGTTAGAAAAAGTTTTCATTTGAATATGGTAGATTGAAATTTTTCTAACATTTTTTTTTCATAATTTTCAGTAACAATACGCAATTGTGTTAATAATAATAAAAAATGATCCACTTAAAAAAATTTTGAGAATAAACATGGTAATGGAAAAATAAAATTACAATTGAATTGGTTAAATAGCTATGGTGTTATTTGTGACATATTGTTTTTTATAAATAATAAATGAATTCTAAAATGCCACAGAAATTTGATACGCTACTGAATTGACGTAAGGCATTGACTCAAAATCGAGATCCATTAGAGATTTAATTCAATGCTCCGGATAACCTAGTGCTTTTTTTTTCAACTGGCACCAATTTATCCGCTTGACTGACTTTGTTTGATTTTCACTTTAAAAAAAATTGAACAGAACGATTATTGATTTTTTTTCACTCTAATAAACATTCGGAATAACCGTATAGTTTATTTTTAACTTAAGTTTTCTGATTTTGGTAAAATGTAGTATGGGCTATGAGATGAATTCCCATGCCATAGATATGTAAGAAAAGAAAAGGGAAGCAAAGTGTAACAACACAATATACATTAAACAATTTATTATCGAGCTTAATCTATTTAGTAGAAAGATCTATATACACTAAAACTATCACATAATCTCCTTCATGAAAGTTAGAGGACTGTAGTCTTCAAGGCCTTTCACTAATTACCAAGCATAATTAATGTGATCATTAATGTTGGAGTAGGTTAAATGCGCCACCTCGTTGGCAGGAGAGAAGGTGATCTTGTACACGGGCTGATGAGCAGCAACAGGTGCGGCATGAGCATAGCCTGCATGTGCGCTGGGTGCAGCGTATGCAGGTGCAGAGTAGGCAACAGGAGCCGCATGTGCGTATGCGGTCTTAGAGAGCACAGGGCCAGGGGCAGACGTGTAAACTTGAGCTTGAGCAGAGTGGGCTGCAGGTGCGGCATAGGTTATGCCAGGTGATGCATAACTGGCGGAAGGTGCGGCGTACTGAACACCAGCTGGTGCGGCGTACTGTACAGTTGCTGGTGCGGCGTACTGTACATGTGAAGGTGCAGCATATTGCGCAACTGCAGGTGCGGGGGCAGAATAGTGTGACACTGCAGGTGCAGGGGCGGAATAGTGTGCAACTGCAGGTGCCGCATAGTGGGATACTGCAGGTGGGGCGTAGTGTGGCACAGCAGGTGCGGCGTACTGACTAATCGCATGTGCACCATGAAGAACGGGAGCGGGACTTGCGTAGATCGGAGATGCAGTTGCGTAGACTGCAGGATTGCTCACGCGGACTTCACTTTTGCTGCTGCTGGAGTAAGGTGTTTCGATATTTTTCGATTGTGTGGACACTTGTGCGTAATTTCCAGGACTGCGATAAGTATTATCAGAAGTTGACGTAATTGCCAATCCTGCATTTGCTACTGCCAGGGCGGCGCACAAAACACTGATCAACTAAAATAAGATGAAAATAATTTTTTTAACATAAACTTCCTATAAATTGACAAAAAAAAACATATCAATCGTCTACAATATTATCGTACAATTTTATACTGAAATAACTTCAATATGGTTTTTGCAATTTTTCACTAATTTTACAGTTATCTACATTCCCCAAAATTCCTCGTACCTCGCGAATGCAAGAAAAATTATTTTTACATCACCGTTACATCACTTTCAACTTCTGTTAGATAAAAATTTGTTAAAATCGCCAAAAAATTACCCACCCGAATTTTGCCAAGAAAATTCGTAAAACCACGTAAAAAATAAAAAAAAATAATAAAAAACCCCAATAAAACGAAAACTTGAATTTCAACCCAAAATAAAAATTGAACTAGTGAAAATATAGTTAAACGTTAAATAAAAAAATATCAACGTACCTGAAAGGCCATGACTCTTGTCTCGAATCTCAGGTAGGAAAGAGAAGTGATAGGTCGAGTGATCCGTACTGATGTCTCGTTCGGTGTGAGGACCCCTTATATATATCGGTATGAGACTTTCTTCAGGCTGCTTCGTTCGGCTCCTTCTCCTTACCGTAAAAACTTTCCCCGCCCTACGCGAACGCATCTCATTTTGTTTCACTGAGATCCTGAACGATATACCATATGCCCAATGTGTTCACTATGTATATATATATATATATATATATATATATATATATATACACTGACGTCGGAAAGTTTCCGGTCGAGGCCTATAACTACACCCAAACCGTTTTGCGCAAGTTTTTCTCGAGCAGCATTCAACTAATTCGTATTTAAGATTTGTCAACAGAACAACGTACCTCGCTCCTCTGGGTTCTGTACGACTCAAAATATACCTCAAAAGTTTATGCATTTTATTTGAATTTTTTCCCAACTTCTATCCTTGTCCGAAAACTTTTGGACGACACTGTATATTACACCTCTCTGTACGCCGTGCAAATTACACAGATTGATTCACGCCTATCGTACGACCTTGTCTTTAAATTTGTTTTCTATTAATTCCTATGATAGAAACAACTTCAGGTGATACGATAACCCTGAATAGAATAAAATATTAGACAAAATTATTTATTGTCGTTTTAGGGAAAATCGTAAATATTGAATCATGCCAATATAATGCTTGGATATGATGTAAGTTTTAGTTACAGTAGATCTTGAAGTTCAACTCTGATATCGAATATCGACTCAAATGAACTTCCTGTAGACAAACAAGACTGTGACAATTGACTATCGATTTCAATTGATAAGATCGATTTATTACGACACACCTTTGTTACAGCCGACATGGTGTACATTGATACTAATAAGTATCGGATAAGCTATATCGATATATATCGGATATAATCGTGAGCTGTCATCGACTCTCGCAATTGCATTACTAATCGAATGCTAATAAGATTTTGTGAAACTTGCTAGGGAATATCGAAAAATGAAGTGAATTTAAATTACGTCAAAATTATGTATATTAAGATTATGGTGTACGTTCACGGTGAACAAATTTTATATACTGTTAAATTACAAAAAAAAATTGAAAATCAAAAATCGATCAAATTTATCAATTATTCGTATCTACACGTTGAATTCAATCTATCTATAAACCTATTGCTAATGACTAATTCACTCTCGTGAATAAGAGGGGTGGTGCCCCGAAAAAAAAAAACAAGAAGAGGATCGAGAATATCGAAAAAGTTATATGCGCACGATGACGTGAGAATCGATAAAAATCAATCGATCGTTCCATAGTTCAATCGATCAGTCACTACCGCAACAAATGATCCAAGCGCTAGAAATATCAAAGCCCGAAGGGTAATTGCGAAGAATATTGGTCAAACAGATGTGGGCCAGCAGGATGTCGCCTAAGGAATTCACATTGGCCGAGAAAGGGTTTTGCGTCACGATAAAAAAATAAATAAAAAATAGTAAAGTTAGGCCGTTTCAAAATGTATGAAATAAAATATAAATAAACTAGGAAAAATAGTGATAAAAGAATTAAGTATGAGATTTAATAGGATGGGGAGTTCCGCGTACAAAATTTCGTGTCTGACCCCGACCCGGCCCCCTTGGATCGATTCACGAATATAACGCAAAGTTGCGTAAGGTAACGCATGCAATTACTGCGGCAATTTCGTTTGCCGCAAAGGCCTTTGAAATTCACGTCGAGAGGTGAGCGAGCATGATAGGTATATCGGGGAACTGCGCATGCGCTAAAAAAAGGGACGCGCATCGTCTGGCGGCCATCTTTAATGAGTGGCACGGACCAGAAACAATGCTGCCCCCGTATATCTGTAGCTAATCTTTTCTACGTACGACCGCAACCCGGATGAGTCAGGTGCGAATTCGCGGATAATGCCGGTTACCGCTGTGATGTTGATGCAATGAGGAGAGGGTGGGCGATTCTTTGGCGCGGCTTGAGGCCTCGCCCCAGGGGTCCTATAGACCCCAAACGACGGAGAAAGCCCCTCATTTTTTTAGGCCCCAGTTGCCATAACACCGCCATCATGGTTTGCGGGTCTATATATGGTCTACAAATTTTCTGACTGACACGCAGATTCGCATTAGCTTATTCAGCTGACAGACTACTCTGACAGGATCCTATTCGACGCCATGGCCGCTAAGGTAATTCAGAAGTAATAATTTTTTCGTGTGGGGTAGATACTCAATTTTGAGTATTTAGAGATGGATTGTTAACTCCGTCTTTGTTTTATGGGAAATATGTAGTAATTTCAATAATGGCATATGTCATTGAGGCGGACGTATTGATAGATACAAATTACAAGTAGGATATATCCTACGTTAAGTGATTATTGAGTGGGGAATGTAGAATAAGATTTGATAATGTTATGGAAGGATTGTTTAAATAAATGTAAATCTTTTAATTTTATTGGGTTTCTGGTTATATTTTTCAGCTCTTCATCTTCGCTGTAGCTATCGCAGCTGTTAATGCTGGATACTTGGGCTCTCCATCCGCCCACTATGTAACTGGCCAAGTGCAAGTGCAACCTCATGTGTATACTTCCACTTCTGACAACATCCTGCGTAGTCATGGAAACCTGGCACAGATTGCTACCCAGTCGAAGACCATTGAAGCTCCTCACTCCAGCGTGAGCAAGAGTGACATCCGTGTGAGCAACCCTGGAGTATATTCCCATGCTGTGCCTGTTGGTTACGCTGCACCTGCACCACATGGAGCCCTGTTTGCTCCTGGTGCATCTGGTTATCCTCACGCCCCAGCAAATTATGCCGCTGCACCCGTCAGTTATGGCCATGCAGCTGCACCTGCCAGTTACGCCCCAGCAACGGCAACCTACTCCCACGCTCCTGCTGCATATGCACATGCTCCTGTTACTGCTAGCTACGCCCCCGCCATTGCTAGCCACGCCCCAGTTGTTGCTAGCCACGCCCCAGTTGTTGCTAACTACGCCCACGCACCAGCTGCTCACCAATCACTGCTCGGTGTTGCTTATTCTCCCGCAAGCGAAGTTGCTCATCTGTCTTACTCCAACGTGAATGATCATTTCAATTACGCCTGGTAAATGAGAATATGTCTGTGATAATTGCAGCAACATTCTCAAGCGGTTTTAATATCAATCGAAAGACGCATGAGAATTTGCATATACTGATACAGTATTATTTTTTCAAGAGTGACCACAACGTTTTAAATTAATACCCACTTTTGTACATACATAGATGATAACACTTTTTTCTTGAAAAGGGAATAATAAAGAATTTCGTATGAGGAAATGGAAATATTTATTGTGAATCCAAACATACAGAAGGATAATTCATTGTATGATATTGCGATACTCTAAAAAGTTATTCAAATTTTAATTTATTGCTTCCTTCTAAGCATTCAATCAATTGTACTACGATTTTCTCATTTTCAAATAGCGAAAATCAGCTACGAAACAATACCGGAGGGCCTAATTAATTTTTTAATCTTTACTTTCATCTCTGAAACAGGAACACTGAGTCGCATTTCGCTACCTTCGGCCTGCGGAGCAGAAATGCCTTCGGGCAATGTCGGATGATAAAATGCTGACATTTGTACGTAAGGCTACGACGCAATCACTTTATTGAAAAGAATGGGGAAAAAACGGTATTTGGTAAAATCCTGGAAACACCGTTGTCCTAATGTTTGGTAAACTTAAATAGAATACTAGAGAAAAACACATTTGAATGATGCAAAAGTTTAATGACAAATTTAGCATAATTGATAAAGGCATACAATTCAATAATAAGTACAAAACTAGATTATATATTTGTCATTGTATGTGATAATAAGCAAAAATGGATAGAACTAAAATGAAAGTAAAAGTTTTTAATATATGAATTTATTTATGAATAAGATGACTCAGATGATTTCATGTAGAATAAAATTTAAATTCATGCATACCCAAGTAACGTTTCAATTATAAGACTATCGTGACATTTTTCAAACTGATTTATTAAAATTCGCACTGTCCAGTAAATTCGCAATGCATGCTGTCCAAATCCAATGAATGCCATTTCTAAACTAATTTCAACAAGACGCATATATCGATAACTTTAATATCAATTGTCTCATAGAGTAGCACATGCATACAATTTTTAAAAAAATAAAAAAATTCACTCAAACAAATCTCACCCATCATCTAATTATTTTTTAGCGAGGTTACAAATAAAAATTTTTTTTAAATACCGCCTCCAAGTAATTCAGTTCCAAAAGGAAATATGATGCTTCACGGAATTACCATCTGTAATTCAGTCCCAGAGGAAGTGCAGGGACCACGTGAGAAACTGCAGTTGCAGGTGAATAAGTCATCCCCAGTAATCCGTGATTGTAAACAGGCACATGTGTAGAAATTCCATTAGTTGGTCCATGAACGTAAATTTGTGCGTGAGCAGCCATATTTTTCCGTACATTGGCATAAACGGGGGAGTAAGTTGGCGCATGCGCACTAACGGCTACTGGCATATGAATGTAAGATGGGGTCTGCGCGCTCATGTAACCCGAATCGACGGTACGGAAATCCGATTTCTTCGCTATGGAAAACGGCGTGTCGACTGTCCTCATATATGTAGAGAAACTACCAAGATTTCCGTAATTTCTGACAATGTCCGAGTGTTGTGCCGCAATAGTTGGTGCTGCTATCGAATGCCCATAATGCGGATAATAAGACGGATTACTGTAGGTTATGGCAGCAGGAGCGTGGCCTAAGTGTCCGTTAACCACAGTGAGTATTGCTGTCAGCGCTAAGTACTACAACACACGAGATTCCAGGGCAGATGAGTACAATAATATAGTTTATTATTTGATAATGAAATCAGTATTTCATCGCGAAACAGTTGTGGTATTAAAACTTTCGTATAATTCTGATAGAGTTGAGGAACAATTTTGTATCTGCTTGCATTACAAAAGGAATAATCTTTTATATGTCAAATCATAATCAATGCAATGCAACGCGTTCATTGATGTCGAGTATATGTAAAAATTACTCTATCCTCTCTGATTTTATACGTAGCTATACTAACAGTCGAGATTGAACTTCTTGTGAATGTTGACAGGATTATGGATGATGTTTACGTATAGATTATTGATTTCATGCCGATTTTTCTATATTATCCAATTGTGTAATTAGCATGTAGCACTCTTGTTAGTTGTTATATAGTATAAAGGCATTATGCTTCGCTAATGGATCGACGTATGTATCTATGCTTTTACGGTTAGCCAAGTTTCCGCCTAAGGCGCCGCCCAGCGGCTACTTAATAAATCATTGACAATTTTGTTTACACGCCGTCTTGTCTCCCAACATGTAGAAATACGCATGCAGATTTTGTTAATCTGTATAATCAATACGTTGATAATATTTTATTTCTATAAATTGAAGGAAATTATTAAATATAATTATTCCCACGGATAAATCTAATCTCATTTCAATTTCTCGCTGTCGCCGGTACCTTATTCAACGTGCAAAATTATTCAGTGATATTTGTCGTGGCAATTTTTTAAATCGTTCGGATACGCGATTGCGCAAACCTACGTAATATGATAATGACGAGACGCAAAGTAATTGTCACCCGTGTTTTACTTTCGAGGTTTCTCTCTTCCTTCCTGCCTTGGGCTAAACAATGGAAATAGTGCCAGACATAAAACTTATTGGACTCTCGACAATGGTCCTTCCTCGTTGTGCAAAATTTATCTTTATTTATCAGTTTATTGTTTTTTGCCGTCGCGTCTCTTCCACTACTCCTCTATCGATCTAGCAACTTATTGCTAACGCACCGATCAGAATTTCGATTTGAATCGATAATAGACTCACTTTCTCCGTCAAAGTCGTATTTATCGTCGACTTTAATCGATGGTAGAAAATGTCGATTGACTTTTTTATGATTATTTGGATTAATTACTCGAAATATTGTTCTCACGATTTTATATTCCCTCTGAGTTACTCAATAACTATAGCAGAGATAAAATTTTAAAAAACTTTTCCAGCATGGAAATCAAATTAGCCTGACAATATATGCCTGAGAAAAACAAAGATACAAAAATATTTTAATAAACCGTTTAGGTGGACCAAAAAAATAAAAAATGTCATTAACGCTTAAAACATCAAGATACTTTTTAATTAACAGTGTACCATAGTTCCCACTGTGATTCAGTAATAAAAAAAGTGAATAATAAAGACTATGAATATTTTTTCCTTTTTTTCCTCTTATCCTTTTAATAACCCAACAGTTTCTAATTAACGTCCTGAAAAGCTGTCCCAAATACCTGTCGTTTCATTACTCACAATCGAAAGAAGGTTAAAAACGTATCTCCGCACCAAATAAAAAAAAAAGTTTCCAAATCAGAAGAAATAAAAATTAAGTTACCACCCCTCAATGAATTTCAGCATGTCAACCAACTATCAAAAAATGACATATGCAAACCTTCAACATGGTGGATTCTTTCGTGAAGGAGCGTCTGGATCGATTGGCAAATAATTCCATGGACAAAGACGTCTTTTATCTGGCAACAAGGATGCACGTGCGACGTTCGTAAAACAAAGACGCCTTTGTTCTGAGCAGACTGAAGGATTAGCAACAGCCGGAGTCAAGAAGACGTAGAGGACAAAGAAAATATATGAAATTATGAAAAGGACAAAATCGAAATGCTTTTAAATCTCAGACTTGCTGTATCCTGTAAGCTGTGCAGCTGCAGTATTTATACTGTAAACAACAAATGCACGTGCACTTATAAATAGCAAACCAACCGGTGCATTTAGATGCATAGAGCATGGAGGGGCTCAATAGAGTTACACCCTGTCTTCGTACGAATAACCTTAAGCTGTATTCACACGAAAACTTCTTCCTCCACTTTCGAATGTTGCACGTGAAAAAATATTCCTTTTCATAAATACGTTTGATTTTTATCACTGGATTCACTCAGGTGCTGTATATCTTGATAACTGGAACGAACGAATTGCGAGGTAAATTTACAATCCGGTAAGAGTCGCCACGTCTTGGATAATACGACGCCATTAACGAGAAAATGGGAATGAGTCAGATTCGTGTATAAAGAGGTTACACAGTATAACCAGGATGTAGCAGAGTAAAAAGGCGGAGATACGCGCTGAACTTAAACAATAATTTTTAATTCCTTAAAACCAATTGGGATATTTAAATTAATGTTGCCTTAAACGAGGAGTAAAGTGGATTGTGAATTTTTCACAGGCTTTAGGCTGATTCTGTGGCAGCGCTAGGCCTTTTTTTACTTTTAGGTTAGGTTCGTACTTCAGTTACGATAGCATGACAGGGCGCTTTGTCTGCGCATTATGCTGGGCCAGTTGCAATAGGACGCTCGGACTGGGCTGTAATGTTTCTTAGCCTCGGGACTTCTTTTCGTAATCCCGACTCAGCAAAAGCGCCTGGGGACTTCGGCGTGGAGTGCTGCTTTATTTTCTTGTTTTTTTTTACGAATTGACTACCGATACGGATCTTGGTCGGTATTGAGATACGAAAAGTGTACAGTTGTCATGTAAAACGAATACTCGTGCTGCACATGCAATTTGCAATTGTAATATTTTGTTATTTTTAATAATGTATTTTATTTGTGGTTATGTCAGACCTGGTGGGTTTAAAGAAAAGTTTTCAGAGATTAATTTTTTTTAGTTCGTTATTCATATTTCGTATGTTCGAAGGATGTGGGGATTTTTTGCTAATCAGGATCTTCTCTTTTACGTAGAAATGGGGTCGAAATTGAAAGTAAATTTAGTTTAATTTCTTATTAGATAAATTCAATTGACTTCCATTAAATAGTTGCTACCTTCTTTCAAAGTGTTTCTGCTCGTAATTATATATGACTGCAAATTGTACCTCGTAATTGCACGGTACGTTTCGTATCGGCAATTTATATAGGAAATCGTCTTTGCACAGGTACCTATAATTGCATTACGTTCTTAATCAGTACTTTTTTATGTAAGTATTACTCGCACGTAATAGTACTTACTTCTTAATAATTTACATTTATTAATTAACGGAATCGTTCGTCAAATTCAATTTTTGGTTAAAATTTAATATTTTCAAAAAATTTTCAAATTTCCACCGATCTTCCCAAAATTGTCATATTACGAAATTAACATTTTTATTACAAAAAATCATATCCTCGTACATATATATGTGCTGGCAATTTGAGATTGACATTTTGATCGGGTTAATAGTTGACACGAAAGAGAAAAAAAATGGCTCAGTCATTCTCGTGTGTGATTCGTTTGCGCAATACACCAAAAGCTGTGCTCGATAAGTAAACTAATACGTTTCATTGGGTGGAGTTGTCGACCGCAAGTCTCAAGTGTCTTGGCTACAGGTATACGTACACACGTGATATGGATGGATGGGTGCGCACGTGTGAACGGGCCTTAACACCCCAAACCATATAAAATCGTTTCCTCGAACGAAAGTGAAAATTCGTCTCCATAGGCGGTGACCTATATGTCTGATATATTATTTCAAAGCATCGCAAATAATGCATTGCATTTAAGATACGTATAGATTATACACGTCGTTACATAATTTGCAATGCATCAAATCATTATTACATATCTCAATGGCATTGGTCCCTCGTGTGATTCCGGGAACATATTTTGAAAACGAAAAAAAAAAGAAAAAGTTTTTGAAAAAAATTGAACAAGATTACCTTCGTAAAATATATCCCTAATTATTTCTGGGCCATTAATGACCGTCAGGTACTAAATGGTAACGGTTAACCTTCGTCTATACCGAAAGAGAAATAAATATCATGCCACCATTTAAAAGAGCCATTTCGTCATTTCAGAATTACGTCATACATCAAATAATAATAATAAGCAGGCCTTTTGTTATGTATATACAGCTCAAGACAGATCCAGACGAGAAGACATAGAAAGGAAAAATAATTATGGTTAACCAGTGAGCCACTGCTGTTATTGAGATAAGACAATCCTAGTCAGTTTTCAAAGAAATTTTAAGGATTCGTGTCATTGGGAAGAGAAGGTAGGTGTTAGATATTTTGTTAAATATTAACTTTATCTACAGTGAAAGTGACGTAGACACGATCCACGTATGTACGAATAGTGATAATGATGATATAAGAAAAAATTATTTTATTTGAAAGCAATAAAAAAAAATGTCTAAAAATTCTTTATATCCCAAAACTGAAACGTCCTGTAGCTACGTGATCGTAATAGCGGTATACGAAATGACCGGTAGTTAAATTCGTGAATCGTTACGCAGCATTTCACGCGGAGTGATGAATGGAGGCAGGTCGGCTCTGTAGAAATTGGCCGGTTCCCCTATGAATATTTATGGATGAGTATTAGTTATTAGAGCATTGCCGGGACCCAATTCCCGCAGCAACCAACTGTAGGTATATAGTCAGTCAGTCAATCAGTTGGTTGGTCCTCCGGCCAGCTGGCCAGTATTAGAGCAGTGTGCCAGTGAAAGTGATTTTTTGGGCGGACTCTTCTGGGCTATGGCTGTTGTCTTCGGTATCCCAACTACTTTCCCCTCTTCTCTCCGCCCCTGGATTTTATCGCCCCTTCCATTATCCCATCGACCGTCTCGTTGTACCAATTGATCACGTGGCTACGACCGCGCCCAAGACCCTCGGGCCCGAATTTACGACTAATTAGAGAACGTTCTAGAAATATCCTCCTTGCGTAAATTGAGACCTATTACTTACTTTGTTGGTGAGATGGAAAAAATTTTGTTTTACTTTAATTTTGGAAATTTTTGAAAGTTTGTATATATATTGCTTGCGATAAGATTGTTATTTATTTTTAACCGTATTGAATATTTATAATTCTTTAAATTAATCTCTCTGTGTCAGTTGGGTGGAGCAACTGGGAACAATGAACAAAACCAATTGTCCCGTTCTCGCCTTTTTTGGATCAACATGAATTAAAATGCAAACTGATGTATCGCTGCTATCGAGTAAATATTAAAAATTAATTAATATCGTATTCTTGTTATATGCTGTACAAAAATTTAAAAATTAACCTTCTTTCTTATATGAACATGCATCTATGAACAACAATTATTTGTAGTATATTTCCAATGATACTGTATGTAGAGTTATAGTGATGTTTAATAAGTGATAGTTATCATTAAATGGTATTGCAGATGCTTTCTTGATTAAGAGTTCCAGAACATTCCGCTAGATGGTTCTTTTAGCTTCATCTGTTTTCTTCTTTCTTCCTTACCAGCAGAGATAAGTAGGAAGATTGCCAGTGGGCTGATTTTCTTGAAACCAATTTTATTTGGGTATCGACGCGCAACCTGATTCTGAATTAAATATACTGCAAATTTCAAGGAAAAAGCTGATTCTCAGGCGTTTTCGGGATATAGTATTCTAGAGGTGCAATTTTTAAACCCGTATTCACAACTCGCTGTTAAAGCCACTAACAGAGTTGCTTGTAGTTAAAAGTTACTAAGATAAAATTGAAAAGCGCGCTATTAGCACTAAAAGCGAGATCTGAATACGGGCTTTCGTGTTTTTCCAAATTAATAGAATCACCTTTTTTATCTAGTATGGCAGTATGCATTCATTTATGGTGTACATACTTATATACTGTTAAGGCGGATCCAATGTACCAATTGAAACTAAAAAGTTCTTGCGCAACTCATTAAATTAAATTTTAAAAATCTAATCAGATTGCTATACAATATTATTATTTATTTTACCGGGAACTGACGAGCCGGTATGACCTGGGAGTTGGGTAGGAACAGGCCCAACTCCGCGAAAATGAAAGCTCTGACAGAACCTATCAGATAATGCGATAACTTAACAAATCCTGTCGATTTTTGGGGACGCGTAAAATCGAGAAACGCAACCGTAGGTGCAGATCTTTGGGGTCGCGTAAAATCAGCAAACGCAACTGGATGCACGAACGGGGGCGAACGGTTACGGAAAAGCACGGCCGCTCAGGCTGCTAGGTTTGAGGTAGAGAGGGTCGGAGTAAGCGCCCGGCAAATAGTGCGCGATACAGAGAGCAACGAATCGATAACGTAACAGAATGAGTCGGAGGTATTAATTCAAAATCTCTTTACCAATTAATAAATTGGGAGTACTCACCGGAGCTGGTGCAGCTGATCCGTGAATGCCGAGAACTGCATCCAGGAGATACTCGGGTGGGCACTGCACTAGAGCACAACACTACACCTCCGGAACACTCCCAGAAAATTCATAGAATTTCCTGGATATCGCGAGAGCAACGCGAAAACTACACGAGCGAGAACTTGCTACACTGTATCGAAACACGGCTAGAAAAACTATAAGCAGATATCACGGAAGCGCAGGGCAGCTCGTGACACCTCGGTCGGTGCCCCGAGACAGACTGCTTTGACAATAGCCAAATGCCAAATTCGAGAACTAATCATTCTGATCATCTGATTGGTCGAGATCCTTATAGCCGATAACTCTTCCATCTACCTCGAGTCGTCCCTTTAAACCAAATCGAGAGTGTTCCTTAGCGCATCGGTACGTAACTTCTGGAGATCCTCCACGGCCGCTTCCCCAGGTCATCGGGCGACAGCTGGGCACCGCATCCTTAACTCGGCTCAGGGGTTCCTCCCCTGCCCTTAACCGTATCAAAACTATAATTCCGCCCGCTCTACAGCCCTTTGCCCATCTCCAGCGGGGCGCCGGTGTTTCATCCGGGCTTCTGCCGATCCGTGGAGACGTCTCCGTCGGGTACTCTCCTCTACCGGGCAACTCGGTACGTCGAGACTATCTCGCCACGACAGATTCGAGCACCTCGACCTCAACTAAACAATAACGAAATCTTACGAGAGCATTGGCGTAACTATACGAATCAACCCGAGAGCGTAGCTTCTGAGCAGGGTGGCGACCCGAAGGGAACCAGAAATCGAGAACGTTATCTGTATCGGTAGCCGGAGTCGCCTTGTGACCGTGAATCGAAAAATCACGTCACAACTTATACATTAATCTAATATTTACAAATGACGTGATATATTAAAATGAAAAAAGTTTATTTCTGTATCTCAGCGTGACTTGTATAGATTGACTAAATGTGCGAATTAATTCGCAATTTACATTATTGGAGCCTCTTTCGAAATCCACCGAGTATTTACAAGCCGATTATGCTTCGGATTAGTTATATATATAATTAATAAAAAAAATAATGACAGTTTCAATTAATACGTGAAATTCGATTTCGAAATACATATAATTTCTTACTAGCGCAGTTATTATAATAATTATTATATTCTCGCGATATATATATCACTGTTAAATTAAACGTATTGACTTGTGTTATTAAAAATAAATTTGAGTGAATTAAAATTCTATAAAAAATTTTTACAATTTTCTATGATACTTTGTAACGATAGGAACATAAGATTAATATATTTTTAAGTTAACGTTACTAAATTAACATTAAATTTATAATGGGATGAGGTACGACTTTTTTTTTTTAATTTTTGTTCAATTAAACTTAGTTATCACGATTAACGGGAAAACTGTCTTTTAACAGTTTTTGGAAATTGGACTTGTGCCTTCTTGAAAGTGGCTGATCGTTATCGCACTTGGACGCGACAAAGAGGACGACTAAGAATTTTCTCTCGAGTCTAAAATTGAAAATTAGGGGAAAATTGGATTAAATTACTCTTATTTTTTACAGTACAACTACTTTTATCATTCTAGTTGTTCTACTCCTACAATACTGGACGGGTAGCACAATTTCCAAATTTGATTATAATCGTTTCAAAAATACTCAATGACGTGCTCAGTGCTAAAAGAAAAATGAACATAATATTGCAAACATGAACAGAAAGCTATTAACCAGTCAGGTGTACAGACAGTGATATAAGATAATTGTATAAAAATAACCAATCTGTAATATTTACAATACCTTGAACAGGAAGCTGCAATCACATATGAAATATTATATACCAAGTATACCGCAAAAGAAAGCACAAGTATTAAAACTCCACCGCCTAAGCTCAGCAAGCAATAATAAAATCACCATCTTTTCTTCAACAACTAGATGAATTTGAGAAATAAGTTCTAGGTGTATCATTCCTAGAATTCGTCACCGTACCGATTGTGGACTGTATATCCACGCTGTTTATATTAGAATTGTTGTTGCTGTTGTTGTTGCCATTGCTGTTTTGAGAGTTACTGGAGCTCTCCGTATTCAATGCATTATTTTGACCAGAATTTTCAGTGTTCACTCTTCTCTGTCCTCTACCAAAAGTACTGTTAATTATATTCGTAAGATATTGCGTCCCCGATAATAAAACCGTTGAATTTTGAGGCTGCGGATTAGCACGAACTGCGTCTTGTTCCTGTTTGTCTTCATCCGCGACGTTTCTTCTCGAGAAGTTCGAGTAATGTTGACTAGATTGACCGCCAGGTGTCAGCACAGTCCGTCCCATACTTTGATACACCAGACCGGATTGGTCCGTCGATTGGGAATGATGTCCATTCTGATCCGTGATTGGTCCGCTCTGAGACTGCGACGCTAGCGCCGCAGGTTCGGACTGAATTGCAACTGAATACGGTGGCGGATTTGAATTTCGACGGTTGGATATGGCTGGTCCCTCGTCTGGAAGTGGTGGAAGATTTGCATGTTCGGATCCATGTTCTCCGACCACTACCGTATAAGCCGGTGGTAAATCTGTGATCCAATAGTTTTCATATGCTGGTGGATTTATTACCTGAAAATAAATAGGTTACTTTCTAATTATTTCTGCGGTTCGTAAACGTTCGGAATTTGAATTTAAAACAAAATTGGTGGTCGCCTCCGTATTATTAAGTCGATCTTTTTTTTTAATATAATGAAAAATGGATACCTCGGGATAATTATCCACTCCTCCCGATACTGTCTCTAGTCTTCTTTCTCTTCTTCTTTGTCGCCCAGCTTGCCACTCCTCTTCTTCCATCATTGCTCTCAGATGGGCTCTTCTTGCGTTGCACGTTGCGTAACCGCAGGCGACCAAGAAAAGCAATGTAAGGACTGTTAAGGCAATCCACATGTACGTCCATCGCAGTAATATGGAAGCGATCATGGCCGCTCCCACCCATGCTATTACAAGGGTGGCCAATGACCTACCCGAGCAGTCTGAATCCTGAAATGCAAAATCTATTACTCATTACTTGTAATTTTATTATCATTCAAGTTATTATTATTAGTATACACGATCGTAGAGTGACTTCAGTCAATGTTATTATTATATTTTTGGAAATCATTTTTTTATTGGACATTGCGTCACGATTTTGAAGATATACTTAATAAGCTTTCAAGCATCATGAAAAATGATTTTTACAGGAATAAATTATTTTGTAATTTGTTTGCAATAGCGTGGGATATGAAGAGATAATGTGGATGCAGGTTTTTTGAAAGGTGATAAATAACATTGATAAGAAAACAAACATATCTTTCTTTCTACATGAGTCTGTAATTTTTTTTAGTTTCATTGTTCACGAGTCCTGATATTTCATTAGATTAGTGGCTTTTCGCGTTTAACTTAAGACTTGGAACTGAATATTTTGAAAACCTTGTGATACGTCATGTGGACTTGAATTTTTTTTCTAAATTTCGGTTATTCATCGCCAAATTAAGGATCTGTCGTCGATTTGCAAAATGAAAATTTTATTATAAAGCATGCGATCGGAAATGAATTGTTAATAGCCGGATGTGTATTTTTTTTCAAATTTTTCTTTTTAGAAATTAAGAATTTTTCATTTCCAAAATATCGACACATACGCTCGACGCAAAATAGTTGATAGTGTCGTCCATTGTGATGTTTCCACGATATACGTTGTTTTCAACCCTTATTACAGATGATCGAATTATCCTTTCAATGGCTGAAAAGAGATGCATACCTATAGATTTTGGGATTTTACTTGACTATGACCTGCAATTTGACTATAGAGTATTGATAGCGATTTAAAAAAATAGATATGTTTAAATTCTGCAACAAAACTGTTTTTTTTTTTGTAATTTTTGATTAATTCATAATTTTGAAACAAACCTCTTGGTGAAGCAAATAAACAATAACACAGAAATCGATACTAATTGTACAAAAATTAAAGATAAATGCTATATTCTAAAGCAACAATTACTGTCATAGGCTTAATAACAAGAAAATTTATTAGAGAAAGAGAAAGAAAAATTTACAAAAGCTTAAAATTATCACATGCACAGAAAGCATAAGATTGATACTAGATTTAAAGAAAAAAAAAGTAAATTCACGTACCAAAAAATATTTTTTGCCAATTATCTATACATATACCTATAACGTTTATATATATATATATATATGTATATATTTATTTATTTAAATACACGTACGGTTTCATTTTCGTATTGCCGCGTTGGATTCGTCATAATAGAACCGTGAGTCCCTGCACGTATCATCCTTCTGTTTGTTTCAAGATACGTATGACGGACGCAATACGAAAGTGGCATTTACGTAAAAATTTTGATTTTTAAAAAAAATCTCTTCTTCACAGACTTCCACTGTCCTCTTGTACTTGTATAAATCGCCTACCTGCTACCACTGAGCTCTCTACGAACTTCTAATCGTGTTCGAAATTAATTGGAACCTGTTTAAAAAAAATTTTTAATTATTGCACATATTATATATTTAAAAAAAAATAGTGACGAGCAAAAAAATTGCGTTAATCAATCAAATGAATTCTAATTGAATATTTGTTTTTACATTTAATTATATATAATATATAATTGTATACTATATTTATTCCCCGTACATATATACGTGTATGTATAGTAATGCGTACTAGTTTCTACTATTTGTGTGTTGTCTATAATACCAACAATATAACAATAAGACCCGCAATTTCTTATCACTCGCCATTATCATTCCTAGAAACCAATTGATGTATTTCAGAAATATAATCGAAATAATATTGAAACATAACGTATAGTCTGTATTAAAAAAGCGTGAAAAAAATTATGATTGTCGCTGTCAAAAAAAATAAGTAGACAAAAATAATCAATTATATTTTCCTCAGATTTTAATCGTACTTTAATCTCGAACAAAATGTCTTTATTCGGAGTTTAGTCATTGGCCGACAATGAAACTCATGCCGATTGATATAAAAGCGTGTAACAGAATTAAAAAAAAAAGTAATAATAATAATGTACATCGATAACAGATTTATATATCGCACTATCATTGATCGTGATTTCTGAAAAGCATTGCCTCACCGTAACATGAGACTCGAACGTCCCTGTAAACGGCCAACGTAGAGACAAGACGAATTCGCTTTTGCAAAATGATAATAGTCGTAATTAATTTTATCTCATTATTCAATTATCTTATCGCACGGCTTATCAGTTTAATCGCGGAGACTACGAAAAAAAAATTGGGTTTGAAAGTAGAATGAAAAATAATATATTAAAAAAAAAGGCAACTCAACAATTAGAAATCGTCTCGGTAACGTGGCAGGTATGCCCTGTGAGTGCGCCTGCACTCAAATTCAAATAAATTTGCATGCTCATAGGTTATGTAAATCTCATTGATAATCATTATTACAAGGCATCCCCTTAGAAATTAGAACGACAGTAGTTGCAACTGCATGTGCCGTTGGTGATTTAAAAAAATTTGTAATTACTGCCGTTCACGCGTTACGTGTCTAAATATACCCAATATTTGTTTGCAAATTTGTAAAATTTTTTTGCACGACTTTGTATGTATGTCAATGCTAATTTCTAACTTTTATTATCTCGCATATGTCTTTCGTAATGGGTTTTACTGTCAGTTGGTTAATGAGATTCGCTTAGTCAATTGCAACTGTATTTTTTTCTCGAGAGATTTAAAGTGAAATTTATGTGCGTCAAATCGTATATAATTTTATCATTTAATATTTTGATTTCGCAAAATTTATTACTCTAATGCATATATGCATGCTTATTCATTATACGTTGATTTTCAATAATTCTTATCTTAATTTGCACGTAATCAAGAATTTGATTTGCATAAATATTTTTTAGCTGTTCAACTGGAAACATTACATAAATACAAAGACCGTATCCTTGGCAGCAAGCGTTAATAAATAACGATACAATTAATAAAGGATAAAAATAAAATCCAAACAATAAAATCATATGACACGCACCTGCATCGTAATCCCTTCAGACACAAAGAAATCAACATTTCTCAAGACAGCTGCATGCAATCAAAAAAGCTTTCAGATGCACAAACGCAGCCGCACCTGCATATCTGCCAAGTCTAAAAATAACGTACTAAGATCGATAAACGAAATATCAATGATAGTTTCCGAATTCTTCACTAAACAAGTCGAAGTCTACACAGATTCACTGTTAAAGTCACAACGTGGCACACGGTATCTGCAGCTGCGAGACAAAAAACATAAAAGCTTCGAAAATTCGGAAAACAGTATACCATATATATATAATTGACGTAAAGAGGTTAACTACGAGTGTCCCTCGCACCTGTACGTACGTAACTAAAGGCCGCATATGCCATCGTCATTTTGATAACATAAAAATGTTGATAAGGCGTACACCTATCCTCCTACTGCAAGATACAAGATTCTCCCACTTTGTATAACTTCGTTATCTATCTCTGCCTTTTTTTCTACGTACGACAGATTCTTATATTACACCTTTGAGACCCCGTGACCTCTGACCTTCTCTAAATAATCCAACAACCTGGGTCGTAGAGAGCTTATGGTCAGAAAATGGGGTATTATCTGATTATCGAATTTCCGCCAAATCTGATAACAGCCGATTCACGGTCTGGCGAGTAATGGCGATCGACGTGACCTTGTTACATAATATTTTATAACTTTCAGCTGACTTCAGTTTTGGGATGTGGCCCGAATTCGTAACGACCATTAGAATGTTTGTACAAATTAGAAGTGTATTGTACATATGTATACTGATCTTAATGATAAGAATTGGAATACAGTGATCCTAAACACAGAGGAAGATCACGAACACATGACATATATATTTTACTTTTATTTTCGAATAGTCATTTCATAGTACATAACATATTGCAGAATTCTAATACCTGTTTATTTATTAGTCTCGTACCTCGGGAGTCGCCTGAAAGATTCTTCGTTCGGACATAATGAAAAAAAGTTTCAAATTGTTGAAAAAAATAAAATAGCACCGTAACTACTAAACTATTATTGAGAAAGAGCTGAAAATTAATAGTGTCGATGACAACGTTTTCGTCCTTCACGATTAATTTTAGGATCGACCAATCGCGTTCTTGCATTCTTCTCAAATGTTGCACGTGATTGGTTAATCTTGTGTTGAATTTCGTACGGTGGAAAGGTAATCGATATTGAATTCAATCCAAGTCCTGTACGTAGCTAGGCAGGCATTTTACGTGTTCGGTCGGCAGCTAAGAAAACTTCCTTACCGACGGCCGATAAATTAATTTTCTTTTCAACTGATGAAATTTCTTCTGAATCAAAAATTTTATTATTACTTAAAATAATGAAGATAAGACATTGCACTCGGTAGGCAGAGATGCATAGAATAATTCCTCCCCTCTTTTCTTCACTCACATATGTACAAACTCTCACACGTAACGCAGTCAAAACTGCGTGTTCATACAACTTCTTGTCATACACACAACGACGAAAGGACAAGCACACGCTGAACAATAATTATAGTCGGCCCACGAGTAAAGTAACTTTTGGAAGGGGCCATCCTCCTATGACGTTCAAGGTAAAAGAGACACCTGGAGCAGGATCTTTTACTCGTAGAACGACTGTATACATGAAATATGACGTTAAAGATACTGTTAATACTTGACGGTTAAACGTTCTCTTTTTTTTTTTATCGATAAATCGGGGAAGTGGGGAACTGTTAAAAGTTAGTCATAGGGTAAATACGAATGTCAATCAGGGTCCAAACCGAAATTATAATAAATACCAAACTGATGCGCAACTTTCGAAATACTTTCATTCGCGCGTAAATATATGTTATGGCAACTTGTTTTGCAAATATTTATTTTGAATTGTTAATTTTTTAGGCACAATGAAAAAAAAGGAATTGACGTGCCGTTACTGTAGGTAGATTGTGTATTAATATAATTTCAAAAATTATTTTCTGCCTTTAACTTAATTACTGATTTTGCATATTGAACTATAATTGATTTGGCATTTATATGGATGACGCATTTGATTGACTTGCTAGCTATACTTTTTTTTTTTTGTAAATCATGCAAATCTAAGATTTCGAAAGTTAACGGCGTTTTGGACGATGATCAAGATTTTGTCTTTTGATCTTTTTTTCGGTACGCTAATGGCATCGGAGTCGAAAAACCTGGAGGTTTTTGAAAATAAGGTAAATTCTCCGAAAGATCTCGGCAATTTACTTTCGCTCGATCGCTTTGGCCGAACCGCGTGCCAGTGAATAAATAAAGTTATACTAGAACCATAACCAACCCCCATTTTGGAGTGTTTTACATTTACAGTAATCCGCTACTCCTCTTTCTTCGTTCCTATCTTTCTTTTTTTTTTCTAATACACACTTCACTAGTTATACTGTAATTAAGTTAGACTTTTTAATCCTAGTCGTTCGATTAAGCATCTTCGGGAGATCGCTTCGACTTTAACGAGGATTCACAAGAAAGTGGGAAAAACATTTTTAATATTTTACCCATGCTTTTAGAGCACCCTATATATATATATACATATATATATATATGGGTGAATCATGTGTGCGTTCAATTGTCAATTATTTATAAATATCGTTTAAATAATAGAAGCAAAACAGAACTTGGCAATATTTCGAATTTTTCGCTAATAAATATAGCACCACGAAACTTTTTGAAAATAAAATCTCGAAATATTAAAAGTTTTGAAACGTCCCGAATTTCGAGATGTTATCAAGTTCGCCAAAAATATAATAAATAACCAATGAATATCTGTTTGGTAATTATTTTAAAAAATCTAAGGCAACAGCCTTGGATTAAAACGACCCATGTGCAGTATCAAACCAGTTGGATTGTGTCTGACGAAATACAAAAATGGTCGATCCAGTTTGAGTCTTGGTTTGTCCGATGCATTTGCTTGCCTTGCGGTCCTGTGCGATTCCTCGGGTTCTTCAAAATCTTGTGGTGGCGTGCTGGCATCTATATTTTCATAATTGTCTACTTCTTCACTCAAATCCAGACGACCTCGTACATTCCGTAAAGGACTGGCTGGATAGACCTCGACATGATGTCGCCCGGTTATTATATTCTCTTCTCCACAAGTGCTGAACAGATTAATCTGCAAGAAAGCATGAGGAAAAAAATAATTCGAAGATGAGCAAAATAAATAGTCAATGAAATAACGTGATACTAACTTGTAACATATCTGCCAGATGAAAATTGTGTCTAGCGCTGTTGATGCCTTTGAGGTCAGCATGATTCGAGAACAATTCCTCAAGTCCCATTCTTTTAAGTGCTGCAGTTGCATTAACAACCGAACGATGACTAAATTTGGGAACCTGCAATTCGAGTCCAGGTCTGGGCACCAGAACCTTAAGTAATTTTTCCCAAGCACCTTGAGTGAAAGCTCCTTCGACAAGTCTTTGTTCAAGTCTGTCTAGACTATCGCCTGGAGCTGCATGTCCTTGTTGTCCAGGAATAACAAAAATAGTAGAAACTAATTTATCAACGCCACCCATAGCGATGGCAGTGGCGTCGAGTCCAGGTTCGTATCCAGCAAGAACGCCAGATCGCCACGTAGTGGCAGGAACTGGAACTAACTTCCTTTGTCGAATAGCCGGTGAAACGGCGAAGTACAATTCACCGTCACGACCCTCAGAGGTGGCGCCACTTGAGTTACAATCCGTTTGAAAGACGTTGGCAGAAAGTGCCGCAAGTGGTGACCTCAAGGGGACCGTATTGCCCTTCACAAAATCTTTAATTCTGCCTCCAGTTTGCTTTCTAATTAAGAAGTTAGTGCGCCTGCGCACGAGATCACTGATGGTGGCAAAATTAACTTCGGCTACAAAGCCCTCGTAGAACTGTTGGGCCTGTTCCTTGTAGAAGGGCATAAGCCTACCTACTTTGTTCCGGTCAGCAAAAAGGACCCTGACGAAAGCAGCGTTAGCGATTCCTTGATTTCTAGCTAAGCTCACGGTATCAGTCACATTTTGGAAAACCAGATGCGGATTGAATGTGGCTACATCATCCAGCTTGAGAACATCATTCATCTGATTGGAAGTGGGACCACGGGCCCCTAAGAAAACCATGGCGAGTATACTGGTCATGCCAAATGGCGAAAGAGCCAATGACCTAGCTGTACTCAAGCCCTTATTGGTAGCGGTCCAAAAACTAAATGCCAATTCGTTGCAGAGGCGTGCGAAGTACTGCATGTCATGATCAAGATTTTTCACGCTGCTCTCCAGCCCTGATGCACTCTGTGATGCCTCTAATGCTATCGTATCGGCAGGTTCAACATTATTTTCGGAAGTGGAGCCGGTAGTTCCAGTTTCGGATGTTTTCATTGGTTTCTTCAACGGTGCATTTGTAGTCTTCACACTCGAACCTGGTACCTGTTGAGGAATTAGCGTCCATTTTTCTTCTGAACTTGAAACCCCTTCGTGATCTGCTTTTTTGATACTCAAACTGGGCTTCTGCTTGTCTTCACCTTTTATTGGGCTATTGGAATTCTTTATGTTAGATGGCGTCGTAAAACTGGGTCTTTTCTGTTCCGTTGGCAAAGCTGGTGTCCCAGCTTGGATATTCTGTGACGATTGCAAGGGCTTCGTTGTTTTAATCGTTTCGCCCAATTTTGAGTAAGGATACTCCTCTTTGTTCATCGATACTTGAGGCTCATCTGTCATTGAGGCACTGATTGCGGCTTCTTTTGTTGGTTCTTTTTTAAGATCTGTTACAATTGGTTTGCTATTTACGGCGGTAACAACTGGTTTTTTCTTTTCTCCTAACTTTTCATAATGACCCTCGTCCTTTGAAACGAGCGATGCCTCGACGTTGGTCTTCGTTTCATCCTTATTGTTGATTACGGGTTTGTCTGTTTTTTCCTCATTCAACTTCAGTTTAGATGCTCCTGAAACATCTGGTACAACATTATCTCCTGTTTCAGGATTTTTAACCTCAGAAGGCTTGCTTTCCTCTTTCTCCCCTAATTTCATGTAAGAATCCATAATCTGTGACACGTTCCTATCATTTTCTTCAGGTTTTAAGGCAGTCTTATCAGTTTGTGCAACGTTCACAGAGGTTTCAGGTATGGTCTCGACCTTGTTGTAGACTGTTTCAGGCTTTGTGGTAAATACGACTTCAGGTTCAGGTGTCTTCTTTAGACCTTCCTGTACTGTTGGTGGTTTTTGATTTATAGTTTCAGCTAGTTTTTGTGGTGTTTCATCTGAAATTGGATGTTTGGTTACCAAAACGGCAGTGTCATTCACTTGAATTCTAATTTCTTGAGTTTTCTGTGGCACGATCTCCACAAATTCTGTTTTTTTGTTATCACTCTTATTTGACGATTGAGTATCAGCTTGACTAAGTGACGCAATTGGTTTTGGTGGCTGTAACAATTCGGTCAGAGTTACTGGAACCGTTGAAGTGGTTGGAGATTCGGAATTATTCAGAGTATCGGCTTCCAACTTAGTCTTTTCCGGTTGTGTAATTTGTTCGATTCTTATCATTTCTTGTTTATCTTCGGAAATGACGTCACTTTTTATATCAGACTTTTGGGTTGTGTCATTTTCGTTTATTCCAGCTGTACTTGTTTTAGATGATATTTCAGTCGCACCATTAGAATTTGTTTGAGATTTCAGGGCGTCTAAGCCTGATGATAATTTTTCGTTTTCTACAGGTTTTTCTTCAGCTACAACATTCGTAGAACTTTCCGAGGGACTTTTTACAGGAATCACAGTCGTAAGTGGGCTTTCCATTGATTCCGTTAATTTCAGTTGTTCGGTTGTTTCGGGAACTTGATCAGGTTTTTTCGTTTCAACAAAAGTACTTACGATTGGTAAGTCAGTCAGTTGGATTTTTTGTGGAATTTCAATGTGACTCGTTTCAGGACTTATATCTATTCTCACTATGGGTGTCTCAGGCTTTATCGTTTTCTCCGATTCTTCCGAATTGGTAGTTGACGAATCCTCGTATTTAATCGTAGCTGAATCCTGAGTCGCAGTCGTAGATTCAGCAACTGAAGCTGAACTTGATGTATTGGTGCTGGATTCTGGAGATTTAACAGTATCATTCTGCACTGTTATAAGAGTTTCCTCAAGTATTTTTTCAGGCATGGAAGAAGTAGTTTCTGAGACATTTTCAACAAGAGTTTCTGAAGTTTCAGACTTTGTGTCTTGACTTTCCAATTTAATAAAACTTGGCTTACCTTTTGCATCACTTATAGTAGTTAAGGGAATTTCAGAAATAGTTGCAGATTCAGTATTACTATCATTTTGAGATTCAGTTCCTGTTTCAGTCATCAAAAACTCAGTCGTCACTGCTGGAACAAGCTTGTCAGTAGAAATGGCAGGCTTCGATGTTTCAGTATTAGCAGGCGTCTTCACATCTGCTTCGCTGTCAGCAACCATAGAAATCTTTTCGCCTGAAACAGGTAGATCTATCCTAACAAATGGCACTTCCGTTGCTGATTCAACTGGCATCCTTTCTGTAGGATTTTGCGGTTGATCCTTTTCCTTAACTTCCAAAGATTCATTTTCTACTTCTACAGTGTTCAAGTGACTATCCAAGATTTGTTCAGTATTGTCCTGAATCTTCTCCGTAGTGGAAACTGTCTTTTCAGGCCCACTCTCAGAATTTGTTTCAGTTCCAATATTTTCAGTGGAAATCGGATGCATCGAAATTTTAACGTTCTCTTCAGTTTCAGGCTTAGATATTTCAAGTTTCACCGACATATCCTTGGATGGGGTTTCTTCAGAATTTTCCGATATCCCACTAATCAGGGAAGCTGACACCATTTCCGGAGCTGCAGAAACAACCTCAGTGGTACCCGCCGGAAATCCAGCAATAAGGCCACTAGCAATACTGCCAGCTGAGACTTTTGAATTTTCAGGTAAAGTAAGCAACTCTAATGATGATGTGCTGGTCTGGGTAGGTACAGTTTCTAGCATCTGATTTATAACCGAAACAGCATCTGTAAGCTGAATTCTCACGACTGGAGACTCAGTACTTTTTTCAGCATCTTCAGGTGTTGTTAGAACGATAGAAGATATTTCAGGCTTTGCATCTGTTATATCGATTCGCGTTATTGGTGTTTCAGTGCCAGTCACAGACGATTGACTATCTTCGATTAATGCGGTATCCTGTTTCGAGGGCGTATTATCAATGACTTTTTCAGTGTTCTCGTCAGGTGAACCAGTTGTCTGTTCTTTTTGGAGTACAGGCATTTCAATCATTATATTTTCAGAAACATTTCCAGGCGCAATCTCAGGCGTCATCGATTCAGTAATTTCCGGTGCTTCGCTGCTAATTTCTGTCTTCTGTGTTGAATCTTTCGTACTTGGCTCTACATTTGATTGTGTTTCAGGTATTTTAGGAGTCTCCGTCCTTGCAGGATCCGTTACAACTTCAGCCATAGCAACTTTAGTCTCTGTTTCAGAAGGTTCAGGCTTATTATCCACAACTGGAGCATCATTTATAGCTTCTGATATTGTAGATTCGTATAAATTTTTATCAGGCAAATCGATTCTGTTTATTGGTATTTCAGGTTTTTCTGTCTTTATTAGTTCTTCAACTTTTTCCGTAGACGCTGGAGCACTTACTTCGTTAGTTGCTGTGATTTCAGACTTAATGTCTGAAGCATTTACAGCTGCAGGGGTATCCAATTGCACTGATGAAACATTAGGCGTCATTACTGAACTTTCAGGAATTTCTGTTTGTTCCGTCTCTTCAGAGAATTTAGTTTCCTGATCAGGCTTAATAGCTGGAACTTTTCCGTGCTCGACAACAGTTACAGCGGGTTCAGACTGCACCACTTCAGCTGGTTCCGTGGATGTACTTTCTGAAAGGGTCATCACTGAAGGTGCAGCATCCGAAATTTGGGACATCATACTCGATAATGAGTCAGCCAATTCTGTAGATAAAGAATCCACGGGTTTCTCAGCATCCATGAACGTAGCAGTTGTAGATAACTTCAGATCGCTAGAATCAGCGCTACCGTTTGAATTCTTATTATCTGCAGTAGATGCTTCAGGTTTCGTTTCTTGACTGCTACTACCAGGCACTTGATCTACAACACCAGTATTCATTTCTGAAGTACCGCTTTGTTCAGGATTTGTCAAAGTACTAATAACTTTCTCTACATTAGGCTTTGTTTCAGGCTGTACTTCAGGTTTCCTTATTTCAGCTTCAAACTGCGTATCTTGTACTTTCTCCAAAACTTCCTCTTGTTTGGTACTTGTTTCCGGTACTGTAACTGGAGCCACTTGTGGGGTCGAAATGTCGGTCGGTTCAGGATTTTTGACCGAAATCGATGAATTCATTGTATCCGCTGCAACTTCCGAAGATGAAAGCCCAGTATCTGATACAGTTGGTATTTCAGATGTGTGTGCTGATGTTTGAGAAGGCTTTTGTTCTTGGGTGCTGGTTGCTTCAGGCTGTTTATTTGATATAAGTTCAGTTACGATGGAGCTCACGGATTCTGGTAATAGATTTTCAATCAGAGAAACGCCCTGTACAAACAAGCCTGGTAATGTAGATGTTTCAGGCTTTTCGTCTTCTGTGGGAGTTGAAATCTCTGTCTGTGGATTTACCGATTCTGCTGTTACATTTGTTTCTTTGGTGGGCGTTACTTTTTCCATCTCATCTTCGACATTAGAACTGACAGTCAAATTCTTCGTTTCCGTAAACACGGATCCTTCGGAATAATTTTGAACAACGGGAACCTCAGGTTTTTCCTTAATGTCAATTTGAATTGTATCACTTGATTCAATTTCAGGCTTCTCTCCTGGTTTCAAATCAGCTGCAGGATTTTCCTGAAGTCCTTCTACCTTAATCGAGGTCGACTGTGTTTCAGAAATAACACTAACCGTATGAGGCATATCAATTTCATTCGGAGAACTCGTAATTTCAAGAGGTACAGTTTCCGGCTCAGTCCAGGATGTTGAAACTATTTTCTGCTGATCATCTACAATTTCAGGAATAGTGGTAGACACTGAAGCACCTCCTAGAACTTCAGGGCTCGCTGTGTTAGGAACAGATGGTTGTTCTTTAAGAATTTCTGAATTCTCTACCGGAATCAACGGAACCGCATGCATTACTTCGGTAACCTGCAAAATGTCTTCTGATCCTTCAGCCGTCCCTGAAGCTTCTGGAATTTCAGGTTTTAATGTCGCAGTATTTTTCTCCGTATCGACAACCTGCTGAACCATCCCTGGTAATTCCGTCACTGTTTTTGTATCATCTTCCTGAACAATGTCCAGGGACTGGTTCTTGGTGTCAGCTGATATTGTATTCAGCATCTGAAACACGGGCATTTCTCCCATGTCAGTTTCCGGCGTTTGCGGTTTTATATCCATCGTTATAACAGGTACCTGAATCATTGGCTTTTCCGTAGTCATCGATGTTTCAGAAACAGCCAAAACCGACTTATTTGTCTCAGGCTCATCTTGAAGCTTCACAGGTTCAGGGGTACCGAGCAAATTCGTAACAGTTTCCTGATCTTGCTTCGACGGAATAATTGTTTCTGTCGTTGATATCGTTTCAGGCTTTGTATCTTGTTTCAGGGGCGTTCCAGCCGCTTCAGGCGGATTCTGCGATACCTCTGTCGTTACAGGAACGACAGTTCCAGGTTCGTGACTAGCTTCCTTCGTGGGAGTATCATCGTTCGAAGCACTAGGGACTTGTTCAGGCTTTGTCTCAGATATTTCAGGCGCCTGTACAGGCTCCTTAGTTGTTATCGGTACCAGTTGCTGCATGGATTCCGTAGGCGTATCCTGTTCTGTCGTTTCAGAAACATTTTTAACTGGTTCAGGCTTCATTTCAGGTATCATAACGAGCTCAGGAGTGCCAAGTGACGCCGAGTCGACGTCACCAGCTAAAATTGATGGCAGGATACTACTCCATTCAGCGTTGGCGTGACCTGGAATCGTTGGGACCGACGTCATCACAGCCATCGGCTTGCTCAACTCACTTTTCAGCACGTTCTGAACATTCTGAACTACGTCTGCGACCTGTAAAAATTAATTGGCACGTATTACGCCCGAGTGACATACAAATTAATAGAAAAAAGAAACCCACTGTTACAGTAAATTTATATTTTACACTATCTCAACTTAATCCACAGTTTCCTAAACGTCAATATGAACCCAAAATTCTCCCCTACACTGATCCCAATTTTCATTTGAAATCTTAACTAACCATCTGACCTTTTCCTTTCCCATGTGCACAAAGATGATTGACTAGAAATAACAAGGTGCGCACGTGTAATTTAAAATTTTTATCAAAAGCACAAATTGACTCAAGTACCATTCACACATATCTTTCACCGTGTAATTCAAAATGCAAAACGAATTCTAAGTAGACATCAATTGTCACGTGCAATCACCCTATTACATTTTCATAAGGATGCACCTTCTCGCCAGGTAAAATGACCTTTTCAAATTTGATCAACGATACTTTACAGTAACAAATAAAACCCAAAGTGATCCATCGAGGCTGCTCATGAATTTTAACACAATTTTTACAGTCCCACGTAATTACGTCATAGTCCATAAAAATCAAAGATACAAATTTCCATTGCAAGCTCCTCGATGAGTACCTTCATTCCTCCACTGGGTTCGTCGCCGACTTTTTGGGGCTCGTGCATCTCCACCGGAAGTTGGCCACCGCCGGCCGCGATCAGACTATGTATTTCCTGTTCGGTCATCTGCTTGGTCACGACGTCGCCGTTTTTGTTTAACGTATAGAACTGAAACCTGTCGGGTCTCAGGAGTACAGCGGGCGAGGCCGGCATTTCCGAAAATTTTCCAGGAATCGCCTTCGTCTTTTCGAAATCCGAGGAATGATGTCCCTTTGCACTTCCGCGGTCGTTTCCGGTTATAACCGAAACCGAAGTGACGACACTGAAAAAAAAAAAAAAAAAAAATTCAGATTCATCGACCAAATTGATATATCAAAATATAACATATAACAAGACCCTTGCGCGTATGCTGTCACAATATACGCTCATGCATATTTATCGTCCACCCAGTATATAACGATTTGACAACAATGGAGAAAGGAACGAGAGAAAGGATCCTGTCGACTAGCGTGGGTCTCACCTTGACGTAAAAATATCATCATCTGTCATATCTTCATTGTCGATACTAAATCGACTGAATTATATTTTCGAAATTCTACGCTGCCGCTACCGACGTCAATTCCAACGGAGCGTGGTATCTTCGCGAAGAGTTCAGTCAAGGCCAACAGGCTATAGGAGGGGGTTGTGTAAAATTACGTGTGAAAAGGGGACACCCCCTAGATTTGCTCAAAAATAATTTCAGCCTCCAACGTTCGTTCCGCGATTTCCGTGAAAGGCGAAAGAAAAAAAAAAGACACCAAATTTACCCCACGGGACAAAGGTAATCCCGTTGTGTGGGAATTTTTTTTTTTTTTTAGAAAAGTAACGCGATTTCGCAACACGCCTGATTTCACGATTCGGATAAGAATTTTGCGCGAACCGTTCGAGATTAATAAAAAGGAGTGACGACGTTGCGCGAAGAAATTCGTACGGGACTGTGAGACGTCTACGTTAGTCTACGTTAGACATAGAGAGAAATAATAATGAGTTGGTACGTAAGAAAAAGAAAGAGATAGGTCAGCCGCGTAACAGCATCTTAATTAGCTCCTTAATTAGCATTGCGATCGTCGTTTAATTACACTGGAAATTCTCTTTGAGGCTTTGTACAAGATACTTTTATTATCTTTACTTTTCTTTTTTGAATCACCTTTCTTCACGCCCCTCATTTATTACACTCAGCGCTTTTCATTTCCACGCGAATTACACGAAACGATAAGAGAGCCTAATCAGTACAGATACGTAAAACGCGTAACTGTCATTAAGTCAGGATAAATTGTCATTAGACATTTAATCGACTTTCCCGTTTACTAATAATTATACAAAGAACGTTGTACGATACCAAGGTGACCATCCCTTGTTAAGGTCTATATAGGAATATGCATATGCATATATTATATATGAGAAAAATTATTCGTGTCCACTCGGATGTGCAAATACATGCTGAAGGTCGGAGTAGTTGGCAAATGACTAATTCGCCTGGAGGGTTTTGGGCGGGAAATTCAAATACGTATTAATTAATTGTGCTTCGGGAACTCAATGCTAAGACTAACCTGGATCCCAGCAGCCTCGTGGTCGTATCGACCTCGTCGTCAGGAACTGGCAGGGCGAAGGTCCCCTTGGAATTCGCGAACATTATCAGGGCTGCCAATGACAGCCACCCCCGGAGACACCCCCGCATCTTGGAGGAAATATATTCTGAAGCAAAAAGAAAATATATAATTAGCAAAGAAAAGTTCTTAAATAAAATTAATAATATATATATATATATATATATATATATATATATATACACATATATAAATGTATAAATTTTGAAAAGTATATCTTTGAAAATATATTTGATACAATTTTTTATTTTTATTTTTTTCATTCCATATCCCTTAAGTGTCACTATCGCCGATGCATACCTATATGTGGTCATATATGGTATACACTGGAAATTGCAATGCGAATTAATTAACACACGACACGCATTACTGATTTACGATTCGCATTTTCTAATCCACATTGTATTTTTTTTTCTCGGTCAACCTACGATCCACATTGAGGACCCGAAAGAGTCCATTCACATTTACGAGACAAAGTGCGTGTGTGTGTACATATGTATATGCAAGTCGTGTCAATATGACCGAATGACGTAAAAGGCGTCGCGACGGCAGCTTCTCTCTCGGAAGGCACTCTCTCGAAAATAAAAATGGCCAACGACTCAGCCGAAACGTTAACTGGGTTACAATTGTACGCGTCACTGACAGATCCGCTTTCTGCCAACGGCAGTTCTATATGCTGCGGCCACGTGGATCTTGGAAAACTCGTCCATGCAGACGCAGTGACCTTCGATCTTTTGACCTGTCGCAGGATCGAGTACGGTGATTTTGGAATAAAATTTTCAAAAATATATCACACGCTATGAATGATTCTGACGTCAAACAAAAAGTAATATCGCTTTCGATCGCCCTTTTTCTTTATTCGAACGTGTCATCAGTTTCAGCGGTACAGTCCTGACTTGAGATGCAAAGGGTGTACCGATGCAATATAATCGCGAGTACGTGATTACTAATGATTTATTAATGATCGTTAGGCACTGCCCAATTAGCAGTCAGGACTGTCTTTGACACGATCCAAATCGGTGACGTTCGCACGGTTTCGCTTTAAAATTATTTGAAATTCCCGCCACGTCCGAGAGCCTCGGTACCCTTGACTATGTCCCATCTGGATCGATTTTTTCTTTATAGGCCACGTGGAGCCGTCCCGGTAATTAGTATGAAATTTTTGGGATTCAATGAAAACGATCATCGATAGTTCGATTGGTTATACGGATGACGGAATTAATAACGATCGAAATTGTCAACAGACCGGAAGTGACGTTTTGATCGACGCTGTATAGTAACGTCTGTAGTCGGTCTAGTAGAGAAGTCATTCATATTCAGCTGTGAAATTGCTACGGACGATTCCCATTGTTCTGCGTAGGTGCAATAGCACCATTGGAAATTGAGGCGCGTGAAATCCCATGGGGCCTTGCGTTAGTGGGACTTGACTGGCCCAGACGGTCCCACGTGATATCGCCGACCCAGAAACGATCGATTGCGATGGAGGAGCCGACCGACTGATATAGTCGATGAACTTTAAGGATCATTGACACTTCTATTTATTATAACACGTGGGGGCCTTACGAAGGGGCATTACAGGCATTGATGAAATTTCGAATATTATTTAGGTCATATTAACGTCGCCCGCGACTAAAGTTAATTCGGGATTTATTTTACAACAAAAAATTTTTTTTGGGACTTTCAGCATCTTTGGCCCTTATAATGTTAGGGACTGAAACAAAAAGTGTATATAAGCTGTTACAGTAAGTCCCAAACGAGTTTACGTGTTATAAGAAAAATGTCCCAGTATCCCAGGAACTCGCAGGCCCGAATCTCTGAGTCCGACTGAGTCCGAATCTCTTGATATTTGCTGTACCCGTAATATTGGATAATGAAAAACAACATTTGGCAACGGCGCTTTACCAAAGCATACAGCTACTGAATCGTAAGTATATGGGACTGAAAAGAATTAATTTTCGTGACACGCGTCAGGCCCAAAGTGGCTAGTGACCCAAGAAATATATCTCGTTACACGCGATGAGCGGTTCACGTTAAAAAAAAAAAGTACGTACAGGCAATGAAAGATCTCATGAGATTGGCAGTCACGACCAATAAAGTACCGCGTGTGGGACTACTGACCCAGAGACCGGGCCGGACAAGGCCCACGGCGGTCAGCGACCCCCCCAATCTCCAATTCAATACGGCGTTATGCGCACAGGATGAGGCCCAAAAATCATAAACCGGTTTTCACATAGACTCCCGCTAATAATATTCTTACGGCATCGCAAAGTAGCCGCATGACTTGACACCGTCATTGTACCAGAAGATTATAATCGGGGCTCGCTGGGCCTCATGTTACGCCAAACGGTATGCTTATTATAATGATTCAAAAGCTCGAGCCCATTCAACCGGAAATAAAAAGTGCATCTCGTAAACAAAAGCAATCTTGCGCGTGGCTTTGCCGAACGTGGAAAAACAAAATATGACGTCACTTTTGCGATCGACTCTCACGCTGGGACCTAGTCGGGGCCTTACACCATTAACTAGTGTAAGAGGAGTTGGTTCTGTTCAAAAACTTACATGTAATCAACGTCTATATATAGTCAAACTACATATACTATATGTCAAACGAACGACTACAAAGTAACTCGAATTTACGCTGTGCCGGATTTAAAAAAAAGTTACAAAAAAAAATGAAAAAACAAAATCGAAAGTAATTCGAACCGACTAACGATTTGCACGTTTCTAATCAACCAGGTATTGTCCATAGGACATATAAAATTAAAGTATTATCCATCTCTGTGTATATGTATGTATCAGCCCATGAAAAACGAAAAGACCATGAACAACTATTCGATCAAGTATCGACGTTCAGTCTGGTACAGTTATCTCCATGAAGCTCTCTGGAACTCTACCGTTACATCATTACGCTTCTTTCGCGAGTTAATCTTTCTTGTTTCCAGCGCGAAATCGAGTTATTAGACGTTACGAGGAAAAACTGACGACCCTACTGACGGGACTAACTGTATTTCAGAAATAATCCCGCGATGCAAGCAGCAAGTATTTGTTTTCTTTAGCATTTCATCGCTGTTAACGCCAACTTCTCGATTGTCCTTAAAATCGAGGGTGACTCTGATAAGATAACGAAATTTTTAAAACTTTTTTTCACCATTCAAGCGTACCCAAAGCTCGTTATATCTATATATACACAAACTTTTGCAAACACCCCGTAAATAATGGTACTGGAAGATTTTCAAAAAACTTTTTCATTAAACTTATCAGCGTCAATCTCCCCCCTCATGATCTCTGATCATGATCTCTGACCCTTAAACTTTCTAACGATTACTTTCTCTTAAAGACTCGAATAAACTGTTGGATTCGTTATAATAGGCCATTAGCAGTGTTCGCTGTTATTTATGATTTGACCATTCAATTAACACCCTCTATACCATATACTGTACAGGTATATATAATGAAATACTGACGTACCTGGTGTGCAGGTAATAACGGGATCGATTTACAGGCAATTATTGTCAGTTACGTAAAAATATATTTCAAGTTCACTGGATCGGCAATCAATTTCTTCGAGGGTCAAGTAATTTACCCATACACCCACTAGTCCCGTACGAGAAAACCTTGTTACGATTTTCAATGAAATTTCTTTTGAAAAATTGCAAAATTATAAAAATCAAAAATTGGTTACAGAAATTTTTTTTTTTTTAATTATTCTCGAAATCGATACTCCGTTGCGTAAGTGATGCTTCAAAGGCACAGATTGTATCTATTTGAAAAAAATTTTTCGTTGCTCATCGCGAATAAAATCGTAACAGGTAATTGCGCAACGACAGAGTAGCCGGTAACGATCTCACGTAATTTCTCTGTATTACCGTGCGAGCTGCAGCCAACGTTACGAACGGCCGGGGCGTAATTCGATAATTATTATGAAGGCTGATTGGCTGCTGGCTACGTATTCCCGTGTGGCTTAACGAGCCATGAGTCTTCCTTATTGGCCAAGATTACGATTTTGTATTACGTGCGGTGCCAGTGCGTATATAAGGATGTGCGTTCATCCCCCTTCGATGTCTCTTCGTGAACTGCGCATGCGCGGTAATTTTTTTAATACCGATTAAGTATACGATAATTAGCGTTTCCTCCTTTCAAGAACACTTTAAAACTCTCTTCTCGTCCATTCTCTAGCCGAAAGTAATTTTTTTTTTTTCTTTTTCTTTAATTTACATGAATATCGATCCCGCGGATAATTTCCAAAAAAAAAGTATCGCGCGTCGATAAAAATTTCTTAACCCTCATTCATTATTGCGTCATACAAATCATTTCTGAAATGACACTTTCCGCCACTGTAGTTACATTATTTTATTTTTATGTAAATATTTTTTTTTGACATCGGTGAAATAAAAAATAAAAATTTATATACAAAAAGAGATTATTTATGTGCTACGATAATATTTTTGTACTATTTTTCAAAAATCTACATATACCTATAGTCATTCTCTGTACGTGTCATTGTGATCTCATCTTTTGATTGTCCCAACGTTATAATTAATACCACGTGTCATTGCTCGGTCGAACTTACTGTCATCATCGCACGTGTGATTTTTCATTGCCCACGGTGAGAAATATTAATTAAATTTTTACAACAATTCCATTCTTAAATCTGTAGATTCATTTCGTGACGTAATTCGTGACGTAAATTCTAATATGAGATAACGGTGGAGGGATAGTAGTGGGGGGGGGTATAAAAATGATCTCCCCACCTTTAGTAAAATAATAAACAATAGCCCGGACGTCATTCCATAGAATTTATTATTATTTTATTAATTTTTAAAATTTATCGATCAATACCGTTTATCGATTTGAGCATTAAACCTGCAGCTACCTTATCTAACGTTATATAATACTTTCTAAAATCAATTCGAAAATTCCACATTCAAATCTCTTTGCACTTCTCGAGAAAATTAAAATTCTACCCATCGTACTCAGAGTGAGCGGTTACTATTTTTTTTGGTAATAATGATATTTTGACGTTACAATGTCATTGAGCCGAACGAGGTGTAACCCACGAAACATATATATATATATATACATATATAG